AAGGAAATAGTGCCTCTGACAAAGTTTACGTGGTCAGAACAAATTAATATTAGTCGTATTCCTCTAAATTAAATGTTATAATAGATACGGATATAAACCCAAACTGATATTTGTTTTATTTGTTTTGTGGGGGGGGGGAAATATTTTTTGCCAGTATTCTCGCTATGGATAAAGAAAAGAAATCAATAAGTGAACGCGGTTGTCGCTTCCTAGTTATACAAACACCTGAAAGTTATGCAAAATCCCGGATCTCCGACATAAAAGACCAATTACAGGGTCTAAGTAACATTGTTCAGATAAGAGAAAATGGTGCTAAGGTAAAATGTAAAATGTACAATTACAGATAATTTGAAAATTTGAGTAAAAACGGACCAGTATTAATTATAACAATTGTGGAAAAGTAATCTGATCGATTTCTAAATTCTCCCAACTATACTATTATAATTTAATCTAATCTTATGTGAATGTATATCGTCACAAGGCAATGAATTGGCTCTATATACCATTCAAACGTGTAAGTGTTAAAAGAATTTTAAAAGACTGTTTTATGTCTTATTTTAATAGAAACATTGATGCCTTCAAAGATATCTTTGAAGTTTGAGAATTTTTCCGGAATTTTTGGCATGTTAGAGCGTTAGTACAGTAAAATGAATATAATTGATATGTTGATATATTTGGCCATACAATGCAAGATTTACATACAAAGTAATCAATTATAGATGATAATATTTAATAATAATTATCATTGCTTATATAGCGCCTAACACTTACCTTAAACAGTATATCTTTTCAAAATGAACGAATTTTTGTTCACTTTTCCTCAAAATATCATCAAACTGATTCCTTGATCTTTCTTTCACATCTCCACACACTACCCACATATCTGATCTCTGTTCTATCTACACACGCTCTCCAGTTTCTTCATTCAATTATCATTAGAACATAAATGAATGGCGGTCACTCTAGACAAATAATTGAAACAATTGAAAACAAGATATGCAAATGTATTATACAATTTAATATGTACCACTAAATACAAATAAATACGACTGTGTACAAATCTATTACTGTTACGAAGATAAATTTATCCTCATTTAACAGCTAAATGAGGATAAATTTATCTTCATTTAACAGCTAAATGAGGATAAATTTATCTTCATTTAACGGCTAAATGAGGATAAATTTGGGCTAAATTAATGACAAATTTGCTATAAGTTGCTATAAAGTATGAGCACATTTTATGGTGAAATGAAAAAAGACATATATCTACACGGAAAATGATACTTATTAGAAGAAAAAAAGGAGCGCGTGTCAAATTAAAAAGGGGAATTATCGAGGCAGAAAAGGGGCAGTTCTCGCACCTGATAAGGGGCACTCATCAGAGATGAAAAAGGCATTCATGAGAATGGAAAAGGGGCACTTATTATAAAGGATAATTCAAGGCAATTATCAGAAGAGAAATGGCACTAACCAGGTAGGAAAAGGGGGCACGTGTCAAAATAACAGACGCAATTATTACAGATAAAAAGGGGCACTTATTAACAAAATTCAAGGGAGCATATCTCAAATTTGAATGAGGGCACTCAATTGAGATGAAAAGGGGCACTTGTCAAAATATAAGGGACACCTCTCAGGCTTGAAATGAGGCAATTATAAGTGTTAAAGGTTAGAGGTGGCGAGGGGCACTTCTTGTACATGAAAATGGGCACTCACTTGAGATGAACAGAGGCACTTATTATAAAGGAAAATTGAAACTTGTCGTAGGAAAAGGGGCACCTGTGATATTTAAATAGAGGTATTTATCAGAGTTATGAGTAGGGGCATTTATGCGAAGGGGTGGGGCTCTTATTTATAAAAGGGGGGCATTTATCAGAAGGAAAAAGAGCATTTTTGGGGGAAAGAAAAGGGAAGGGGCACGTGTCAAACTAAAAGGGGGCACTTATCAGAGATGAGAGTTTCAATAGCACTTCAGTCGCTCTCGCAAGCGCTCACTCGTTCCATTGTGGTCAGGCGGCTTTGGGATGAGCGGCTGATAAATATACTAATCGTTAGCTTTCTTCTGGTATTAAACTTGTTTTGATTGGTTGTATATTGTTGTTGGAGTTTACTCATTCATATAATGGAACTACCTGCTCGATGAAGCCAATGGCCCTTGACCCCAGGGGTCAACACTGTGTGGGAGTTAGTTTGTGGTCAACTTCTTTTATGAGACAAATCCAAGCAAACGTTTCCATATGGGGCACTTATCTGAAGAGGAATGGTACTTTAATATTACAAAATAAAATTTCGTCAAAGAAAAATGGGCTCCTCTCAGATTTGAATCGGACAATTATCTGAAGTAAAGGGGCACTTATAAGAGTAGGTAAGAGGCACTTATAAGAATGTGGAACGGGCACCTATTTGAAATTTAAAAAAGGGGGCGCGTATATAAGTTAAAATTGGGTACTTTAGGACTTTTTGCATGGAAACAAAATTGGGAATTTGTCATTTTTCAACCAACGCATAAACAAGTATAATTTACAAAAAATATAGAGGAAAAAAAAACGGATTTTTTTTTATTTTGGGGGGAAGAGGAGGCCAACATCCACTAAGATAAGAAAAAACGTAAGATTATCATGGGTCCAAAATCCTCCAAATACTAAAGCTACAAGGAATTAATCAAACAATTGTTTTCACGGAACAAGTACGTATATTCTCACGTGATATAGAAAGGTTTTAAATTATTCATATTCCCTAGTGAATATTATATTACCATTTACAGGAAGAGGGGACGGGCAGGGCCCTGTGGGGTGATATTTTTCTTTTTGTCACTAGGGGAGTCGAGGGTATAAGGGGATCACAACTGGTGTCCGAAAATTTCAGATCAAGCGAAAACAGAACAAACCAAAACGAAAATGAACCAAACAAAGTGACAATACAAACAAATGAAAACACAAATATCAAACCAACAAACAATACAATAGCGACTCGATCTTTGAAAGTGGGGGTAAGGGTGGGATGTGTAGCACCTTGGACGAAACGTCCCTTTACCGCCCGCTCACAGGCCAACGAGAAGAAGGGGAAAGGTAGGACTCTGTGAGACCCCAGCTCTTATCTTGGCCACTACACGACTGCGAGCCACACTCTTTTGGCACAAGAAAAAATTGCTTAACGAGAAAGTTGATTTATGGGGTGAGGGGAATATAATTTGTGAGCGATTTCATTGTTATTATGCAAGTGTGGAAGAACATCAGAGAAACAAATTTTCCCTGAAAAGCATGGCTCGTCAAATACCTTCATATTCTATTTTTTGGCCACATGTTTGTGTAGTTCCATATACATTTTTCTGTGTACAATGCTTGTTACTTTTACCAAGACTGGGCCAAATTTCTTATCATGTTAATGATTCCAGAAACTTGCAGTACACATCAATACTTACATGCTACATGATCAAATTTTTCTAAATGATGCCACACGGTTTCTTTCACAATGCTGCAGGGTGACCAGAACTCAACTTTATCTTTAAACACAGGAATCTATCGTTATTCCTAACACTATGGAAATTATAATAAAACTTGAACCAGAGGGATTTTGACTTACACAGGCCTACTTAAACAGATTATTAATGCCTTTCTTACTGTCAAGGAATCCACTCAAATTTGACACGTTACCACATCTGGCTGCATCAAATCAGCAAGTAGAGCCTTTACAGTAAGCTTTCAGCCTAGTCTCACTGTGCAGACTCTGATACGCACAGCGATTGAAAAGGCTTTTTGTCTGCAAACTATCAGGAAATCTGCCTAGTAAAAGATAGCCTACTTTCATTGCGAAATCATGTTTGGGGTCTTTTCTTATGTTTTCGACAAGCAGACCTAGGCCGAATACGAGGTGGGATTCATTTCCTGTTATTTTGATCTCTCATGATCTTTCTTTCCTCATCCAGGAAAAGAGGTCACCTCAGATGATCTAGGGACCAACGGACTCTACAAAAGTCCCAGAGAACTATTAAAAAAGTATATATAAAAAAAGAGGGAAAGAGAGAGAGAGATTGAGAGAGGAGTGGAGAGGGTGAATCAGAAAGAGAGAGAAAAAGGGGAAGAAGTTGGAGGAGAGGAAGAGGGAGAAAGAGAAAGAGAGTGAGAGTAAGAGAGAGGAGATAGAGAGAGAGAGAGAGGGTCAGAGAGAGAGAGAAAGAGAAAGGAAATACTGCCTCTGACAATGTCTACCTAGTCAGAACAAATTAATATTGGTCGTATTCCTCTAAGTTACATGTTATGATAGAAACGGATATGAATCAAAACGGTCTTTTTTTCCTTCTTCTTTTTCAAGGGGAGGGGTATTTCTCGTTATGGGTTAAGACAAGGAACCAATACATTGAAAGTAGCTGTCGCTTCCTAGTTATACAAACACCTGGAAGTTATACGATTTCTCAGACCTCGACATAAAAGACCAATTAAAGGGACTTGGTAACGTTGTTCAAATGAGGGAAAATGGTGCTAAAGTATTAGTAGGAGTAGTAGTTTGATGACTTTTCCGTTTGGTAACTACAATGCTAGATGTACAATTAAAGATAATCTGAAAGTTTGAGTGAAAGCAGAACATTATTAATGATAAAAATTAGAAAAAAATTATCTGATGGATTCCTTAATTCTCCCAGCTATATTATTATAATTTGATTACATTTTAGGTGAATGTAAATCGTCACGAAGCAATGAATTGGCTCTATATACCATTCCATTCATGGAAAAACGGTTTGGAAAATTAAAAGATTGGTTGGGAAAACTTACTGTTAGAATGGGGGTTACATATCTACGCCTTCAAAGAAAACCATAAATATCTTTGAGGTTTGAGAATTTTGTCAGGATTTGTGGCATGTTAGAGAGTAAGTACAGTAGAAGGAAGATAACAAGTAACATTTCATACCAAAGTTACGCATTTTTTCATCAACCTTCAACAATGTTACCGGTTTACTTTAAGGAACTAGAAGTTCACAACATTGGGCGCAATAAAACTCGTTGCTGCCTGATACGAACGTCAATTGAGCGTTTGCCGTCGTCGGTGTGGCACCCCTTTTGAATTCTAACCTACTGCATGATCAGTCAAGGTGCTGCAGATTCCTCCTAGATTTGGTGAAGACGAAACACCTTGCCGAAGACGTTGTCAATGAATGGGTGTCTCGATCACCATGGGGTCGTTTGTTCTCATCTTTGTAATCGCGATTAGTGCATCACTTGTACCGGGAGGGGTGACTCAAAGTTCACCTGCGTAAGTAACAATGGCCTCCTTCCAGTTTTGATATTATTACAAATATTTATTTACGTATTCTTTTCTCACAATCTCCCATGTTTTTTATCTATTCCGTCCGTCTTTTTATAACTATTTGTTTTCACCTTCCTTATTGTACAGTGTGCATAACAAATAATGTACCCTACTTAGGTAGCTTTCTTATTTCAAAGTTATGAGTATGTGACCTTGTATCATATTTCATCGTAAAGAGGAACCAATACCCTGTAAAATAATACATGTTCATAATTCTACTGCCGAGGATTATTGAACAACAGGCTTTTTAAAAGTATTTTCAAAATCCTCTTGTAAATGAATGGGGGTCAAAAGGTATTATGAGAGTGTTATCTCATTCCAAAAGCAAATGCTCATTTATTTACATTGACTTTTAGGCAGTGGAATAAAAAAAGGTATTAATAACAACTCAAACTCAAGGAAATGCTTATTACACGTAAACATTTATGATATTCTCTTCGTTACGATGATTACAATTTTGACTTCATTCGCATCCCTTGTTTAAGGTAAACCTTCTCATTAAGTGATACAAAATGGATAATTTTTTTGGGGGATGTTATATTTTTTCATGAAAGTCTCCTGTCAATTTATTTGATATTTATCATCATATGTGTTCTGTGTTGCATATGGGTTTAGTCAAGTTTGAGTTTTCATTCGCTATTCGAGATAAACAAATGGCGCAGCGGAAAAGTGAGCACAGAGAATTTAGATGTCATGAGACAAGAAGTTATGAGGCTGTTCAAAATAATTAAAGGTTATCCTGTAACAAGGTTCTTAAAAAGACTAGATAAAACGCATCATTTTAAACACTGAAGCACTGAAGCATGAGGCATAAATTTAACTTTTAAAAGGATTTAAGACCAAATAAGCACATGCATATAATGGCCTGACCCATATTCGTTCCTTAAGCCCAAACTTGGTACAAGGCGATTTCGACAACACTTTTTAAAGACCCTGGTGCTCATTCATCCGTGGCAGAAATATTATAAATAGGTCATCATCGGACGAAAAATAAGGTACTCTTCAATATGAAATCAAGTTCAAAATCATATTGGTTATGAATTGTTAATCAGGAGCTACTAAAGCTGGGTACATTTTTTTTTATACGCACTGTATACTTCTATTGTATGTATTTTTGTAATTCCCCATTTCTTCCACCAGGCGTTAATACTTTTGAAGAAATGAATAGGTTTCATGATTTCAAGCAATTGGTGTATATTTCTATGAAGGTTCATGGTAAGTTCCAAAGTTTCGTTATATTCAGAAATTGTCTTAATCCGAAAGTTGATAATATCGAGGATGATGTGGGTATTATTCCGAATCTTTCCAAAATCTTGTGAAGATGGTTCTTAATTCTATTGCGTTTCGAAATTAAGAACCTTGTGAACACTTGAGACCCCATTCTATCCTTGAACCCTATTCCATTTTCGGAATAACGAACCTTTGGAACAAACGAGCATTCGTAGTAACAGAATTCGAAATACATGAAACGTGAAACTTCGGATTACTGAACTTTCGGACCAAACTCCATGTAGCCTTGATGGCCCGAAGCATTTTATGTCTCTTGGCATATAGGCTTACCTAAAACACGTCTAAAAATGCAGGATTTCGCCAAAGGCGTTTCACTTGTACAAGTTCTTTTGAATTTCAATTCGTTTCCCTCTCGATTATTTTCATTTTCGGTTTCTTCTTCCCCCCCCCTCCCCCTCCCCTCGCTCCTCTCCTCCCCCCCCCCCCCCCCCCCCCCCTCTCCCCTATTTCTCTCTCTCTCCCTCTGTCTCTCATGTTTGCAAACATGATTATGCAGGCGTATGAATCTTTTTTCTTCCGTGGAAATGGTTACTTTTAGTTTGTGTGTAATCGATAAGCCGAAAAAGTATAAACAAAATATTTTGTACCTGTGTTTACGCAAAATGTCGTATTTGGTGTAAAATGTTGATGTGCACTAGCATATTTTGTTACGCAAATAAATAGGAAGTGGCACCATCAACAAAGAACCAGAAGCCACAAGGTATTACAAAATATAGGATTAATATAATGAGAGTATTCTCTTTCTCACTTTTAAAAAGTATTTCTCTGTCGATTAGAGTGGTTTTACAGAAACTGTGCATTAACGTTTTCTATGGGTTTGTTTTTCTTCTAAAACTTTTTACAATGTATGTATATAATCCAAAATCAATCAAATGTGGTTATTATCATTTTTACATGGACATTTCTTTTTACGTCATTTACGTGAGGTCTTTGTCATAATTATTCAAAAAGTTACTTTTCCATTCACCTTTTATGTCGTCAAACATCCGTTATAAATCTTATTGCCACCAGGGTAACCTGCATCATCGTCAGCACACATTAGGCATAATTTTATGTAGTGTTTTATTTTACATTCTAAAGTCATGTCATTGGAGTAAGATGCTCTTTCTCTCTCTCTCTCTCTCTCTCTCCCTCTCACTTTTTCGTGATGTTTTAACCGAGGGTCACGTCAATACAATGACCTACCATTTTATATTAAATTATCGAAGAACTCGAGCACTTTCTGCAAACATTTGAATATACGAAATCATTTTTGCTGTGATCTTTAAAGGATGTATCTTTTATGCCAATTCAGTTTGGCGGGAGAGGGGGGGGGTTACAATAATAGATGTGTACTATGAGCTCTAGATGTCCTTAATTTCCGATTAAGAGTATAATTATTTGGGTTTCTTTTCTTTTTAATGTACGTTCAAGTTGTATTTGTATCAACTCGTTTTTACAAAGAGTGGGCCGCTATCAATCCGTTTTCTATATAATTTTGATTTTACACGTACTTTCCATTTTGTGTGTATTGTGGGCTTTTTTAATTATGATTTTGAAAATGAATACCACACCATACCAGCTCTTCTTAGTTCATATCCGCTCTCTCTCTCTCTCTCTCTCTCTCTCTCTTTATTACTTTCTCTCCTTCTTTTTTACCCTCTCTCTCTTTATCTTCTTCTTCTCCCCCCCCCCCCTCTCTCTCTCTCTCTCTCTCACTCTACCCATTCTTTCTGTCTCCTTCTCTCTCTCTCTCTCTCTCTGTCTGTCTATGTCTATCTCTCTCTTTTACCTCTCCTTATCACATCTCTTCTCTTTCTCTTTCACTCTCTCTCTCTCATACGTCTCTCTTTATTCTCTATATTCCTTCTTCTCTCTTATACAGCACCTTTTTCGTGACCTCTCCCAACGTGTTTCGGGTTGATGTGCCCGAGAGCGTCGTCGTAACCCTCATCAGATCCACACCAAACGTTCAGAATGTTCAAGTGAGAGTCTCTTTGAGGCGGCCTGGTTCGGGTGTACATTTTTCGGAAGATACAAGAGCTGTCAGCCCAGGTAGTAAACGAAATTCCAACCTTAATAGCAAGGGCGACAGAGGGTCTTTCATAGAGGTTGGGGCACTAATAAAAATGTGCAGTCTCTTGTGTGAAATCATTTCTCAATATAATATACGCCTGTATAAAAAAGAAAAGAATATAAACTGTTTTTCTATGTAAAATGTGGAATAATTTAAACTTCAAACTTCAAACTTAAAAAAGTGCACCTACAAGGGGTAACCTCAAAGCCATAAATAACCATTTTTAAACATCGTATACATCCTAAATTGTAATTTATATCAGGGATGATCTTCAAGATTGACTCGTTACGTGGTCCAAGATCCTGCTTGAGCACCATACTTTGCTGTTTTGTGTGATTGGGTGAATATTTATTTGAAAGTGAGCAAAGCAAGCGAGCAAGAATGTTAATATAATTTTAAGGCCTCACTGCGACCGATTTGTTGTCATTAAAATAACGGACTCTGGTGGGTTTTAAGCACAATCTCACAATAAAACAATGAATAAGACCCCTAATATGCTAGTTAATCAATCATATATGCGATCGAGTGAAGCTAGCGAGTTTTGGAGCAAATTTGAGAAAGATTGCTCTCAGTCGCTTTAAATAAGAAGCACTGTAAGCCAGACTATGAGACATTTATTGGCTCTGGGGAGATGAGGGGCGATAACATTATCTTGTTATATAGCACGTATGATAACTATGTCTCAGTATGTTTAACATGATTGACATCTGGTAATTTTAATGCAGTTGCCTTGAGTTTGAAAACTCCACCATTGTATAATCCTTTATATTCTTGATTACCTCGGCCTAAAGAAGGGACGCTTGATAGCTTTGAAAACGACCATAATACATTTTAAAAGGGGCACACTTCGTTATTAAAGGGAAGTTCACCCTAATAATAAGTTGGTTTCGGGGGGTAATTGTCGTCGGGGGGGGGGGTCATTTTCCTAGGGGGTCATTTTTCAGGGAGGTAATTGTCCTTGGAGTGGTTTTCCGGGGGGGGGTACCTTCCGAGGGGGTAATTATCCGGGGGGTAATTGTCCTACAGCCCTTTAGGTGACCGTAAAAGGGCACCATTTGTAAGCGACATTGGTTCATAGAGGTAGAGGAACTTTTTAAGAGGCATTTACAACCAAAGTGACAAGGAGAATTAATCATTATTCAAAATGGGCACCAATCAGATGTTTGAACAAATTGTCAAATTGAGATTTGCACAAATGTATTGATTACATATTGCCAAGCATTCATAACTTTCTTATTATTTCTCCAATTTATTTTAAACTTTCGCCATTTTTTTTTCTGCCCTTCTTAAAACATGAACTTATTACAAATGTTGGATATTGTCACGTTCGGTTTAATGTAGGCTCACATACCGAATATGCACTGCACGCAGTCAGTAATGGATAATGAATCGGAGACTTGTCGAGGACAGAAAAATACGCGGTCACACGAAATCAATTGACCAACTAGTACTGCAGTCGTATCAGAACGATGGGCATGCATTCACGCCCGTGTTTCTACTTGTCAAACGAACGAGCCTCCCCCGGACTATCCAGAGCAATTTGTTAGAAGTCTGTAGCATTTAGGATAGTGGCGATAGGTAGGCCGAAAGAAAGGCAAAATGACCTTAAAATTCAGACGAAATGGCGCCTTGACGACCAGGCAAGAGGGATTCCGGAAAAAGAAGAATTCAGTGACCTTGATGGGATCCTAGAAAATGTGACTACGAACTTTTAAAGGAATCGGATTAAAGGAAGGGACCTAGATAGGACTCGAAAGCACTGCGTGCAAGACGAATGGGATGGTGGTTAATGAAGAACACGTGATGACGCGTGATGTCGCACTTACAGCCGTCCATAATAACACAATCATGCAGAGTATAAAATGGCGTCTAAAATGGCACCCTTGACTTTTGATTTTAAAAATCCGGCTTCCAGACACAATGGCCCGAATTCACAAAGCAAGGTTTAGCTCAGACCAAGGTTTAAGTTTAAACCTCCTTTTGTTTCGCCAAACCTCCTTTTGTTATTTACAAACCAGGTTTATAAATAACAAAAGGAGGTTTGGCGAAACAAAAGGAGGTTTAAACTTAAACCTTGGTCTGAGCTAAACCTTGCTTTGTGAATTCGGGCCAACATGGATGCGGAAAAGCAGTCTGTAAAAATGACGTCATAGCCGATACGTGTTATAACTAGGCGGATACTCAGCGGAATACGTACAGTAACCCTTGTTCAAATGCGATTTACTCAAAATTGTCTGCGTGAACATATACCGTACTTGGTATCATTCAAAAGGGCACTTCATTGCGGTCAGTCTGAAACCATTTTAATATACACATAATGTACTCCACGCATTTAACGGGCTGTTACGTGTTGCATAGTAAATATCAATCATCATATCGTCATCAATTTTTACCAAACTTGACAAACCATTGTCAGGTGTATGGTTACATTTGTCTGCTAAGTTTCGTTGACGTAGGTATCAAGATCGCCATTTTTGAGGAAGTTGAAGTTATTTCGCAATTTTCTTGAAACCTGCAAATTTAGAGGGCAATTTTTTAAAAAGTCGGTCAGCGTTAGGGTATATATTTGTATATTTTGCTGGAAGTCTTGATATTCAAGTATCTAAATCCAAAATGGCTCCGGGTTCGGCCAGACACGATGAAGCTACGGCCACAGAAAGAAAACCAATTTCAGAAATTTATAGAGGGCGCTATTTATTTTGTGCATAGCCATTAGAGCGTGAAATTCTGCATGGGTATGCTCAATTATGATATAAAGATACTGTAAGAAATTGAGACGAAACAGAGTTGGTATGAGAAATTTATGGTTTTTTTAGATTTTTAGGGGTCATTTTTTCATACAGGGCATACGGGGCACCAACGAGTCGCACATGAGCACTACTCACCAAAAAAAAAACAGGTATGAGCAAACTTCGAAGGTTTTTCATTGGTTTTTCCAGTATTGTAAATGGTAGTTCAAAATATCGATGATTTTTTTTCTTCAAAATGGTATTTTGGATGTGTAAATGAGCCTTATGTTGTGATTTCCATATGGTCACACCAACTCTGTTAAACATGAATGGTGAAATACGATTAAGCATCAATCAGATTTCAACTGCGGCAGTTTCAATTTTCTTCAATGACTTAAAATCTTTAGCAAACACAGAGCTGAGACGCGTAGTGAACTATGTTGCGCAGTTGCCATTTATGCACACATGGACATGGTGGAAATGAGAAAAAGCCGTTTACTTCTGAACGAGCTCCATAGAAAATACCACTGACTATACCCCTTTGCTTTGATCTAGGTTCATCTCAACTTTTTACGGTCGAAATTCAAGCCGATAATTTGATGAGAAATGAAGGAGATTTCCAACACATGGTCTTAAAGGCTGAATCTCTGGACCCTAGCTACCCATTCCAAAAGGAAACAGAAATCCTGGTCACTCTTCAATCTGGTTACGTCTTCGTACAGACGGACAAGCCAATCTACACCCCTAACCAAGACGGTACGGTATTTTTAACATTATTTTTAGTCAGTTAGTTATTCGGTTAGTTACGTAATTCATTGTTTCAATTATTTATATAATATACATCTCATCTTATCTTATTCCCATGAACAAAATGGATTATAACCATAATATAGAATACATAAAACAAAGTAGGCCTAAAATAACAAACAAAAATGGAACCTATCAGCTATAAAGCCTGTTAATCACCAAAAGAAGATAAATTCCTGTATAGGGCTCTCCTCAAAAGTTTTACTCTTTACCATGAATAAAAGTTTAGTTTCTGTTAAAAGTAAGAAGTTATGTTTGAAGAAAATAACGCTTGCAATCAATATTTGCATAGTACTCACATTTTTACTAGATGTAAAAAAACTCGAGAAAAAGTAATCCTCCGTATTCTAGAAGAAATTGTTAAGACACTTTGTAATTGTTAATTGCAAATTATTAGATTGTACTCCATTTTGATTTTTTTTTGCTGCGCATCCATTGATTCTCTCATTTCCTTTTACATTATAAATATTTCCTCGAGAGTTGCCAAGCTGTTGTATAGGTTATTAGCTTTATTTACAGCTATTCTGACTCATACATGTATTTCCAACCAATTGGTGTTTTAAGCCAGTTCGGTTCCCGGTGGGTACATTTTTTCAACCTTTTTTGCAAACAATTCCCCAAAAGGGAGGACAGCAATTGGGCACAATTGGAAAGCTGTTGTTTAGGTCATCACATACATATAACATTTTAGTTTGTCTTTATGCATTTATATATTGTATAAATTTAAACTTTTTTTTATTTGTTATTTAGTTTCCCTCACTTTTGTTCTGTTGATCAACGTATACATTGTAACTTTTCTCTTTATATGTATGCGTTTGTCCATATTTCTGTTATGCTGTATTTGAAATACCCATTGTATTTTCCTTTATTTAAATTTTGTTCTGTACGTAATTTATTGCTTTCTTACTACTTTTTAATGTTACTATACTGTAATAATCATATGCATTTATACGATTTTTATTTTAAATGAAATTGTAGCTAAATTGTATTCAAGGAAGATTTTTTTTTTGTTCGAGTTGCATTTAGCCAAGATAATAAAGAGGGAAACTACTAAAAATGTCAAATTTTAAATATTTCCGCTATTACGGGATACAATCTAAAAAAAAATAATTATAAATTCGAGTGATAGTCGTACTGGAATTCTGAATTACTAGTAAGTTGATAATGTCACTATTAAGTCATTCAAGCAACTTTTCCCTTGCTAAATATATTACTCATTGCGGATATAGTATCGAAAATAATATCGCTAGTGATATTCGTTTGTCTCGCAATGTGGTCAATAAGGAATCTAAAAGATCACGACGTTTCGTATGCTACTGCGATACTTCGTCAGGTGATAAAAACTACTGTAAGCAAGGGTGTTTTATACTCTACGGGAGGACCGTGCGGAGCGGTCCATAATTCGATCGATAATTGGAACAATAACGCACAATGCCTATTGGTCGACGCACACGGTGATCGACCAATCACCAGGCCGCTGGATTCGGCCGCTGGTTCGGCTAATACACCAGGCCTATTGGCCGACGCATACGGTACTCAGCCAATCAACGGGCCGCTGGATCGGACCGTCTGTTGAATGGAATCGACCGGTGTTGGCTGGCAGGACGGCGAGTGTCATGGCGGCGTATCGTCCGCATTCAAAATTCGGGGATATCGATCCCGTTGTCTCTGTTGAAATTATTAGGATTGAGACGGATATTGATAGCTTCTTTCACCCTCCGTGTATACCAATGCCTTTCCTGGGAAAGGCACTGAACCCCGTCCCAGTCTGGTTGATGCTGGTTATCCCAAGCATGTTCGGCTACGGCTGAGTTGTCAGTTCGACGGAGTCTGACGTCCCTCTTATGCTCAGTGATTCTTTCTTTTATCGGACGGGCAGCTTCACCGATGTAGGATCTATCACATCCTTTACAAGGGATGTTGTACACAATGCCGTCCCGTCTATGTGGAGGAATTGGATCCTTGGGGCATGTAAGTTGTTGACGTAGGGTGGTATCTGATCTGAAAACCGTTCGAATGCCATGGCTCTCTAGGCGGCGCTTGAGTTGTAGGGAGACCCCATCAATGTACGGCAAGACTGTAAAAGTCTTGTATACCTTCTGATCCCTGGGTTCCGACGATCTATTCTTGGTATTGTGTATAAAACGGCGTGGGTAACCGTTGAGACTCAGGGCGCTGCGAACACGGGTCCGTTCTTTGCATGGCTGTTGTGGACTTGTCACAATGCGTGAAGCTCTGTCAAATAGACATTTCACTAGACCTCTCTTCACCGATATGGGATGGTGAGAGTCAAACGATATGTACTGGTCTGTGTGGGTAGGCTTCCTATAGACTGAGGTGGAGAGCCTATGGTTGTCGTGTCTATGAACTAGAGTGTCTAAGAATGCTATCTTCCCTTCACACTCTATCTCTGATGTGAACTGGATGGTTGGTTCAAGGCTATTCATGTGTTTAAGCAGCTTATCTGTTTCAGAGATGGGAACTATGATGAAGGTGTCATCTACGTATCTCTTCCAAACACGAGGTATGCAAGAGAGGGGACATGTGTCCAGCGCTTCTTCTTCGAAACTCTCCATGTATAGGTTGGCCACGACAGCCGAGACTGGACTGCCCATGGCTGCCCCTTCTGTCTGTTCATAGTATGAACCTTTATACAGAAAATATGTGGATCGTAGAACAAACTCGAGGAGTTGAGTGAGTTGTTCCGGTGAGAGTGCGGTACGGGTAGACAAATTGCTGTCTGATTGTAAGTGTTGCAATGTAGCATTGCATGCGCCCTCAATCGGTACATTGGTGAAGAGTGAAACTACGTCAAACGAAACCATGCGTTCTTATACACAATACCAAGAATAGATCGTCGGAACCCAGGGATCAGAAGGTATACAAGACTTTTACAGTCTTGCCGTACATTGGTGGGGTCTCCCAACAACTCAAGCGCCGCCTAGAGAGCCATGGCATTCGAACGGTTTTCAGATCAGATACCACCCTACGTCAACAACTTACACGCCCCAAGGATCCAATTCCTCCACATAGACGGGACGGCATTGTGTACAACATCCCTTGTAAAGGATGTGATAGATCCTACATCGGTGAAACTGCCCGTCCGATAAAAGAAAGAATCACTGAGCATAAAAGGGACGTCAGACTCCGTCGAACTGACAACTCAGCCGTAGCCGAACATGCTTGGGATAACCAGCATCAACCAGACTGGGACGGGGTTCAGTGCCTTTCCCAGGAAAGGCATTGGTATACACGGAGGGTGAAAGAAGCTATCAATATCCGTCTCAATCCTAATAATTTCAACAGAGACAACGGGATCGATATCCCCGAATTTTGGATGCGGACGATACGCCGCCATGACACTCGCCGTCCTGCCAGCCAACACTGGTCGATTCCATTCAGCAGACGGTCCGATCCAGCGGCCCGTTGATTGGCTGAGTACCGTATGCGTCGGCCAATAGGCCTGGTGTATTAGCCGAACCAGCGGCCGAATCCAGCGGCCTGGTGATTGGTCGATCACCGTGTGCGTCGACCAATAGGCATTGTGCGTTATTGTTCCAATTATCGATCGAATTATGGACCGCTCCGCACGGTCCTCCCGTCGAGTATAAAAGACCCTTGCTTACAGTAGTTTTTATCACCTGACGAAGTATCGCAGTAGCATACGAAACGTCGTGATCTTTTAGATTCCTTATTGACCACATTGCGAGACAAACGAATATCACTAGCGATATTATTTTCGAAACTTTTCCCTTGTTCATAGTACTATACATAACATGAATACCATATATTTCGCCGATTTCTTTTAAAGTCCCACTGTCCTACTTGTAGCTACTTGCTCCCTCTATATAGAGAACTTCCCCAATCGGTGCCTGTTAGTCCCCCATGATCCTCTTTTTCTTATGTTAGTTGAGTTAATAAGATAGCCACCTGTCAGTGACCTCGCTGTTTGGTATAATCCCTTCTGGCCCAGTAGTATTGATGGTCTTTAATTTCTGTACCAATTAACTTGTTTTTATACTCTCATGCCATTCGACTTGTTACAAAGGTTAGTTCAGTTTAGTTGAATAATGTCATACGATACCAGACCCATTATCCATTCTAACCACACTGAAAGTCATCCCTTCGAACCAAATTGAAATTCAAGTCTACCTACCCACAATTTGTTTTCATCTTGACATAATTCAATTCGTTTTCAATTCATAGATTCTACGAATGATGAACAAAAAATGAAATCAGTGGTAACATAAAACAAAACAAAAACCATTCGACCAAACACACCACTATCCCCCGGCCGAAACAAAAAACACATGCAAACGCACACAACACACACACACACACACACGCACACACACGCACAAATGCACACACACAGAATCTGTAAAACGATCGCAAAACTTCGAAAGAATTAATAAAAAAATCAATCTACGGCTATTTCAATAACCTTGTGCCTCCCAACTATATATTGATGTGTGAACGTGAATAGTATTATTAAAAGTTTTCTTCATGATTTGTCGATAGTCGTTGTGGTCTTGTTCTGTATGGATAATAATTCAACTCTTTTTATTTCATTGTTCATTCCAGTGATAATCAAGGTCATGTCCTTGGATCAGGAAATGCTTCCATCGGATCGAGAGGTAATCTGTTATATTTGTTACCGCAAGTTTGAAATATACTTACAATTATATGAATTTGAATCCACTTTATTTCATTTGAGTGACAAAAATATGGAATTGGGCGGGGAACCAATTTCGGTAGGCCTAACTGATTGCCCGATGTTATTTGTGAAGTTTATTATTATATGTATTCCTTTCATGTTTGTCATTAAAAGTACATTCATGTTTCGCTTTTATAATAATAGAATTTATGATGATGATGATGATGATGATGATGATGATGATGATAATAATAATAATGATAATGATAATGGTAATATCGTCATCATACAATAATACAATAATCGTGATGATGATAATTATATAGGTTTTCCGCCCAACTTCGTAAACTTAGCACCTGAATTAACATTACGTCCATTCAATTTCGTGCCAAATTGAATGACTTATATGTAAATCAACATTCAAAAAGCTTATTGCGTCGTTTAATTCGATTAAGTAGCGTGCGATGTTATACTCTTGTCACGGAGCCGTGCAAAACGAGCTTTCAAATATGCACCGGACAGACGGTGGTATGTATTCGCATTCAATTTCGTGAATAGGAATACATGTGTGACATTTGTGCTTTGCTTTTCATTTGATGTTAACTTGTCACATGAATGTTACTTTTACTGAAACTTTCAGGCCCGAATTCTTTTGTCACATGAATGTTACTTTTACTGAAACTTTCAGGCCCGAATTCACAAAGGAGGTTTGTCGACAAACCTTAGTTTTCGTGCGTCATATGACGCGTTTCGACGCGTTTTTACAAACCAGGTTTGTAAAAAATCGCGTAAAAACGCGTCATATGACGCACGAAACCAAGGTTTGTCGACAAACCTCCTTTGTGAATTCGGGCCATAGAGTTTCAGGTTAGGTGTGTACTGACCAGGGTTTTAAAGTTGAGAATTTCGTTAAACTAGCGACAGTATAGTGTCATTACCTTACGGTTTCTAAAGCAGCAAAGCAATGATATTTCCCTTTTTAATCTTCCTTTTTTCAACTCCAATCATCTTTTTCTCATTCTTGTTTTTATAGCTCCACGTCGAAATAATTGATCCAAGTGGGACCAGTGTAAAAAGACTCAGACAGACTCAAGCCCTGCCTTCCGGGTTCCTATCAGGCGAGTATAGGTTCCATAGTCATCCAGCCTTAGGTATATGGACCGTTTCGGCTTTCTACGGACCCGAGGTAATAATGTACATTACTTTACTTTATCCTTTCAGACTGAAGGAAATTTATCTGAAACTATGTTATAAAGAAACATAAAGTATCATCTAAGGCGAAAAGAGCTTACAGACTAGAAGACTTAAATATCGTAAAAGAAACGTCATATAAAAGCAGCGTTTTTCAACCTTTTTATCGTAACGGCACCCTTTTCGAGAAGTCTCTAGGGGTGCCGCGACAGAAATTAATTAAAGATCTATTTTAGGATCCATTGAAAGATAAAGGTCAATTTCATGGTAACAAAATATTAGAGACTTCATATTTTCCTAAAGAAGTAACATTTTAAGAGCAATTAAATGTTTTTTCCTTGCTCGCTTCACTCGCTCGCTACATTTAGAAACAGTATGATTATAGCCAGTGAAGTGCCTGAATACCCAGGTCGTCAACGAGGTGCCAGAATATCTCTTTGACAGTCATGTGCCTGAATATTGTCACATCCGGGCACCAGATAATTTTATGTATGATATTTTCATATCTAATTGACTAAATATTTGACTTTTGTATTCATGTATTGGACAGGAATGCTCAGAAATGCTCTGATAGATGCCCCTTTTCCATTCTCAAAAGCGCCCTATTTTCACTATCTTGTGAGTGCCCCTTTTTAGGTGCAAGAAGTGCACATTTTCACCTCTGTTTACCCTTTGTAATTTGACATGTGCTCCTTTTCTATTCTAACAGGTGTCCTTTTCCTTTTGATATTTAAGTGCCCTTTTTACTTTCTCCAACACATATGTATATAGGCTAAATCTTCTTTTATTTTGTTTAAAGATACCAATATGGGTTTCCTGATTTCACTTAAAGGGGCATGTTCCCCGTATTCCAGAGGGCGTTCAAAATACGTACCCGCTGGCGGACGGTGCTAGCTGCCTATTGACATCAACAGAATACGGCTCTTACGCAGATGGCATGTTCCGAATGCCCGGACAATGCCGATTATCACATACATGTGCCGAAGTAATACCAATCGCAGTTCGGCTCTAAGATTCGGCTGCTGTTTCCGCCCACTTTCGTGACGTCGCGATCGGCAGCAATCAGCTGGTTTGGCGAAGGCAGGCCAGGCCGCGCGTACTTTGATTGGCAGCTGTATGCAAATTAGAAGTCGACCTTCGGAACCAAGATGGCGATGACTAGAGCAGCGATAACTGCACTGGCGGGAACATGCCCCTTTAATATGTGCATTTTATCTGTAGGCTCCTATCACTTGAAATATACTTATCGACGAAAAAACAGTTTTGTCTTGTATGCTAGTAGTTCCATGTCTTAAAACTATATTCAGAATAAGAGCTTAAAGAGATTAGATAGGAGTTAAATGCACTCTCACCCAACCTAAAGGCAACCAATGAGTAGATTACTCGGCCCACCTGTAATCAAGCGTTTAGTTAGAACTTACAAAAAATATGGACCGCACGTAACTCAAGTCCGACTTGGATTCCATGAGCTTGGTTTCATGTTATTCTTTATTTTCTTCATGGTCCTTATATGTTGGTCCATAGAAAGCTTAGTAGATTTTTATTGAGGAAGTCGATTTTGTACATTCTTACTGCACACAATTTGATTGGTACATTGTAACGGGAGTCTATTGTTTGCAATAACCTGAGCATATGGAAACGTTTGCTTGGATTTGTCTCATAAAAGAAGTCGACCATAACTCACAGCGTTGAGTGCATGGGTCGATCAAGTGCACAGAACTGTAAAATACGTAGAGTGCTCATCCCAATTCACAATGCACGATTAGACGTGTGGCCGTTGAACGCGCTGTGAGATCCGCTCGAGTGCACACGCCGCCATTTTGCTTAGTGCTCGATCTTTTCAGCTCACAAATTTCGAGAATTCCAGCCTGAACTGTCGTTGAGAAAAATGCGGCCAACACAAAAAGAGGACTAACAAAGATGGCGGATATCACGTGATCACGTACGTACGAGCGCTGGCCACATTTTCGAACCACTATGAGCCTTCTACAGTGGCGGATCCGGGGGGGGGGGCACAGGGGGCACGTGCAAAAAAAATAATCTTGAAATCAGCCCCAAATTGCGCCAAAAATGTACTGGCAAACAGGGACGTGCCCCCCGGCCAACAAAAAATTAAAAATAAATACGTGCGCACTCCCGCCCCCCGCCCCCCCTCCCCAACTGAGCGATTTTGCGGCCGGCGCTTTTTCCTAATATTCGGGAGCAACCCCCCCCCCCTCCCCCGCTTATTCAGCGGCTGTGGTCACGACTGTAGTTCCGTTCCGTGAATGAGTAAATTCCGACAAAAATATACAACCAATCAAAACAATTTTTTTTTTTTTTTTTTTTTTCTGTTTTTATTGTTATTTTTGAAAAATTAACAGAGTAAAAGCAGCAATATAAAATATAATATCTTAAAACTACAAAACAGGCACGCACTCATGCACCCATAAACATGCACACATACACACACACACACACACACACACTCACATACTTTCCCAGAGGGCAAGTTTACATTTCAAAAAGTCAATGAAGATGTTAATGACAACAGAGCTTTGCAAGACTACTCCTAAATTTCAGTTAAACTTGATAGACCATTTCTTAAAATGGACTTGTAACTTATTTTTCTTTTGGGCAATTTTATATTCTATTTTTTGTTTGAACTTTACCATTGAAACAAATGCTTCGAAAATAAGTTCTTTTCCCTGAAACCTACATGAGTAAATATAATATTTTAAACATAAACAGAGAAAATTTATACAAGAGGCGTATTTGTCCCTTGACTGTATCCCAAACAAAAAATTAAATTTTGACAAAGTCAGATTATAACTGTGATCAGTGCCAGTGTTAATCTTATCCACCAATTTTTCCCACAGTGGTAAAACTCTCCTACAGTCACAAAACAAGTGATCTAAAGTTCTGGAAAATCTGAACAAAAATAACAATTAGCAGACTCCTTTCTCCCAATCTTGAACAAAAATGCATTAAAACCAATAGCATTATGGAAAATTTTGAAATAAAAACTCCTTAACTGAGTCTCAATCGTGCAACAAAAGTTACTCGTATGAATAATCGACCAATCCTTCTCTTTGGGTTGATGGCCAAATAGTTCCTCCCATTTACTCTCCCTTTTGGCATTAGTACAACTATATTTCTTCAGCAAAATATTATATGTATACTTAGACATTTTCTTTTGACTTAATAGATCTTTAAAAATTTGATTAAATATATTCTCATCCACATTAAGAGAATTATCAAACCACTCCAAAGATATGCCATTCATGAGGGAGTCATATTTTTTTTGGTCTCTAATAGGAATGTCAAACTCAATTACGAGGTCTTCAAATGTTTTGGGGTTACCAAAACCATTATGTAATTGAAAAATGGAATGAATACCCCTTTCATACCAAACTGGATAGAAAAAATGTGTTCTATATTGCAATCTTACATTTCTATTCCACCAAATAAAATCTTGTAAATGAAACTGACATAAACCTAGTTCTCTTTTCATCTCTTGCCTATATAAATACCATGTCTTAATAGACGCTGTTAACTGGCAATTTTTAAGTTTTGCCAAAACCGAATCAGGGGCATCTGCCTTAAAAAGGGCAAGATGGTCATCACAAAAGATAGAAAGAATATATATTTCTATTGTTTTCCAACAACTTTCATATTTATCGTCTAATAGTTTAGCCATCCACAAAACTTTCTGCGCTTGTGCAAAAACTAAAGGATTAATCATCCTTAGAACCCCTTCTTCATAATCATTGCATAATATATCTCTCTTAACTCTGTCATTGCCATTGCTCCAAATGAATTTAAAAAGCAAACCATTTAATCTTTTAAAGAAAGAGTTTGGCAGGTCAATACATAATACTGAAAACAAAAATAACATTTGGGGGAGTAAAAGCGACTTTACAACAGCAATTTTGCCCAACAAGGATAGGCTTCTATGCCTCCAACAATTTAAAATCTGTTCTATAATGACAAGTCTGGGAACAAAATTCAGTTCGTAAAGCATTTTTGTGTTCAATGAGAAAACCACTCCTAAAGCCTTAAACGTTTTTGATTTCCAATTCAACCCTAATGCATCTTGTGGAATAACTGTACTGCCTTTCAGCTTTCCTATATGAATTGCATCTGACTTACTTAAATTAATGTGACAAATTGAAAATTTTGCAAACTGAGTCAACGTTTCAAATAAATGTTTAAAGGAAACTGTTTCCCCATTCAAAAAACAAGTTGTGTCATCTGCAAAAAGACTTATCTTCTGTTCAAAGTTGCCAACTGAAAATCAAAACAAATTTAATACCATGCAGAAGAAAGCTAACGATTAGTATATTCATTAGCCACTTACCCCAAAGCCGCTTGACCGCAATGGAACGAGTGAGACCTTGCGAAAGTGGCCAAAGTGTGATTGAAACTCGCTATTTGCTCTTCTCCAACGCAAAAAGAGACGACATTGTGCTAGACAATATGTTTTTTCCGACAAAAGTACAGAAAATTGCATATTAATTGTCTTTTTATATTATACTTTTTGAAATGTTACCAAAGTGACTTCCGGGCACCCCAATGCTGGAAAGAAACGCACATTTGAGAAAACTTCACTTTTTCATGGAAAAATGCTTATTTGTTCTATGCACGCAAGTCAGATTGAGCGGATGATACAACGTTTCCATATGCATGTCGGGAATTTTATAAACCGGGTCCCGACGGCCGTGCACCGATCCGGAACCGGTGTCCCGATATCAGCTAGAAGGATCCGTCACTTGCCTAGAAATAGCGCATTCCATCAGTATGCCCCTAAAAGTGACCTTTTTCGTCTAAGAAATGCCACAGAAATTGTGATATTCGAGGAGTTGCCGGGTACATTTTTATCGAAAGGAGCCTGCTGCACGTATCTAATTAGTATGCTCGAATCCATTGTTTTACTGCTTTTTACCGCAGAGGGCAGTATAGTGGATTCTAGCCTAGATCCATCTTTACACTATTCTAGCCTCATGATCAACATAAACAGTACATGTGCACGTACCTCGCAGCAGGCCCATTCCAGCAACTGGTCAGTCTGGTCCTAGTTTGAAATCACTATTACCTCTCATTATAATTTTCATATTTAATCCTATTTTTTAGTTCCTTGTCGAGTCAAGTGCGACATTTGTAGTCAAGGAGTATGGTGAGTTATACTGTACTTTCTTAAATTTAGACATTGTTTACTCCTACATGTTTTTTTTTTTTTTTGGTTTTATTTTTTTTAATTTTATTTATTTATTTTATTTTTTTTTTTGGGGGGGGGGGGGGGTTGATTATTTGCATATCATTTCTTTGTGTAAAGTTATATCATTCTTATGTGTGTAGTGCGTATTCCAGCAAAACAAATTCAATGTACATGTATGTTAACCATATAACATTCTACTTTTCTGACGAAAATCTGGCTGTGTTTTTGTAATAATTTAGGTAAATTCTATTCAAGAAAAAAGAAAGTTTAGGCTCAAGCCTAAAGTGACTTATTTCAGAATCCATCCTTGGTGAGCCGCTTTAAAAGAGGGAACATCAAGATTATGTTGTTCAGCTTGAAAGTTTATATCTTTAAAGAAACACGGTTAATTGCTATTTGGTCTACAACTAGTTCGTCTAATTTCCATATGGTCTACACCTAGCCCGTCTATACTATCCACATGATCTAATTTCTAATGCACATTTCGTTTACCATCCCCAAAAAGGTCTGATAATCATTACTTATTATCATTATTTATGATTACTAGATCATTTAGATAGTAGACACAATACGGGCACAACTGCACAAACTGGGAATTAGACTAAAAGAGCAATATACCTAATGGGTAGTTTACTTATTGGAGATTAAAGGTACTATGTCCCATTTGCAGGCCCAACAAATGAAAAGGTTAAATTCCAACGGCATTTGAAAGATAATACTAGTTTAGAACTTCCCTAAAAAAGGTGGGGCTTGAAAATGTCTTCAAGCGGGAAAATAACGACTATTAGTTGTCAAATCGACTGAGGAGCTATGGAGCCAATAAGTAATAATCTTGATTTTCAGACCATTGTACCGAATGGTCATACGTTTTATGCTGCGCAAAGATTCAATCAGTTTAATTTTGGCCATCACAAGAAGTTGGTTATTGATGTGGACAAATGCTCATGTACCCTTTAAAGCTCATTTTATGTATGTTATTACCAAAGAAGTAAGTCAATCAATGGTGTCTGACAGTGAAGTCTAGCAAGTAAACGGGTTTCGTTGCATAATTTGAATATTAGGACATTGCTAACGTTCAAATTTCACAGAGAGGACATACATGACATATTCATAATTCCTGCAAAGTTCTACAGAATTTGAGGTTGGCTGCAAAAGGGACATGTACCTTTAAACCAAATGGAAATTAGATCAAAATGACTTTTAGCCTAAATGGTCAGTAAACCGAATGATAAGTAGACAAAAATGATTATTAGGCATATGGAAATAGACCAATGTATAGACAAACTGGTTGCGGAGCGAACGGCTCTAAACAAGAAACTTCACCCCCAGATAATAAGTATGGGTACAATGCTGAAATTTATTTCCAGCCTATTGATGAACAATTTTCTTTACGAAATGTTCAAAAGAATGAAGATATTATTGGCATGATGTAATGCCTTTTGGTTATTTCTTGGGGTGAGGTTTCCTTTAACAGGTGAAAAAGAATGATAATAATTAAGAATTGAATTCCTGTTCACAAATGTGGAAATGTGTTTTCCACCATCATTAGCAGGTAATGCAGTTCAATTTAGGGAAGAAAAAATACAATAGGAACACATATATACAAATGAAGAAAAATATAATTTGTTCACTGAACGAAAGGATGTAAATAGAGTTTTAATAGTCTGTTCATTTCAGTTACTTTTCTAACTTTTTTCGTCATAAACCTATTATTTCGCTTCCACTTGTTATGCTCTCTTGAATCTCTTCCTTCATTTTCTTACTGTATTCGTAGTTATTATTATATTTTGTTATGGTTTTTGTTATAATTCTGATTTGTTGACATTTTATATGCTCTACTGCTCTTGCATACATGGGTTAATGTGTATTCATGATTCTAATCACATGTAATTGGATATGTATTTTAATTCTCCACTGCAGTTCTACCGACATTTTCAGTGAGCATCGAAACGCCTAAATACATTCTAGCCGGAGCTTATTCAGTGGTCTCGACAATAAATGCTCAGTAAGGAAATCAGAAAATCATTTCAGAAAACTGCCATATATGTTCCCCGACATCCTATTGGAATACTCGTTGAATTTAATACACGTGTTTCAAAGAATTGTCGGCGAACTTGAAGTTAATACAGTTTCATGAACTGCTGCCTTGTTTTAAAAACCAGTTCAAATCAGTAAACATTTTTTTTTTTAAATTTCATGAAGACAGTGTAATACTGGTGACTAGTTGAATGGCAATTTAGTCATTTGACCGTTCTTCACCTTCATACGCATGAAAAAAATACCCAATTCCTGAATAAAGAAGTGACTCTCAACTACTTTCATGCTTCCGGTAAATCACTTTCATGCGTCTGGTATATTTTCTTCTCTAAATTGGGCGATAACTCTTTTTACTCCCATTCTATAAATCAGATATCAATGCGCATTGCGCAGGTTTATTTTGTGGTTCGGTAGAATTGTGCAGGTAACGGTAACTTTGCGGTGATGTAAAACACACTCGGCTACGTCTCGTGTGTTTAAACCATGCGCAATTTTCCCTTATGCACACAATTCCTACTGACCCACTCATACCTGCGCATCATTTGTATACCGTTGGGTGGCTTTAAACCATGCCCAAAGTTATCTTGTGCTCAAAATTCCTTTCCGACCTACTCATATCTGCGCATCATTTGTATACCATTGGATGGCTTTAAACCACCACTATCATTTGTTCGAACTGTCTATGTAGGTACGTATTTGGCAAGCCTGTGCTTGGCCGCTATACCTTTAAGTATGGCGTTATCCAGGATGGTACTGTTCAAGAGCTGGGAGAGAGGCAAGGTCTGGTAAGTGGATTGTGATTTTTTTCAAAAGGATAAATCTACACACTGTTGGTCAAAATGGTGGAATAATTATTTTTACCCCAATTTATGAAATGACTTTGACAATGATTTATTCCTAATAGATCTAGATAATAGTTAGACAGAAATAACCGTCTGATTTGGGTCATTTATTTTAATAATATAACTGACATTTGTTGACATGCCCTAATACAATATTATAATCGGAGGTCTAGTGGAGCCAGACGTAGTCTCTGTGGATCAACCGACGATATAGAGAAACTGAAGCTTTTGGTCTAGATGATAGTATACATTCTCAGATTTTATTGAAAAATAATTTGCGAGTGTTTGTTTTGCGTGACTGCTAAAGCATGTGTATGCTACTATGCTAATCTGGGGGACCTACGTCCTTAGAGCTAAGTCATAACTGACAGTAATGAGGATTAATGCCTCGTAAAAGGGCACTAATATAGCACATCAACATGGTTTTGATCCTCGGGCTCACACTAGCGAGGCCATTGCTTAGCCACTGAATCATTAATGTACGCAGCGGGGGCTAGGGTACGCCGCACAGTGGGCCAGGGAGGAACCAAAGTGCGCCAAAACTCATGTTTGGGGATTTATTTTTTATAAATAAAGATTTCCAGGGATTGCCGCTTAAATTTTATTACCAACATTTTCTCTGATGTCTTTAAGTTGATACCAGATTTGGCTGCCCGATTCTGCCCATTATTATGTTAGAGCCGTTTTCCTTGCAACATTGCCCCGAAAAATGTGTTTATTTTGGTCCGCGGTGTCAGATCAAGTGTGACGCGCCCCCTCGCGCCGTGATTTATGACCACGAATCCTTCATGATTCAGCCGCGGACCCCCAAAACCACATTTTTGGGGCAATGTGGCAAGGGAAATCGGCTCTAACGTAACAACGGGCAAGATCGGGCAGCCAAATTTGGTATCAACTTGAAGCTTAGACATCAGAGAAAATGGTGGTATTAAAATTTAAGCGGTACACCGCAGAGATCTAAACATTTCTTCTGGATTTATAAAAAACATGGATAATTAGTCCATTTTCAGTGAATTACCCTTTAATATATCATGAAGATTGTATTTCTATTCATTTTAACCCATTCATTCAACGAAATGAACTATCAGGAATATGTGAGAGCAATTTCATATCAATAACTTAAAAACTTCATGTTGAATTGAAAGATTTATAAAATAAGTCACTTTCATATGGCTCCGGTTAGTCTCATTTCACAACGCCCCCTATCGTCAGAGCATGATCTGAGTCGGCAGCCTAACATGTTAGCCTATGGACGTTTTTTTTAAAATCGTTAAAAATTCATTTTTTGTTTAAACGAAAAGCACATCCACCCCGACGTACGTTATCCCTAGCTCTTTCATTGGAGCCCTCATGTCTCATTGACTTTTGAAAGTTCACCCACCGTAATTTTTCAAAATAGGTTGCAAGCTCGTCATTGCCTATAATACACGTGTGAAACAAGTCTAACTTTGGACTCAGTTTACCAAGCGATTTGAAGGTTATAGGTCGAGCACACGAAACATAAAAAGCATGAATTATCATAGATCACTTCTGCCTATTTCATTATGTCCATTTCATCCAACCCCCCACCGTAATTTTTCCATTTAGTAAAAGCAAACATTTTGCCGAGTTTAGCAAAAACATGAATATTCATGAACGATCAGACAATACAGCCTTTATAGTACGTAACGTATAGTGAATGGAATGGGCGATGATCCGTTCAGAAGGCAGAGGTCAGTGGTTTGTGCTGGCAATGTTCACGCGAGCGAAAATGAGACAATCGGAGCAATATGTGCACTAAAACTGTGAATATGTAGGATTTTCCTGTTTGAAGTAGTAAATTTATACCCTTATTGTGCATACCGGAATTAAATATTTCACTGAGGTATTCCTCAATGTATTACCTTTCAACTGGGCAAGAAACAAATTGAAAAATAAAAATCACCCAAACTTAGTTTTGGCGCACTTTGGTTCCTCCCTGGCCCCACTGTGCGCACAGTGGGCCAGGGAGGAACCAAAGTGCGCCAAAACTCATGTTTGGGGATTTATTTTTTATAAATCCAGAGGAAATGTTTAGATTTCCAGGGATTTTCGCTTAATTTTTATTACCAACATTTTCTCTGATGTCTAAGCTTTAAGTTGATACCAGATTTGGCTGCCCGATTTGCCCGTTATTATGTTAGAGCCGTTTTCCTTGCAACATTGCCTCGAAAAATGTGTTTATTTTGCTCCGCGGTGTCAGAACACGTGTCACGCGCCCCCTCGCGCCGTGATTTATGACCACGAATCCTTCATGATTCAGCCGCGGACCCCAAAAACCAACATTTTTCGGGGCAATGTGGCAAGGGAAATCGGCTCTAACATAACAATGGGCAAGTTTGGGCAGCCAAATTTGGTATCAACTTGAAGCTTAGACATCAGAGAAAATGGTGGTATTAAAATTCAAGCGGTACACCGCAGAGATCTAAACATTTCTTCTGGATTTTTAAAGAACATGGATAATTAGTCCATTTTTCATTGAATTTCCCTATAATATATCATGAAGATTGTGTTTCTATTAATTTTAACCCATTCATTCAACGAAATGAACTATCAGGAATATGTGAGAGCAATTTCATATCAATAACTTAAAAACTTCATGTTGAATTGAAAGATTTATAAAATAAGTCACTTTTGCACTAAAACTGTGAATATGTAGGATTTTGCTGTTTGAAGCAGTAAATTTATACCCTTATTGTGCATACCGGAATTAAATATTTCACTGAGGTATTCCTCTATGTATTACCTTTCAACTGGGCAAGAAAAAAATTGAAAAAAATAAATCACCCAAACTTAGTTTTGGCGCACTTTGGTTCCTCCCTGGCCCACTGTGCGGCGCCCCCACAAATACACCAAAAAAAATGCAATTAATTATCAATAATTCATTGCATTGTCCCCCGGTCCCCAACAAGACAAATGCAATTAATTATCAATAATTCATTGCATTGCCCCCGGTCCCCAACAGGAAAAATTTCTTTGTAGGGCCATGCATTATGGTTCAGGTCATGCCCACATAGGGGATTTTTTTTTTTAATGTTGGGGGTCGGGGCAAAATGCAATGAATTATTGAGAATTTTGTTGTTGTTGTGCCTCGATCCACCCACCGAAGGTGGTTCCGAAGGCATTATGGTTTGGTCAATTGTCCGTCCTGCATTTTCGCTATCACGATATCTCAAGAACCACTTGAGATATAACCTTAAAACTTTATGATTGTATGTATCATGATAGGAAAACAATCTGGTTAGATTTTGGAGTAACTAGGTCAAAGATTTAAGGTCAGAGAGGGCAACTTCTGAAATTCCGGCTAAATTAGCCTCGTTATTACACAATCTATATAACCACTATATAGATATGAGGCTCTTACTTGGTGATAATATGTATGACCTTAGGAAGATGATCTGACAAGACGTTGGCTTGATAGGTCAAAGGTTAAAGATCACAAGGTAAATATCTGAAATTCTAGATATCATCCTTGTTATTTCGATATCTCAAGAACCACTGGAGATATGAAGCTCAAACTAGATGGTAGTATTTATTACCCTAGGAAGATGATCTGATTGGATTTTTAGTAAATTGGTCGAAGGTCATAGGTCACAGAGGTCAATATCTGAGTATCCTTGTTATTATAATATGTCAAGAACTTGAGGTATGAGCTCCAAACATGGTGACAGAATTACTATAGGAAGATGATCCAATTTCAGTTAGGGGCTACAAGCTATAGACCTAATCGTAATCGTCAGTTGACATATGAATATAGGATTTTTTTCTTCATCGTGATATGTCACAAATGCTTAGATTTGTTGTGTATCACATAAATGTATAAAACAAAACCTAAACAAAACTGTTATCAATCTTTTTTGTATTGGAGGCATATAGGAGATGCAGTCGCATTTGTCTTGTTCATTGTGGGTCTGCCTCACACCCATGTGATCTCCTCAGTGTTCTCATCAGGGGAGGGGGCCATATTTAGACATACAGTGATGTGCCGCTCTAATGAGTCGATTTCTCACCATAAAACCCCTAAACATGGGTCTCATTTTGGGTCCGTGTTTTTAAAAGAATTGTGGAAAATGGCCTATTTTTCGAGAAAAATCTGCCAAAATGACCCTTGAAAATGGGTAGGGGTTTTGAGGCTTGAGCGGCACACCCCTGTCCAACCCCCCCCCCCCCGGGGGGGGGGGTTTAATGGTACCTCTATCACTAGGTTAAGGTCACAAGATTAATCTACAAGGGGGAGAAGGGAGAGAGCCTTGTGATTGCAGTGGTGGATCCAGGATTATCTATGACAAATTTGTGACAAGTAAAAAAAGATCTACTTATACATGTAGAATGAAAATGAACGAAACAACAAATTCATTTTTGTGTTACATGTATTTTGGGGTATTTTTGGCAGGCCGCATCAAGTCCTCTCGCATGTAACATTTGGCCCGTGGGTCTTTATTTTAATTTGAACCGTCGCATCTGATATAACCAATATTATCACTTTTTATTCATCTTTCTATCAGATTGGTGATACTGGAAGGGCTGTAGTTACTTTGGATGATCTCAGTACTGATTTTGATGGTCCAGACTGGTTTGATCGGTTCAGAGGTCGCCATTTCCATGCAAAGGCAATCGTACACGAATCAGCGACTCAGTTCAGTGAAGCAAGCATCAACACGAAGGCAATTTTCGTCGACTCACCATACAAATTCAGTAGAAAGCGAACTGTGCAGTACTTCAAGGCTGGGCTCAATCTGCAAGTAAATGTAAGATAAGAAGAAACTCAATAAAGATTAAAATTCATTGGTCTGTATTCTATTAATTTAGTTAAATTTTTTCCTGGGTCTCAGATCACTTTTGACAAAGTAAAACTTACACCTCAGTCTAACCCTCTTTGTTTAAATTTCAGCAGAATAATAATAATAATATTTAATATTGTTAAAGTGTACATATATTCACCACCCAAGGTGCTCAATGCGCTCCAATATTTCTCTGGCTCTACAAGGCTACCAATTTCAGTGCTCACAGCATTGAAGGAATTCCTTTCTACCGGTACCCATTTCACACCTGGGTGGAGAGTGACAAATGTCTTGTCAAAGAACATTAGAATATAGGAGGTCTGCGACCTGAGAGATGTCGGGAAGCGGACAACCAATTTCACAAATCCATGATAACCGACAAATTCATGATTTCGATACTATCGGCTAAAAAATATAATCTTCATTATGATCGATTAATTTTATTCTATATCACAAAAAATTGTTATGAGGCTTAGATTTACTAAAACTGTTTAAAAAAAATTAAAGATTGGAAGCCACTATTACTATATCTATTTAACAAAATAATGAAAACATAACATTTTAGTACTCAAAGTTTTTACATTTTCTTATCAAATAATTAAATTATGCGATTGAATTTGTATCAAGGTTATGCTTGTAAAGGGAAAATATCGAGAGAAGTACCTACACGACAATTGTCATCATTCTCATGGGTTCATAATTACAGAATGTTCCATCTTTCGCGACTTTGCTATGGTAGAAAGATGTATGGGAAGAATACAGTCATTCTTTTTTTATATAAGAATAAGTTGTCACGGTATGCTTGTTTAGTGCTTTTGTATTAACACCAATATGAACTGTTCAATAAATTGAGAGCTCGAAGATAAAGAAAGAAGTTTTAAAATAGATTTCAGTCTCCATATTTTTGCTGCCCAAAGACTTATTTAAAGTTAAAGGGATAGTTGAGTTCTGTTTTCAGACCGCAAATGCCTTCAAAGTGCATGGTTATGGCTCTTATTCTTATCTATGACATTTATAGTGCCCTTTTAGAACCTAAAATTGCTATAAAGGTAATTGTAGACCCAAAATGTGTGAAATTCAGCCAATACGATCATACCAATTCAGCTCCACTTTAAAAAAAAACATGGTGACCGTTAATTAATTATTGAATTGAAAATAACATTACACGAGCCGACTAATTGTGGATATTATAAGCAATACAAAAATGCCAACAAAAAAAGCCAACATCGGCATTGGCTGAAATACGACGTAAAAGGCGTTATTTCGTTTTTTTCAACGGTTTTTTCAAGTTTTTCAAAATATCTAATATTTGTGGTGGTACACAAGTATTAGAAATCGGTATATTTCAGCCATCTCTGAACCGATTTTGATCAAACAAAGATGATTTTGTAATTTCAATATTATGTTCTTTCAAATTTGACACTCAGTTTTTCATTATCTTACAAAAAAATTATTTTGTGTAGCGCCCTCTGCAACAGAACTCAACTATCCCCTTTAACATGAGATGGCGTTCTAACAAGATTTGACAGGTTTGGAGTCGCAACAAGTCTCTTGTTAGGGAAGTTGTCGCTCGTCTTGGCAAAGACGGTTTTGTAAAACAATTAGTAGACAAGTCGATGACAGGGTCGAGATTTAGTTGATCTTGTACTTATGACAGTTTTGTGAAGCGACCCCAGGCCCCTACATGTATGTGCCAATTGCAGTAGATGACTTAATCAATTGTCTGTTTTTTTACGTTCATTCTGTTTGAGACATCATGGTTAAATTGTTAAAAAGGGAGGTAGAGGATTAAAAATAAATTTTGAAGCGCCCAACCTAAAATATTGGAGGCCTGTCGGGGAATTAAACCCGGGACCTTTCGTACCATAAATTACTTCTCCTTTCTTCGCAGCTGGATTTAACATTTGCAAATGGAGATGTGGCCACCGATGTTCCTGTAAGTGTCATAGCAACTGCCAGATTTCCAGGTGGTCGAGAGGAGCCACTACGGAGGACTGATATATATGGTAGTCAGGTAGACCTGAGATCCAACACTGATGATCAAGGAGGAGTCAGTATGGATTTTGGTGTCCAATCAAGTATAAGGAGCATTCACATTGTGGTAAGAAGACAAAGAAAACAAACTTATTTAGAACAGGACCCTTTGCTAGAGGGCTTAATGGTTCACATGTTGTTCTTCAAATTGGCATCAAGATTCTTTTCTTTCATCACTACATTTTTCTCATTAATTTATGTAATGTGGCTAAATACAATATTCATGTACATGGGTAAGAACTTTATCGATAAGTAAAAATAATGGCCAGTTTTCATTAAAACAAAATAATTTCAAACCTTCAATGTGTTGTCAAGTTACGAATTTTAAAGGTATAGACCAGTTCTGGTGGTGCGATTGCAATGTGAATGAAACGTTGTGGAAACTATCAGAAGAGGTTGATCATCTAGCATATAAGTATTTGTGTGTACTGCAAGGTTCTGGATGATAAGAAATTTAGCCCAGTCTTGGTAAAGTTACAAGCACTTGTACACAGAAAGATGTATAGGACTATATACCCGAGCTCGATATCTATCCAGTCCAAATCGATATGATAATTTACCAAATATATCAATAAGTAGGCGGTTTCCTGGCAAAATTTGTATCATTACGTATTAGTAAAAACACATTTTTCACATGATTGGTAATAAGACCTTCCACTTCATTTTTTGAGAAGGGGGCGTTTCCAAAACTGGTCTAAACCTTAAAAGTTTTTAGTTTTGTGTTGCCTTTTTAAAATTCCTGGCATCAAATGCTACGTGGTCATGAAACTAAAATGGACGTAGTATGTGCAGAAATGTTTGCTCTTTCTAATCATGCATTTGTTTATATTTGAATAAAAAGTTATTGAGCTAAACCACAAAATGTGGAACGACAATTTTTAAAGAAAAGGCATTTTTGTGGAACAACACTTTGTGATTAGCAAAAATTCAACATTGTGCCAGTTGCAACCTAATTATTATGTCGCATGAAACTTTCAGGAATCCGAGCGCCTCACACATTTTGTGAAAGATTCTTGCATGCAAAAGATAAAACCCAATTTATGATCTTTAAGTCATAGAATGTGCAGTAGATCAAAATAAGGGCAAGGTCAAAAGTGAACGTTACAAAATGCACTGCCCTTGTTCATTCAAATTATACCATAACCCAAGCTTTTTTCAACAGTTGTCAACCTAGGCATGATACTTCAGAAAGTTTATAACTATACAGTATAAAATCTTGCTTGACATTTCACCATAGGGCATGAATTTCAAGTTTTGATTCTTTAGAATTTAGCTTTCATGGATGACCAGTTGGGAACCATAATAGCCCCACTGTCATATACAAAAATAACACTCTCTTAGGTCAAAGAAAGAAGAGTGCTCTGTATGTTATACAATACTAGACCAGTGTTTACCAGTTCATTTTGAAACTTTTCACTCTTCACCCTGCCTTTTATTCGTATGTACTGCTTATTTCATGGCTTCAAAATCATAACAAATATGGTATCATTTTAAAGAGGAATAAAAACATTTTCTAATGATATTATTTAAAACAATGATAATGCCATGATAAGACAGCTATAATCGATCAAACTTGAGTTTTCATTTTTTTTGAGAGGTTTGGTCTGAGGTCTTTCTCTTTTAAGTTGACCTGAGCCAACGGCTCAAGTGAATGATTGCGACTTATTTTGTCCGTCGTCTGTAAGACTGGGTATATGCCCCCAAGGTTAGCCTCATTTTTATGCCGCAACCAAGTAGCCGGAGGCATAATGTTTACGGGTTGTCCGTCCGTCCTTCCGTCACGGCACGGTACATCCCTCCGTACATTCCGTTCCCGTGATCGTGTTATCTCAAGAACCGATTGGTGGATTCCTGCCAAACTTGGGTCATGTCAATAAGAGCTTCCGTTTCATTTGTTGAGAGGGGGGCGTTTCCAAAACTGGTCTATACCTTTTTTAGATTACAATCAAACTTGAATTTAAATTTTTCTTCCGTCTTGTTTGTAAAATCGCTCTATTGCGGGGGCATCATTTTCGACTGCGAGCAGTCGAAGATCCATCTAATTTGTTTCATATAATAGATCATGCAATATAGATATGATTTCATACCAAAATATTGGTATGGATTCTGGCTAAACAATGTAGAAATTCTTTTTTGTGAAGAAGACTTATATTTGTTTGAATGGGATACCTGCCCCTGCAGGGGACTTTGAAGTAGCAACCCTATTAATTGTCCTAATGCTCCAATAAATCTTATATGATCCTGGGGAAAATGGGATGGGAGCTAGGTCCCTTTTTGATTAGTCCAATGACTGTCATGTCTCCACCTTTGGAGTAAGTCTCCACCAACCAGGGGCAGCACCCCTAAATTGCCCTAATGTCTAATAAATCTTATGTTCCTGGTGCAAAGGGGATGGGAGCTAGGTCCTTTTTGCACGGCTCCTTCTTTCATGAGCTCATGTGAACGTAAGGTCTACGGACATCTTGTGTATTAGTCCAATGACTGTCAACCAGGTACATATAACTTCAGTCAGTAATTTACATGTCCAGTTTTTTGTTATTTGTGTCTTTATGATGCCTGACATTGTTCTTCATAATTAACATCATAGGCAAACATTTGGAAATGTTATGCTCTTTCTTTTTTATTGTTCCATTTTCATTCTGGACATTTTTAGCATATTAGGGGGGTGTATTTGTAGAAACCTCTACAAAGGGATGTGGTCACAGAAGTAATATCATATTTTATGCATGTGTCATTTTTTAGGCATCAACTCATGATCCGCAATATCCGAACAACCAAGCCGATATGTCCTTTGGAGTAAGTCTAGCAGACTCGGCCAATGGGAATGATTACTTGGTCATCAGACCCCGATATGCAGATTACCGTAGCCTGAATGTAAGTCAGAAAATATATTTTTTTACTGGGTTTCACCCACTCTGTGCTTATAAGCTTTGAATATTATTGTGGTTATCGTAAATGAGTTTCCAAAAGATCTTCTTGCTTAATACTTTGTCTGTTTCATGGGAGACTCAATAGCAGAAAGGTAGGTGCAGACCAACCAATACCAAAATCTCATTACAAGAGATAGCGTGATCAGCAAGTTATAAGAGCTGAAAATCAATCCTGGCGCCCTATTTAATTTAGTACGTGGATTAAGACAGTATTTTACTTAGCATTTTACTTGGCCATGTCTTAACTCGTATTCAGATCACATCTGAGCTACCTTAGTAAGCCAAATTTAGGGTAAAATACTTTACTGATCCAAAATCCAAAATGATGCGCAATATAATTGATGCGTCGTATTAAACTGCACAAATATATTTGTTCACAGCTTATAAAGACTGCTTTGAAAACCATATGCCTGCGCTGCCAGTCAAGGCCTCCACAAATTATTAGCTTAAGTCTGTAATAGGAAGCTGTCTTAAATTTAGGGTAAAATACTGAGCCAAAATCTTGAACTGAATACCAAAGTTGTCAAAGTATTTTATCCAAGCCAAGAATTGTGTAAAATATTCACATTCCTGACATAAGTATTGAATTGAATATCGGCCCTGAACCAAGCCCCGTCGCTAACCCTAAACCTAACGGAAAATGTATTGCATTCATAACCCTATGCTGAACAGAAAACCCATAGCGAATCCAGCCCTGACTGTATACATGAATGTTTGTATATCTATCTTTGATGAAATATGAAATATATTTTACAAATTTGTATACACACTGATAAAAACAAATTGTGTAAAAGAAACCGTAACAAGGGTATAACAACATAGTTTAGGGTAATAAAATTCATAAGCAATTTGGCATGGTGAAGGACTAAACACTACCAGTATACCTTGTAACTCTTACCCTAACTGGAACCTAACCTAAAACCCAATTGCAGCCCTACCCGCAGCCCTACACATGTGACAAAATAAGACTTAGGAGCAAATGTAGGATCAGCTAATTTCCACTTGTCTTTTTTTCATGATGTAGGTTGATGTGACAACTGATTTCTTGGTTCAGAGAATTGGAACAACAGGAAATGAAGACATAGACCTCCACTTTCTTGTAAGTTTATTTAAGTGCACTTACATTCTACATGCATGTTTGATAAACTGCTTTTAAACTGCAGTATAGGTCAAAACCGTGTTTTTTTTCGTAACGTTCTACTCGTCACATCTGTTTGTCGTACAACACATGCACAGATACATGTTAGTGGGCGCATGTATGTATAGGATTATAGTGCATTATTGTTGTTGTTTTTAAAGGAGAAAACAAAAATCGGCCACCATTTACCAAGCATATGTCAACTAGACTTTACTGTTCATCAACTTTATTTCAAAGCCCGCCTAAAACAGGGCAATTTTGTGTTGAAAACCCAAATAGGGTCTTCCAAGGTAAGTTCATGTATTGACCAAACTTGGATAGGGTGGTTCTGTATACTGTATAAGCAGTGTTTTTGCAATTTGTATGTTTGTAGATATTCACGTAAGGAACAAGATGATATAATTCGTTTTTTCCTAATTTGCAAATGTGCAAAATGCATTTTACAGAAAAATCAGCATAGGCCTATTTGTTTTTGGACTTGTTAAGAATCTTGAAATGTATTGAATAAATGTTTCCTTCATTCCAAATTCATAACGTTTCATTATTGTTAAGATAATTGAAAATGCCGCGCATAGGTTCATTTTCATATATTATGAATACACAAATTACGCATTCATGAATGTCAAATCTGCAAATATACAGGTAACTAGAATCATTACAAAAAATGAAAGACTCCACATTTTTAATGTTGAAACTCTTTTGTATATTTTCATCCACTTTCTCACAGTAGAATAATATTTATCCACTACCCATCATTCTGCATATTAACACTGCTCATATCCGAATTTATTAATAATGTATTCTTTTATTCTGGAATATATCATGTGACTTTGAGAAACATACTGGAATTTGATAGCAATTCATATCTCCCACTTATGAAGACAAACATAGAAATATAGTTTTTAGTTGCTTTAGGACAGTGGCGGATCCAGGCCCCCCCCCCTGAAAAAAAACGTGTAAAAACGCGTTAATTTTACCTTTTTTGGGAGATGCCCCCCCCCTCCCTCCCCTTGCGCTCAAGGAGGGGGGGGGGTGCAAATGTTCATATTTTCGAGGGCCAAAGAAAAAGATATAAAGCTCACTACCCCCCGCTGGGAGATCAGTCGGTCTTTGCCGGGACGCCGGGCGGAGAAGCTCCCCGAATTTCGCCCGGTTTTGACCGTCTGCATTACTTTATTCATGTTAATGCACTAACGTGTCTTGGTCATGTATTAGTTTATGACAAGCGGCTGGAAGGGGAGGGTGGGGGGGGGGGGGCAGATGCCAATACCCACATTTCCTAAAACAGCACAGAGTTCAGAAGAAGTACTTATCACTTGCACTCAGCACTCTGAATCCTTTGAACTCTCTGTACTACGGAATGTACAATCACTACTGTCCAGTACGTTAATATACCGAGATACTGGCTAAAATTAGGGGGAAAAATATCCTACAAAAAAGCACCTTTTTTACTCAAAATGTATATTTCGCACACTACATTAAACCAAATTAAATTGATATTAACTCTAAGGTATTCTAATTATCCATCTTTTGATACAAATCCATGTTGATTAGAGGTTTAACTTAAAATGTATCTTGATGTTAACACACCAAAGTAACACGTCCTCAATCATGATACACTAATACACGTATATGCATACGAATAGGCAAAGATGTCATTTTTTTCGAAATCAAATAAATAAGTTTGGGTTAATATAACTTTTCACTGAAATGAGATAGCATCACCTTCGCAAAGAATATCGTCCTTGTACATGGGCAAATATCTGAAAAGTTACAAAAAAAGGCACCTCATCGATTTTGATATATGGAAAATAACGGTTTTTGATAAAATTAAATATTTCGAAAAAAATTACAAAAAAAAAAAAAAACATATTTTTGATATAAATGTTGATGTTAACTAATCCCAATTTCGTTGAAATTAATATCTAAATGTAGATAATTTAGTTTTCATTCGTATGACACCAAAATTATGGTATTTCAAGATTTTTTAAAAATATTATTAACGAAATATTCTTTTTCGTCAAAAGGTGGGCTACAAATAAAAAATAAAAACACCTCTGAAATATTGTATTACGAAAAAAACTGTCAAGGTGTGTTGAGTTTGTGTAGTTGTAGCAGCAGGGGTATCTCCATAAGGGGGGGGTTGGGGATGTGACACCCCCACCTGTCAGGATATTGTCGGTAAAATTGCGCTGCCGTCGGGAAAAAAAAGAAAAGGGGGAGGGGAACAAAGAGAGGGAAAGGGAAAGAAAAGAAAAAAAGAAAAGGAAGAAAAAAAAAGGGGGAAAAAGGAAAGAAAGGAAAGGAAAGGAAAGAAAAGAGAAGAAAGAAAGAGAAAAAAAAGAGGGAGGAGAGGGAAGGAAGGAAAAGAAAGGAAAGGAACAAAAACAAAAAAGAGAAAAGGGAAAACAAAGAAACAGGGGATAAAAGAGAGAAGAGAGAGGGGAGGTAAGAGCCTGAGATAGGAGGAGTGGGAGTAAAAGAGAGAGGGGGTTGTTGGGTGGAGTCGTCTCGTCGAGGGAGTAAGAAAGACACGGCTAAATATGTTGCTGTGTCGGGTCATGTGTCGGTATTCTTGCTCGATCCTCGTGTACTATATCAATGCAGAAGTTTGAAGTCGGTGAGATGTATATTGTCGGTCGGCCGACAAGTTTTTTTTCCCTACGAACTGTGACTTTTTATCCGCTGTGACAACTTCGAGAGTGACTACAGCTACAACTTGTATTTTTTCGAAGTTTCACTTTCCTATAATATCAGCTTAAGAAATCAGAGGTTTAACATTTTCGTGGAAACTAAATTTAATCAAGGATTAACAGTCAACAACGGTATACGACGAATCATCGTCCTTTCTCAATATTTTGATGAAACGCCAAAAATTCCGCGCTCCGCGCAGGTGGGGAAAACTTCATTTAGACGAGTCGAATACAGTACGACGAATTGTCTTCTTTCTCTAATAATTTAAGGAAACGTCTAAGCTTCCGCGCTTCGCGCGGGTGGAGGAAAACTGAATTCAGATAAGGATTAAAAGTCGTGAACAGTACAACGAATCGTCTGCTTCCTCTAATAGTTTAAAGAAACGTCAAAGCTTCCGCGATTCGCGCGAGAGAGGGGAAACTGAATTCAGACAAATAGGGCTTATTAAGAGTCGAAAACGGTGCAACGAATCGTCTTCTTTCTATAATAATTAAATCAAACGTCTAAGCTTTTCGCGATTCGCGCGGGAAGGGGGAAACTGAATTCAGACAAGGATTAAGAGTCGAAAACGGTGCAACGTATCGTCTGCTTTTTAAAATAAATTAAGGAAACGTCAAAGCTTCCGCTCTTCGCGCTAAAGGGGGAAACTGAATTCAGACAAATAGGGCTTATTAAGAGTCGAAAACGGTACAACGAATCGTAATCTTTCTCTAATAATTTAATGAAACGTCAAAACTTCCGCGCTTTGCGCGGGAGGTGGAAACTTCATTCAGACAAGGATTAAGAGTCGAGCACGGTTAAACGAATCGTCTACTCTCTCTTATAAGTTAATGAAACGTCAAAGCTTTCGCGCGGGAGGAGGGGGGGGACAAGGATAAACAGTTGAGAACGGTACAATAAATCGTTTTCTTTTCCTAATAATTTAAGGAAACGTCTTCCGCGCTTCGCGCGGGAGGCCTATTACCCACACACCCTATAAAGGGACTTGGTAACATTGTTAAGTTGAGAGATAGTGGTGCTAAGGTTGTCACTTCTTCAATGCCAGATCTACAATCAAAGATAATCTGAAAATTTGATTGAAAACGGACCAATATTTATGGTACAAATAGCGAAAAAAATGATCTGATTGATTCCTTAATTCTCCCAACTATATTATTAGAATTTAATTACATTTTAGGTGAATGGAAATCGTCACAAAGCAATAAAATAACTTTACATTCCATTCCAGACATTTAAGTGTTGACAGATTTTTTATAGCCTGTTTTATGTCTTTTTTTCATGGAAAAACGGTTGGGAAAATTCAAAAATGGTTGGGAGAATTTACTGTTAATCACTGTTAAAGGGTGTCATACATCGACCTTTTCAAAGAAAACCATAGATATCTTCGTGGTTTGAGAATTTTTTTTTCAGGATTTTTTGCCTGTCAGAGGGTTAGTACAGTAAAAGGAATAACATTATATACAAAAATTAAGCAATTTTTTTCATCAACCTTCGACAATGTTACCAAGTCACTTTAATGAGCGTGCTTTGCGCGCTGTTTAGGTGATTCGCTTGCTCACTACCGCCCCTCCCTAAAATAAGATCCTAGCTCTGCGCCTGCATTAAAATATACGGCTATGATGCTGACTAAGTTAACGAAATAATTCGTATACAAATTATGCCGTCGAGGAAAATGACCTTTTGCGCATACGCAAGTACTATAGATAGTCCTTAGGAAAAATAATTAAGCCTTCGGCCCCGGGTTTATAGGGTTAAATTTGTAGATATAGGGAAATTTAATTTTGTCGGTAATTGGTGGCTAGTTTTGTCGGTAATCTTTGGCTTCTACACCCCCCCCCCCCCCCTCCACTGAAAAAGGTCTAGCGACGCCCCTGAGTAGCAGGCAACTAAAAAACTAAGCATGATCTTTGACTTTGGCCCTCCACTTAAATTAGGTTAATTAATATATTGCAGCTACTATATATATATATATATATATATGTAAATAGAAAATATATAAATTCGCAATGCTAGATGGAATACCCAAGAGGCATGGGTTAAATCTTCACAAGCGCTTTCGATTTATTCTCATCTGGTGAAAGAAGTACATATATATACATATAATTTTGTATATATAGCCACGTGCGGATCCACGGGGGGGGGGGGGGGCGACGGGCCCGGCCCCCTCCCTCCCTGGCCTTTTGTTTTATATAATTTGTTGTAGTTAGTGCCCACACTACCCCCCCCCTCCCTACTGAGCGAACAACGGTCTGAGCAATTTACGAATTACCGAGGGCAAAAATAAAAAATAATGCTCATTACCACCGCAACCTCCCCCCCCCCCCCCCCCCCGCTTGTTTAGCGGCCGGCTAAGTCGTTGTGAAATTTTCTCTCAAAAACTGGACCCCCCCCCCCCAAAAAAAAAAAAAAATGTGCTCTTACCCCCCCCCCCCCCCCCCCCCCATCATATTTGAAATATGACCCATAAGATCTCAAGAATGTACACCACATCATTCATGCCACATATTTGTGTAGTCCCATATACACTTTATAGTATTTGTTGCATGTGACCAATTAATTATCATTTTATTTATTCCTAAACCTCACAATATTTTTGTGCTACACGATCAACCTTTCCAATTGCGTCCACAGTTTTTTTTTTTCACATTGCAGTTGCATGGCTAAAACTCAACTTAAACTTAAATGTTTGTTTGCAGTGCATTACAGGTGGCAAGATTGTTCTGCAGGGAGTTCAGCAACGCATAAGTGCATTTGGTACAAACCTGCCCATAACAATCAGATCCAACATGGTTCCACGAATGCGACTGATTGTCTACTATGTCACTATGGATGGCAGCGTTATTGCCGACTCTCTCCTTTTAGGTGTGGAAGAACAGTGCAGACAAAACCAAGAGGTAAGACTGCTATTAAAAAAAAGTTGCATATAGAACTCAATAAAAGTTTAACTGTGATTGCTAACTCTAGAGCCAATTTTGAGCATATTCCTCTTTTTTAATTAGGTCATACGTACGAAGTATACGTATCAACTATAGATTTCGTCAAGATTTGTATTATTCACCAAAAATTATTATTATTCTTACTCGAATTTGTTCGCAAGAAATCTCAAGAATGAATAAACCCCGGTTTGTCATGAAACTTGCTATGATGGTAGATCCCAGTCTAACTTAGAACTGCGTGACTTTTCAGTGAATCAAGATCATCATGACGTCATCTAGGCGCCATTTTGTGAAAATCAACTCATGACCATATCTTCATAAAAGAAAGCCATTTCTCCTTCATACTTATCACGATCAAGGTCAATATTTGTCCGGTCAATTTCCGATCAATAAATGCGCGCAAAAATGTGCGTGCGCTTACAATTTTAAGTTGCTCAAAATCGTCTTAAATTTGTTTTGCATACGTTTTAGGCCATTATAAGCATTTCATAAAATATCACGCAAAACACGCATTTTTGCACGTTTTCGTTCGTCACGGCCGAACGAAAAACAATTCCTCCGCAAAAACTTTTGACAGAATATTCCTCATACTTTTCCGAACAATTTGAAACCATGTTTATCTCTTCATCACTATTAATATTGATTGGGTTGAGCGCACGAGCATGTACATGCTTATGCTGCTCTCTGCAATATATTGATGTTATACTACCTGTGTTCACATCCATGATCAATGTCTCCTTGTCTACGGGCCACTTTCCTAAAGAATGGAAAGTCTCACTTGTTTCACCATTGTTGAAAAAACCAGGGCTTGATGTTGAATTTGGTAATCTTAGACCCATAAGTAACCTACAATACATTTCTAAATTGGTAGAAGGTGCAGCCACACAACAGATTTTACAGTTTCTTAACAGTAATTCACTCCTTCTATCCAATCAGTCTGCATATAGACAGTTTCATAGTACAGAAACGGCACTACTCAGGATCAAGAGTGATATTCTGATTGCAATGGACAGACAGAAAATCACTCTCCTGTTATTACTTGACTTGAGTAGTGCCTTTGACACTATTGAGCATTCCAGATTACTAGATATCTTGAAGATATGCTGCGGTGTCGACGGTGTTGCTCTCGGCTGGATCGAGTCATACTTGTCTGATCGACATCAAAAAGTTAAAATTGATGGCATTGTCTCTGACTCTTTCCAGGTGCCCTTTGGTGTGCCACAGGGCTCTCGGCTCGGCCCTTTGCTTTTTATGTTATACACAAGTAATCTAATCAAGAGCACTCAGGATAATTTTCCTGAAGTCTCCTGTCACTGTTATGCAGACGACACACAATTATTTTTATCCTTTAGACCATCCACTAGTACTCAAGATGCAAGTGTTTCAATGTTGGAAAAATGTGTTAATTTTATTCATAGATGGATGCTTAACAATAATCTTAAGCTAAACGATAGTAAGAGTGAATTTTTGGTTATAAGAACTCCACAACAGATCTCAAAAATAAGCATTGACGGTGTAAGAGTTGGATCCTCCAATGTGATACCCTCTGTTACAGCAAGGAATTTAGGAGTATACTTTGATACTAATTTAACCATGGAAACACATGTTAAAAATATATGCAAATCAACATACTATCTTCTGTACAATCTCAGACGTATCCGCAAATATTTTGATCAAGAAAGTATGAAATTGGTTGTACACGCTCTTATCACAAGTAAGCTTGATTATTGTAACGGGTTGCTGTTTGGAATGCCTGATTCTCTGATAGCTAAGTTACAAAGAGTACAAAATGCATGTGCAAGACTTGTCTATCGTCGGTCGAAATTCACTTCAACCGCATCTCTTCTGAGAGAACTCCATTGGTTGCCAGTCCGTCAAAGAATCTCATTCAAAATATTGTTAATCGTCTATAAATCATTGAGCGGTCAAGCCCCTAGTTACATCAAAGAAATACTACAACTCAAAGTCCAATCACACAGTCGTAGCCTGCGCAGTTCCACAGATAAATTATTGTTTCAGATTCCCCATGGCAAAACTAAAGTAACTCTTGGGGACCGTGCTTTTGCTATTGCTGCCCCCAAACTATGGAATAGCTTGCCAATAGAAATAAGAAGCACTCCATACTCAATGTTTTTAAATCCAATTTAAAAACTTATTTGTTCAACTGAGTGATCTTATTTTGTAGAATTTAGTAAAAAGGAGCTCTTAACCAGCGCAGCTGAATATATTTTGTATAAAAGCTGCGCTATATAAATTTATTATTATTATTATTATTAATAACGAAATGAGCGTCCGTTCAAGATAACCGTCCGTACGCGCGATTTTTGCAATACATAGCATATATGGGCAAAAACAAGCCTATAAAAAGTCCATTGGGATGAATAAGGACTGCCAAATTTTTTTTCATATTTAGATAGAGTATGAGTCGGAGGTATGATTTCATATCTCATTCGGCCATTAAGTACATCTTGACGTCATCATAATGGCCTTGGAAGTCAAATATACCAAATTGCATATTATGACGTCATTATATTTATGGAAAAATTAGTGTATTTCTCTCAATATTCACCAATTTTCTTCTACATTCTAATATATTGTAGTCGAGGCAATTGTCTACAAGATCAATACAACTAAATTTCATTTTAATGACGTCATCATAGTACAAAATTCAATTGAAGGCCACATGTCAGAATTTTCTTCATTTGCGTGTTATGTCTATGGAAGGTGAATTTTGTTCACATCATGAATCTACATGACATTCATTTTTGAGCACCGTTTATCTTGCTCATTTGTGCTTTCTTTTCTCCCAGATTTTGGTATGTTATAGCTGAGACCATGGGCTATCAAAACGTTTTAGTTTTTTGATCAGATGATAAGATCATGTCACAATTTTCAGTTGAATGTTGAATTGATGAATATGTCACGTATGTCCTATTTGTGAAACTTAACCCGTTGACTACTGAATTATATAGGTCCCATAGGCTTAACACAGGGACCACCAGGTTCCAGTAAGCAATGGGTTAAACGTTAGCAGTGTTCTCGTTTTCAAATTATGTAAGGAAACCCTTTTACTTTCAAGACATAAAATACATAAAATGAGCGTTATAGGAAACATGAGCATTTGTCTCCATTAATAACCCACTCTGTAATCATTCTTCATTTCCTTTTCAAGACTTGAATAATGACGAACTTCATTCAAATTTGGTAGTAACACTACAAATACTCATACTGATATCAATGATTTAAACTATTTATCCGAAAAAGAAGATAATTTAATTTCAGTAGGTTTCTGAACTGCAAATATTATACTGAGGAGGATTTTACGACTGAATTCAGTAACATTGACTATCATTTTAGTATTTTACATTTTAAACATACATTTTAATGCTATATCCAATTTCATCTGTACTTTATGTATAGATTTCTCTGAAACTTGGATTAATAACAGTACGCCACTATTATTCAATGTGTCTGGTTATTCATTTATACATTCTAATCGCCAAGTATAGGAAAGAGTGGAAGTGTTGGTCTATTGGTCGCTGACAATTTTGAATATGAAATACGCAATGATATATTTATATTATACCCATCATACAATTATGAATCACTGTTTATTGAAAGCAACTTGCCGTGACATAAGAATATTATTGTAGGTGTCATATATAGGAAACCTCAATCAAATATCAATGATTTCATCCCTCTCTTTGAAAATGTTTTACACAAAACTTATACTGAACATAAACAGGTTTATATAATGGGAGATTTTAACATTGATCTCGTGAAATTTACTGGCAATGCTGTATGTTATTTCTTGAGCGCAATACATTTTTTTTTTAATTCCTTTAATTGATAAGCCTTTGAGAAAGACTGACAGATCATTATCCCTCATTGATAATATATTTACAAATAACTTTGATTTGAATGTTTCTTCTGGTTTGTTTTATAATGATATATCTTATAATTTTCCAATATTTCAAATAACACAAAAACAGTTTTCTATTTATAAAATTTCTGTATATAATACTCGTATTATCAATGATACATCTCTTAATGTTTTCAAAAAGGATTTGTTACGTTATGACTGGATAATCGTGTTGCCAATACCAAGTTCTTGTCTATTCTTATTGACGAAACTTATCCTGGAAAACACATATATCTCATATTAATAAGATAGGGTCTAGAAATACTGGTGTCATCACCAAACTCCGCCATACTTTGCCTCAATCTGTTCTCGTTATGTTATACAATACACTTATATTACCGTTTCTTAGTTATTGCAACATTGTTTGGGCAAATGGATGGGTTATGGATGGGTAAAATATTAATATCTCACTCATATTCTATATTAAATCAGAACTAAATAAATCACTATGTACATTTTGTAATATTTATAAAAAAGTGTTTTGAGCTTGTTTAGTATAGGTAAACAGTTTAATCTTCTATCAAAACCTGAAGGGGGCGCTGTGCCACTTGCAGTCATGGCCTTCATTCTAATATCGTCATCATCGTATTCATGAACATATTTTTTTTTTTATTATCGGCAACACTTTCAAGATCAGTATTCACAAGAGCTTATTTATGCTAGAAATATGGAAAGCATTGTTCTCAATTGCATCTCTCTCTTGCTCTGTTTCCCTTCTCCTCTCATGTTCTGCCCCTCTCCCTTTTTGGTCTGTCTCTGCATCTATCTATATCTCTCTCTCTACTCATTCACCCTCTCCCCCTCTCTCTCCCTCTCTCTCTCTACTCTTTCACCCTCCCCCCCTCTCTCTATCTTGCCTCCCTCTTATTATATTGCTCTGTCTCCCTCTGCCCTACACAGTTGAAACTTGACTCATGGATAGACCATAATGGGAGTTGTATTTTATAACGAAAGATGAAATCGTGAAAATGCGTTCTTCATTATGTTACACATGAGCATAACTACGTCTCACCTAATTCGTCAAAGTGACGAATTAAATTCTAGTTTAGTTTACATGAACAAGTATGTACAACCTTTTGCAAACATTTTATTGTCTCAGTTTTTCAAACCATCCCCTTGTATCAAGGATTACCAGTGAGAGAGCCTCACACAAAAATTATTAAAATAAATACATTTTCATGTTTCAATTCATCAGGATAAATTTATAGTATAATTGTGATTAATGACTCTAGAGCCAATTTTGAGAATTTTTCTCTCTTCTTTGATTTGGCAAGTATTCAGAAACCGTTTCATTTTTTTCAAACTAACCCCATTTTTAATATAATGTAGGCCTACCAATGAGAGAGCCATAAAAACAAAACAAAAGATTAACAAACAAAAAAACGTAAAGTGAAGCAAACCATATCCTTGTTAACTACGTCATGACAAATTTCAATTTTAACTGTGCTTGATAATTCTGGAGCCATGAGTGTAAACTGTAGTATAAATACAAAATGACTACCTGTGAACATACGATGTACATGTACGTACTGTAGCTTCATGTACGGAATATGAGGAACATATATGCAATATATACATGTGCATGTACATGGGAGTTTATTGACAGTGAAACCTGTCTATAAAGGCCACCCAAGGGAGACAAGAAAAGTGGTCGTTATAGGCAGGTGGTCTCTATATACAGGTTCCTTTAGTACATGTTTCAATGAGAAACCCATATAAGGGAAATACAAGATGTGGTCTTTCTATACAGGTTATCGTTGAAGCAGGTTTGACTCACAGTATATGTATATAAAATATAAAATAATTGTTTTCCATTGCCAAAACTTTATCAACATATCTGTTGATCAGTTACACAAATAATGATCATGATTATAATAATGATGATAATAATGGGTTCTTTTTTCACTCATGGCTGTCAAACTTTACACTCGATCCTGACGCTCCACAATATCACCCCGGCTTTAGCATGGCGGCTGTGATGCTCTAGCATTTCAAGGAATTAATTCCTGCAAGATACCCATTTACCTCACACGGGTCGAGGTAAATGGGTCGAGTGTGGCAAATGTAGATTAATTTCTTGCCAAAGGACACCAGTGCTGTTGCAGGGATTCGAACCCCGTTCCCTGTGGTTCACAGTCCGGCGACTTAATCACTAGACCACGACACATCTACTTTAATCATGAACTAAGTGGTTGTAAACATTAATACGAAAGTCAAATCAAGCCATCTTGGTTTTCCTTTGAATGAACATTTACAGGTTTCCCTGGAGATTCTTCCAAGGCATGTAGGACCTGAACGTACCGTTTATGAACCCAATGGGGAGATACGGGTAGAAGTTACTGCACCTAACAACTCCTATGTTGGCCTTCTAGCTGTTGACAAAGCTGTCTATCTGCTAAGAAACAAGGACCGAATGGGCAAACGAAAGGTCAGTCTAGATTAATATCATTTCATAAACTGATTTATAGCTTGAATGAATGAAGACATACATGTCAGAAACCGGTGCAGTACATGTAGCTTGGAAACCAAACCAGACTCAAACTCGCCAGACTTAAGCTTTTGACTTTGAACCAGATTAGAGTACAAATCATTTCAAATAAGTAACAAAGGTGAAGTTTAAAAAAGATAAAATGTTGTCATCTTTTTACACAGAGAAAGTGCAATCATCCAATAAGCTTCATGCAAGTTTTTATGTCAGCCTTAGATTTTGTGAGAAGTTGCAAAGCCCTGTTAAGGCCCGGTCACACAGAGGGGACGCATGGGGGACGCACGGCCGGCGCATGGAAAATTTGCAATTTCGGCCAGTGCGTTGTCGTTCGCTAAGCGTGCGTCATCACTCGTTACTCGTTCGTCGAGCGCGCTGGACCCACGCTATGCATTCGTCGACATTCGCTGTGTGCGTCGGGATTTTTTGAGCATGCTCAAAAGTGTGAGCTCGACGCATGAATGTACACGCCAAAGGCATGCCAGACGTGCGTTGAGCGCGCTAGACCAGCGCCAGACATACGCGGAGCACACGCCCTGTATACGCACAGCGCGCTAGCTACACGCTGTGCATTTTGTGTCAGCTCGCTAGCTTTTCCAAAATCATGACAAAAGTTAGGCACACGTCCTTATCCGATTTCCAATGCGCTGGCCGTGCGTCGTAGAACGCGGTGCATCCGTGGACCATTCGTCTAGCGCGCTTGCAACACGCTGTGCATTCGTGGAAGTTGTATGCGCACTGTATGCGCTCAGCGCGCTAGCATCACGCTATGCATTCGGTGTCAAATCGCTGTAGCTACGACAAAATTTCAACATTTTGATGTTTTTTTCCTAAAGGCCCGGTCAAACAGAGGGGACGCATGGGGGACGCACGGCCAGCGCATTGGAAATTTGCAATTTTGGCCAGTGCGTTGTCGTGCGCCCAACTTTTGTCGTAGCTACAGCGAGTTGACACCAAATGCATAGCGTGTTGCTAGCGCGCTGAGCGCATACAGGGCGCCTAAAGTGCGCATACAGACCGTACCCAGAGCGCACATGATAGCAACTTCCACGAATGCACAGCGTGTTGCTAGCGAGCTGGACGAATGGTCCACGCATGCACCGTGTTCTACGACGCACGGCCAGCGCATTGGAAATCGGAAAGGCCGTGTGCCTAACATTTGTCATGATTTTGGAAAAGCTAGCGAGCTGACACAAAATGCACAGCGTGTAGCTAGCGCGCTGTGCGTATACAGGGCGTGTGCTCCGCGTATGTCTGGCGCTGGTCTAGCGCGCTTAACGCACGTCTGGCGTGCCTTTGGCGTGTACATTCATGCGTCGAGCTCCGCGCACACTTTTGAGCATGCTAAAAAAATCCCGACGCACACAGCGAATGACGACGAATGCATAGCGTGGGTCCAGCGCGCTCGACGAACGAGTAACGAGTGATGACGCACGCCTAGCGAACGACAACGCACTGGCCAAAATCGCAAATTTTCCATGCGCCGGCCGTGCGTCCCCCATGCGTCCCCTCTGTGTGACCGGGCCTTTAGGAAACTTTTTTTTCTAAAGTGTTATTGCTAATATTTCTGGTAGGGGGTAACTTGTAATTAAATGATAAGTGCTCATAGACTTTTTTTTCCAAAATCCTTTTTCTGAATCTAAGGAATCTTGTAACGAAGGCCTGCAACTAAAATCCCTTGGTTTTTTTGAGCCTTTGCTCTAATTTTTAACATTGTTGTGCTTTCATATAATTTCCATGAATGACAAGAACAACTACCTCTTCAATAGTCATGCGTGGTTGAATTTAAACTTTCAATTATTCCTGGTCTCAGTGGCAGACATTGCCCTGCCTGTTTTATTACAGATGTAGTAATTGTGAATCACCCTTTGTGGATTATAATTGATGACGCATACGAGTGAGCAATGTGTGTTCTCGAAAATGAAGTCGCGCCATACACACCAATGGACCGCCACATTTTCAGGATTTATTTCCACAAAGGATACATGTTTGTCTGTTTGGAGCCAGAGGGGCATTAACTCCTATATTTCAAAACAGAGCTAAAAAAATGCCTTTCTAACTCTGAACAAACGATTTGCTCATTTTAAATGCATACATGTACATGTAAATCAAGAATGGCAAACAATTAACACGCGTCATAAGCGCCATATGAGCGTCAAACTTGACGGGACGGACCTGGGCCCCGTTTCACAAAACTTGTCACCAGTGACAAATGACAGCCTTTGTTATAAGCTAATGGAATCCTTGCCTCTGATTGGTTATCAGCAGATTTGTCACAAATTTGTGTAATTTGTCATTGAAAAAATGCTTTGTGAAACGGGTCCCTGGTGCGCTTTATAAGAAGCCACCATTATTATTTATTATTACATGTATTACAAAACTTGTAGAGATCTGTTGAATGTATGCCAGTGCTACTATATACAGTGTGGAATGCTTAAAATACAGGTGCCATGTATACACAATATTTTCACCCTTACTTGCCAAATGCTCGTACAGTTTGTAAGAAAAAATAAAATCAAGTTTAGATGTCAAAAATCATGTATTTTATCTAAAAGTAAGCTTTAAAAGGAAATTATTTTTACAGATGTATGATTGGATGAGGAGCTATGACACAGGATGCGGACCAGGAGGGGGACAAAACACTGCTCAAATTTTCAAGGTAATATACATTGTGCGAAAGAAAGCAGTAATGAAGGAGGCAACATATGCATGCGTGTTCAGATTGTCCATATGCTTTTTCCTCTTTTCTAAAGGAAGGAAACTCTAATAAAATTTGATTTAAGGTACAGTTAATAGGTGCCATAAAACTCAGGTCTTAAGTCTTTAACCCTATAAAGACTTTAAAGACTTTAAAAACTGTGTGTGTGTGGGGGGGGGGCTAAAAGCCCCCCCCCCCCCTCCCCTCCTAAGAACTCTGCAACCGAAACTCCGATCGACTTCAAATTTGGGATGGTGATAGATGTCCATCAGATCTAAAATAGTGCATAGTTAAAATATTTTTTTCAAATTAGAATCTGCTAATTAGACTTAATAATTATGCATTTTTTTTTTGTATTTAGTGTATTTTTCTTAATATATGTTGATTCTTATGAAACAAAACTGTGTTCATGGTGCAAAATACATGCTAAGCTTATATTTACACAATCTCTGATTAAAAAAGGGTAATTGATATGGTAATTATCCAACTTAATAATTATGATGTCATATTTATCATGAACATGTGTTTTGGTGATGATTTCATGTGAAGTCATGAAAGACATTCTCCCTCTTTATGTTGGAGTGCTGGTTTATTTGTCTTTTGTATAGTTTTTCATATGATCTAAATGATGCATACATGTACATTGTTTTAATTACTTATTCTACAACTTGTAATTAGTACTAACTAATTATGCAAATATGAAAGTTTCACAAATTTTCACTTTTTACACAAATATTAAAGATAGCAACAGGATAATCATGATTTTGATTTAGTTTTACCATTTCCTATGTTTTTTCTATGTTTTTATATTTTTCTTTGTTTTAGTTTTTAGTCTTTTTTATTCTTTGTATTATTCTTTATATATTGTATCGTTTTATGCGAATGAGAATGCAATAAGCTTTATTCACCATGCCAAATGGGAATACTAAAAGCACATTTGAAAAGGTAGGTATAAAACTGCAACATACAGTGTAAAAGGTGCATCTAAAAACTCTGTCTGTTATATATAGAAGAGTTTTTTTTTTAAATTCCATAACACACGATCACAAAATGTTACATAACCCCCGGACCGTTGACCCAGTGTGCGCAAATTTGGTATCAAAATATGCGCAAGACTCTAAACAAAAACAGTCACGAAGTGGCACCGTAAAATATTTAAGCATTACAAAGTCATTGCAAAAATAGAAGAGGGGGTGGGGGGTAATCATCCTCCAGTCTTATTTGGGTTAAAATATAACCCTGATATTTAGTTGGTTTTAAAAAGATGAAGAAAAATGAGAAAAAAGGGATTGGTGTAGGACTAGGATTGAGCAAATTCCATTTAAAAATAAGCTATTCATGAAGCGTTAGTATAATGTTAGTCAGTTTTAAGCAGATTTTGTTAGGTATGTTTACCTCCAGATTTCGATATATATATATATATATATACTAAACACCTGAACGACTAATGGCGACTATAACCACAAATGTTTGTGCCATTTCAATTTCGCAGATCTGGACCCCTCCCGTAATTCGCAAAAGTTCCATGCACATGAAAATTGATGGTTTAATAAACAATGATGAGATTAGGCCTACAGAGTGTACATGTGCATGTGTGTATGTTCATAACAATTAATGTTCACTGGGACATGAAGTGGAAAATATCAAGCAAAATTCTGAAAAATTAAATATATAAGGATGAGGATTTTTTATTCATTATTATTGTGATTGTATGATATTGTATAATGTAAACTGTTAAAACATTCACACCTCAGCTATTGACTGCAATGAAATTAGAGAGGAAGACAAGTCAGATATATAAAAAGCATATATAGTCGAGCTATAGGGCAGAAGAAATAGAACGTCGGCCTTATGCCAAAAGGGCCTTAACTGCTTTTGGCCATTCCGAGATAATCGCGTTTAAAGGTTTTGGCCTCTCTAATAATCAAAAGTTTGTGGTCTTTTTTTGTTTTTGAAGCCAATTTCGGTAAATGTGTTAAGTTATTAAGTTTTACATGAAATGTGTTAAATGTGTTATAAAATATTCAGAATTGTACATGCTATGTGCAAAAAAAACACGTTAGGGCCTTTTTGGCATAAGGCTTGAATGTAGCGTATTTATGCCAGAAGGGCCTTATCCTACTCGGCATTATGCCAAAAGGGGCGTAACCGACGCGGCGTTTTGCCAAAAGTACGCGCGCATAGTTAGCGCCCTTCTGGCATAAGGAAATTTTCTTGTCTCGCAACACCTTTGGTTTGCCAGAAAGCCCCTCCTACGGCTACTAGATCACGAAAACTGATAAAACTGATGAATTAAAATGTTTGGAAAAGTATTTTTGATATCTGAATATTTTTATTAATATAATGCAGCTTTCGGTAAAGTTATTTTTTAGAGATCGTACATTTAGGACACCTTTTTCGTTGTTTATTTTCATCACAGTCCCATACGTTGACATCTGCGTATTCCAACGAGTCGGTCGCATTTCATGCATCCACACCTAATTTAAATTTCACTCAGATTTCATGACCTAAATTCACGACATATACTTTCACTGATTATTTTAAGTACATTCTGTCTATTGTAGACTAATCATGTTTTTAATGGTGTTTCTACCGATATTCATTGAATTAAATGGAAATTACGAAATAATCTGTCATTGATAAAAGATTTGCCGTGTAGGTTAAGGCCCTTTTGGCGTAAGGAAAAAGATGAGATACGCGTTAAGGCCCTTTTGAAATTCATAATTATCTTCATAAATAAATCGAATTTCATCAAGTGAAGCACATCATTTTAAAGAGAATGGTGAAATCTACAAGGTGATGTTAATAACTCAATAACCCCCCAAATCGGGTTAAGGCCCTTTTGGCATAAGGCCGACGAGAACCAAGTGGATGACTATAACCCATAGCAGTTTAGAGTTTTCTTAATTTCTAAATTATTAACCTTTTCCTCCTCAAATTGGCAACAATTAATCTTATTTTTCCACTCCTTCCTCGTTTGATTTTTTTTAAAATATTTAGTAAAAAAACCAATGTGAAAGAAACAAAATTAACCCCCCCCCCCCCTCGAAAAAAAAAATCAATTTGTTACAAATAAATTCGCTGATATTTAAGAATGACACATCGCACTGCAGTTTAAATAGACTCACAATTATCTGTGATTTTTGCTCTTTCTTTTCATATATAATTTGTAATTATTAGCATGCAAAAACATCACTCAAAGAAGACACTGTGCTGTGGGATAAAAGGGCACTAAAAGTAGATCACTAGAGATACATGTACAATTACTGAGAGAGAATAATAGGAAGATAGATACAGGCGCGGATCCAGGGGGGCCGAGCGGGCCTTGGCCCCCCCCCCCCCCCCCACCCCGCAAAAAAAAAAAAGAGAGAAGAAAGGAAAAGAAGGGAAAGGGAAAGAGGAGAGAAAGGGAAAGAAAGAAGAGGAAGAAGAAAAGAAAAGGGGAAGAAGGAGATCGAGGGCCGAAAGGGCCTTGCCTCCCAGGCTGTGTCCCCCCCCCCCCAATCAAAAAAACAAGAGAGAAAAAAGGAAAGGGAAAGAAAAAAATAAAAAGAGGAGATACTGGCGTACTGTTAGGGGGGGGGGGGGGAGGGGGCTTGGGGAAAATCAAATTCAAACGTGTTTTTTTTCTAATTCCATAACGGTGGATTACAAATAATGCTGAAATTACATAATTTCCTCACTTTATACTTTTTATGCGTTTGTTGGAAAATGACAAATTCCTGAATTTACAGCCACGCAAGAGATATGATTCTTGAGATTCCTACATGTCAGGGCCCGAGGAACGGCGGGGATCGGGAGCCTCCACCCCCACTTAAAAAAAAAGTATATTAAAGAGAAATAAAAAAGAAAGAGAGCAAGAAAGAAAGAATAGTGTTGCCAGTGTCAACAAATAATGAGGCATCAAAATATGCTCAGGTGACCGTGATTAAATGCCTAAAACGCCTAAGCTTTCGGGGGCTCTGCCCCATGGATTCCACCTAGGGCCCTAAGGCGGGCCCTTAGATTCTCATCTGACGGTAATTGAATGCCTAAAACCCTGATTTTGGGGTCTCCGCCCCCTGGACCCAACGCCAAATAGTGTCCTGCCAGTGTTACAAAATAATAAGGTATAACAAAAACTGTTCATCTGACCGTAATTAAACGCCTAAAACCCCTAAGCTTCCGGGGGCTCAACACCCTCGACCAGGGGTCCTAAGGCGGGCCCCTGAATTCTTATCTGACCGCAATTGATTGCCTTAAACCCCTGAGCTTCCGGGGTCGGACAAGGTATCAAAATGTGTTTATCTGACCGCAGGCGCGTAGCCAGGGGGGGGGCGGTGGGGGCTGTCCCGCAAAAAACAACGGCAAAAAAAAAAAAAAAGAGAGGAGAGAACATGAAGAGGACGTAGGAAGATAAAGGAGCAGACAAAGAACATCTTTAAAATTCAGAAAAGGATTATGAGTAGAGAACGGTACAACGCAGCGTCTTCTTTCTATAATAATTTAATGAAACGTCAAAGCTTCCGCACTTTGTGCAGGAGGGGGAAGAGGGGACTGAATTCAGAGAAGGATTAAGAATCGAGAACTGTACAACGAATCGTCTTGTTTCTCTAATGATTAAGTGAAACGTAAAAGCTTCCGCGCTTCGCGCGGGGGGGGGGGGGAAAACTAAATCCAGACAAGGAGTCGAGAACTGTACAACGAATCGTATTCTTTTTTAATGATGTAATGAATCGTAAAAGCTTCCGCGCTTCGTGCGGGAGGGTAGAAACTGAATTCAGACGAGGATTTAGAGTCGAGACCGGAAATACGAATCGTCTTCTTTCTCTAATGATTTAATGAAACGTAAAAAGGTTTCGCGCTTCGAGCGGGAGGGGGGGGGGGGACTGAATTAGGACAAGGATTAAGAGTCGAGAACGGTACAACTAAATCCAGACGAGGAGTCGAGAACTGTACAACGAATCGTCTTCTTTCTCTAATGATGTAATGAATCGTAAAAGCTTCCGCGCTTCGTGCGGGAGGGTAGAAACTGAATTCACACGAGGATTAGTTTCGAGAACGGTACAACGAATCGTCTTCTTTCTCTTATGATTTAATGAATCGTAAAAGCTTCCGCGCTTCACGCGGGAGTGGAAGAACTTAATTCAGACGAGGATTAAGAGTCGAGAACTGAACAACGAATCGTCTTGTTTCTCTAATGATTTAATGAAACGTAAAAGCTTCCGCGCTTCGCGCGGGAGGGGGGGGGGAACTAAATTCAGACGAGGATCATTTTCGAGAACTGTACAACGAATCGTCTTCTTTCTCTAATAATTTAATTAATCGTAAAAGCTTCCGCGCGGGAGGGGAAGAACTGAATTCAGACGATGATTAAGAGGCGAGAACTGTACAACGAATCGTCTTCTTTTTCCAATAATTTAATGAATCGTAGAAGCTACCGCGCTTTGCGCGGGAGGGTAAAATTCGAATTGAGATGAGGATTTTTTTTCGCGAACGGTTCAACGAATCGTCTCGTTTCTCTAATAATTTAATGAAACGTCAAAGCTTCCGCGTTTTGCGGAGGAGGGAGGGGGAAACTCGCCCCCCCCCCCCCACCCTGCACCCACCCTCCCCCCTGCATTACGTCACTGCTGGTCACCTTTACGTACGAATATTTGGCTCGCAAAATTTCAAATTTGGCCCCCCCCCCCTAAGAAATCCTGGATCCGCGCCTGGATAGATAGATAGTCATAGAGAGAGAGAGAGGGAAAGAGAGGGAGGGAGAGGAGGGGGATGTAAACACTAATTGACATTTATTTACCTGAATGTTTATCTTTGTCAAATGTCAAATAGAAAAATGAAAAATAAAGATACTGTGATTTGTTTTTAATTCATTATTTTTGTAATCACTATAAGGATTCTGGAATGACTGTACTTACCAACGCAGGTCTGGATGTTGCTATTCGTGAAGGTAAGAGGACAAGTGAGGTTCTGTTTGATAATTGTGCTGATAGCTTTTTTAATTGCATGACTGTATATCTGTTTGTCTGTTTTGATTTTTAACACTTTGGTTGCCTTCTTTGCCTCTCTGAATGCTTTTTATACAGCAGGCCCCTGTTAAACCAAAAACAGAATGTACATACAGTAATTTATGTTTGTTTATAGGAACAATAAGAAAGCAAACTAAACAAAGAGTAATAGACTTCATGAATATACAAGAAATCACAATATTTTCTTATAGTAGGCCTGCATAATATCAAAATATTCAATATCACGATATCTAAATTTAAAGAATGTTAGATATTCAGTTTGCCATTATATGATTTATTGCCTTCAAATGTATAAATTGTTGATACAGACATGTTATTTATTATTATTGTTTATATATATATATATATATATTTTGTTTATATTGAAATTTTAATTCCGGTTTTATATTTTGTATCAATGATCACAGAGATTGAATGCGTGGATGAACCTACAAGAAAGAAGAGGTCCATTGACAGGGGTAAGGGATATATTCTTTTCAAGATAAAATTAAGTTCAGTCAAGTGAATGCATTATAAAAGAAACAGTGTGGAAGCCATTAGGAAAGATTTATTATATAATACATGTTCATGTAAATAAGAACCAGCATATACTGTGCGGTTTTAGAATCATTGAATGGATAAGAATGGACTTGATATGCTAGAAGTCATATGCATTGCACACAGAAATGTGTCTATGGAACTATACACACATGTGGCATGAAAGTTCAGTCAAGCTCATACAGTTCTTAAACTGTTCCAAATGGGAAGAAGAAGAAACTCTCCTTGAAGGAGAAGAAAAAATAACAAGGAATAACTTGAGAAAGATCTTTGTAAGAAAAGAAGAAGGAAAAACAAAAGACTAGAAAATATGAAAGCAGAACATTAAAGAGGAAAATGAATAGTAATTTGTAAGGGAAACAAATCAAAACCATGACCTGATGATTATGCCGGCACTACACATAGTTGGATTCTTCGCGAAAATGTCCTAAAGGATCAGATACTTTAAACAGTCAAGAGGACTGCTGTAAACTATTTTCTGGGGGTTATAAGGGGGGAGAGTATTTTTTTCCTCCGGAAATTGAACAATTATACCGACCGATTTTGTGTTCAGTGGGGGGTGGGGGGGGGGGGAGTGGCGTCGGGTTTTTTCCCCCGGTTTTTTTTTTTACACTTGAAAAAAAGTGAGGGGGGTTTCTTCCGAAACACACACATAAAACAAAGTTGAGGGGGGGGTTGACCCCCAAAACCACCCCCTTGCGTACGCGCCTGGGCCCATATATACGATTTCATCAAGAAATTGGACCATACGCAGGGCTCGACACTAACACGCGCCCAAGACACATGGACGCCCAATACTTCAGTCTGGAACCCCCAAATTTAAAACTTTTAAATGGGTTTTTACATTCATACTCTAAAAATTGAAATCCGGACAGCCTTCCAAAAAAGTTAGTGTGGGGCCCAGCCTTAAGCATTGTGATGGAAGGATTACGTAGGTACCCATGGTGAATAGTTATTTGTATCCATGAGTATCATTAAAGGGTTCAGCACAATGTAATATGGTTAAATTAAGTATTAACAACTACCTTTTCTATAACACACTTATAAATGTCTTTGTAAAGAAAATATAACTTTGTCAGATGTAATACATTTTGGCTCTTCAAATACAATTTTATGTAAGTGAGACCTATTTGGCCATCAAAGCCTAATGTCCACAATGTAATCTTGTAATTTTATACTGAAGTGGAAATCTACTGTACTCCTTAAACCCCCAGAAAATAGTTAAGAGCAGTACTTTTGACTGTTCCTTTTGTCTTCTGTGGGTCTTAATACCATTGTATTGTTCATAGTGGGTTTCACACCAAACATTTTACACCAAACATTAATTTTCAGCTTAAAAAATTCTTCTCAAATGCACGATACAAACAATAGTGGGTCCCTTAAAACATAAGATTTGGGAACTGTGGGCACAGATTTTCACAAATCAGTCGGTGGCATCATTTTAAGCATCGAATTCTACTTAGGAATCCACAATAAAGTAAAGGTGAACATAATTTCCCTGTTGAAGCCGTCTATGTACTGGTTCCTAACTTTTTGGTGGAAAATCCTATCTAGGAATTCAAGTGTTTATACCATTTGTATTTGAAAATTACATTTGTCTTCCTTAAAGGCCCAGTCACACAGAGGGGATGTTACACCCACAAATGTAATAACGCCCACAAATGTAATAACACTTTACCCACAAATGTAATGATTTCACCCACAAATGTAATAATTTTGAATCGCCCACAAATGTAATAATGACTTTACCCACAAATGTAATAAATTTGAAGTGATATTTTGTCGAATTTGTTCAAAACTAAAACCCTGTAATAAAGCATGGGTATAGCGCAGTCTTTACTCCAGACCCGGTTATTTCAAAAAATTAAAAAAATCTTCAAATCTAAGACCCCATAATCCTTTTTCTGTGGAATAACATGAGAATCGAGGGTAGTCGTTCCTCCAGACACGGTTATTCCAAAGTATAAAAAAAAAAAAAAAAAAAAAAAAAAAAAAAAAAAAATTAAACTAAGACCCAATCATCTTCCAAACTAAGACCCGGTAATAAAGCATGGGTTTAGGTTTAGAGCGTAGTTTTTCTTCCAGACCCGGTTATTTCAAAACTTTTTAAAAATCTTCAAAACTAAGACCCCATCATCTTATTCCTGTGGAAGAACATGAGTATTGAGCGTAGTCTTTTCTCCAGACCCAGTTATTCAAAAGTAAAAAACAAACAAAAACAAAACAAAACAAAACAAAACAAAGAAAAAACCTTTTAAACTAAGACCCCTCCATCTTCCAATTTTTTTTTTTTTTTTTTTGGGGGGGGGAGGGAATTAAAAGAGAGGAAAATGGAGGAAAAATGTAGAAGGCAAAAAAAAAAGAAAAAAGGGAAAATGAATGATTGCAAACATTTTAAGGCTGAAGTAGAATTTGGAATTTAAGTTCTAGAAATCAAGAGAATATGCGATATGATAGACTAATGTCTTTCGTCCACAGATCTTCGTACTTATTCCCCCTCCTAACCCCTGAAGTATTCCGACCCCACCCCCCCCCCCCCCCCCTGTTCAGATCATCACATTATCATTTCCCAAACAAGATTTCCCTTTTTCCCGTCCTTCGGGAAAAATAAAGACGTAAGAACGATAATAATCTTGGTGGTCCAAATTCCTAATACTCAGGCTAGCTCAAAGCTCAATACGCTCCAAAGAAAATATGAAAGTTTGCCATGTATTACAAAAACATATAAATCAAATTTGGCTGTGGCTCATCATTCCAACGATTACGAGCCATGAACGAAAGAGAATTGTATAGTAAGGACATATTTATATTTCATTTCATTTCATTTCATTTATTTCATTCTCCATAAAAACATTAAAAACATACAAACGTGGTATACAGATAAAAGATCGATTACAAGAAAAATACAAAGGGAAGGAGCAAACAAAATTTTATGGGAATGTGGGGTTAACAAAAAGGGCAATTAGCCTTATGAACGCCAACCCCTTAAAAAGTATACACTGTATTGTTGAGAAAAGAAAAAAGGAAAAGGAAAGCCGAGAGAATCTAAACACCAATACAAAAGAAGAAAACAAAAAAAGGAAGAAGGGGAGGGGGAACACATTAAAAAGTGCATTAACTGAAACGTTATTTATTTTGAGATTGAATACAATAATAAAAGATGGGATTTATACATTCGTTTAAAAATATTCAGTGAAGTAGAGTTTTTTATATTAAATGGGATAGTTTTCCACAAAACTGGCCCTTTGAAAAAAACTGTATTTTTTAAACATTTGTACGGATTTTAGGAAAATGAAAATTACCAGCATTAGGGCCTACGGGTTTCATAAGAATGTATTTCATAATTGAAAGTAAATTTACATGACATGGACCTTGGCAATAATCCCTTAGAACACATAAACATATAGCAATAATTTTATATCATAAACATTTAGAAGCTTTAATTGTTGAAAAAGTGGCAAAGTGTGGGCATTGATGGGCGTTTTGGGCGTTTTGATGTTGAATTATGCGACCTTCATATCATTATCATTATTGATATTATCATTATTTTGTTTCGATCTGCATCATTTAAGTAACCGAGGTACATTAACAAAATTCAAAATACACATATCATAATATAGTCAATTGAATAATAATTATATACCTTTATTCGATTCAATTCAGTATACCTTAGTTGAAAAAATCATTTCAACTTAATTGACAAATGCAGGAGACCACCATCTTAAGTTAACCGCTGATTTATTCAAGCAACGAGAGATATTAAATGGCGGTGATTGCAAGTCAGAATCTTATTGAATTCAGGCAAGACTACAGTTTGCATAGATCTGGGAGTTCTGATAGTATAGTAGGCCAAACCAAGAACTTCTTGGCCAAACCAAGGAGGGTATGGCTCTTTGGCCAAACACATACATGGACTTCCACCCAATGTTTTCAGTGTTTTCCATCTAGACCATGGGCCGAGTAGTGAATATCTCCCTATTTCTTCGTTTTCGTGACCCACCTCTGGTAACTACCCAATTTTTTGTCTGAGAGGAGATAAAAGCTCATAGAATAAGAATTCATAACTCGGCAAAGCCGAAAGTTGCACACTAATTAGTATTCATAATAAATAGAAATTAAGCATATCAACAGCGTCCTGTACGTCAATAAAATGAAAGACATGTAGAAACGCATGGGGACAAGGTAAATGACAACTGCAAATTTGTGATAAATATATGTTTGGTATAAAAGCAAAACTAATGATAATAATATTAATAATAATGATGATAAACAACATCAATATCAATAATAATATTTATATTAATAATAATCATTATCATTATTATCATCATTATCATCATTATCATTATCATCATCATCATTATCATCATCATCATCATCATTATTATCATCATCATCATTATCATCATCATTATCATCATCATTATCATCATCATCATCATCATTATCATCATCGTCATCATCATCATCATTATCATCTTTATCATCATCATTATACATCATAATCATCATCATATTCATCATCAAGCTTCACTTTACATCTCGTATCATCTTTTTTTTCACATTACACCTACTCATGAAGCTTTCACCGACAGTTCACTCGGTCTTTGAACTGCATAGTCATGATGCAATCATATCGCCTGGTAATGCATTCATAATTAAATGAAACAATTCAATAAATTCAAATCATATTCTCATCGTCACATGGAATTTTTGTATTCATTTATTTACAATTTATACAAGCTACAGTACTATAACATAATTATATTTGGGTTGTACATGACGTCTTGTAATCCTTTTGAGATAATCCAACATATTCAATGGATAATTTTGACTTATGAAACTGACTTCAATAGTTACAACCTCTGTTAATCTCATTAACTTTTACATCCTAGAAATATCTTGATCTCCACATTTGTTCAACCACTCCAAAAATATCCAATCGTTCAAGTTGAAAATGTTATACTCTAAATTTTCTTTTCTCTCTACTTAAGCGAGATCCATGGGGGAAATTACTTTTCAGAGTGGAACATTCATGCTTTGAAAAACTCATACCAAGAGCATAGTGATTTAAATATATCACTAAAAATGTACATAACAGCACAGTTAATAAGTGAGGATATGAGCTTAAATTGTACAGTAATCATGGTATCTAATGGCGATACCATCCAGGCAACAGATATGACAGATGAGTCTGTAGAAGAAGAAATATCAGAAAATATGAGACAAAGTTTGTAATATTGTTAACTCATGTACACCTTTTGTTTTTAACTATTTCACCTGCGACATTCTTCTCATCTCAGTATGATTTCTTTTATAGATGTTTGGAGTATCCAGATGTTTTTCTTAATTACAATCAAACAACCCCTGCAGTAACAAACGTAGTAAGTTACAGTTGATAACAATATTGCTTGATTGCTTTGCTCACTATAACCTCTATGACATCATTAAGTTTTGTTTTTCGGAAAAATCTTAACCCTGCAACATTCGATAGGCAGACAATTTGGTAGCGCTCACTTGCTCCTCAGGACTGGCCACATTTTAAGAACTTTTTGATTCATTGATTTTAGTCAGAGTGTTCATATGATCCTGCAAAGGTGGATAAGGATACTGATAGTCGTGTGTACGACCTTCAGCCAAAATGTACCCACTTTAGGAATCACAAAACATGGTGAGACAAAGCAAAAAAAACACAACATCTTTCCATTTCAGGCGAAAAACTTTGAGCATCGCTTGCAAGAGGTAAATATAGTAATATTCAAATTGGGGGTTGACGTGACAGTATCCATAATAAAGCATTTATAATGAATTAAATGTAGAAATATTCCCCTTTCCACAGAATGGATTTTATGCCACTGAATAAGAAAGTATTTTTACACATCCTTGAAGCAGGAAAAATTGGCCTATCAAACACTAAACCAAAGCATACCTAATTATATAGGGTCACATAAAAATTACTTAATTACTTCATACATTTCAAATAATTAACCATCTGTTCAAAGAAAATACAGATAAATCTGGTGATACTGCTTTACTAGTTTTTCTTAAACTGGGAGATATGGATATAAAAATTCATTAGCAAAAGAAATTATTTTTGAGGAAGATTTCCAGAAATTAGAATATGTGAAACAGTCGAATTAAATTCTTCAATAGGATACATGTACAGTGTATATGTTGTAGAATGTAGATCATCAAATAAACTTGAAATGGTAAATGGCAATACATAATTTTATGTGGTTATGACTGGCGACTTTTGATGTCACAGCTGATTCCCAAACTATTAACCAAAATAATAATTCAGAGATTTTGTAAGAAAAGATGGAATAATTACATACACAGTAAATACCTCCTGCCTTTGTGTAAGATGAAATAGTGAATAATTATACATGTAAATGTATATATATCCATCGCTTTGTGGTACAGGTATAATAAGTAAGTTTGACACCACAATTATATTTTGATTTCATGGAAGAAATGTTGTTCCTTGAACAAGACATCCATATCAGTTGCAAACGTACATAAATATAAAATACAGTGTACCAACCTTTTACTATTTGGACACAATGCTTCAACGATTTGCAATATGAATATGATATTCTGATATACTTCTTCTGGTTTGTTATCTCAAATTCATTTGATTGCTGTCTAAAGAAAAATTAAAATCAAATGAGACACAAATATGCACATGAGTTGAATTGCGCTAACAAGATGAATTCTACACGTCTTGATCTTCAGTGTCTGTGTCTTCATGTAAGCATCTTCCATCAACTGGATTTTCACAATCAGTACACTTGCACAGATCGGTGCATGGCACATTATGCTGCCGGCAAGAGCATCTTCCCTTGTTTTTCCCACTTGGGACCTTGCAGTTTGTCTTCTTGCAAGTGCAGTGGGTTAGTTCTAGCAAACTGCTAGGGGCAGGGGGCATGGGTGTCGATACTTACGTAATACCTATTCATCAGGGGGGGGATGAATGAATAGATCATCCCCCCTGATGAATAGGTATCAGTTACGGATCGACACCCATGGCAGGGGGGTTGTTGTCCCCAAATAATATCTATTTCTCCATCTTCCACTTTCCAACCATGACCATGTGGACTTGGAATGTCAGGGGTCTGCTCTAGACATAATGTGTGTACTGTGGCCTGATAATTTTGCAGAAATTGCGATAGCATTCAGCATGGTAACCCGGAATGGCACGTTGTCTCCTATGTTTGAAAAAATGAAATAATGATAAAAGATAGATATCATAACAATTAAGCTTTTCTGACAGTTTGAAGATAATGCTGCAATTGCCAGGGATACTTGATGTGCATTTCTTTTGATAAGGAGGAAATAGCTTGCTATGCTTGACAAGCAGTGAAGTTTAAACTTGTTAAGTGGAAAATGGTGACATTCCCAGGTAAGATTATGGGTGTTTTTTTCACCATGCCATTGTTGAGGATGGCTGAGTGCATGTCTAGATTTAATAAATTTCAATTCCTATTTCCAGTTGGTCATGCTAGTCAATGCCAAACAATTACACCCCCTATGCAATGATCTTGAGTAACTCCATTCTCCAGTGAACCTTGATGAATTTACAAAAAACAATTTAAGATTAAGACTCTAAAATTGACTTAGCTCAGACCAATTTAATCTGTCTCTAGCTTGATAACCTCTCAATTCTGTCCGCCTTAAAAACAAAACAATAACATACAATTGCGATCGGTATAAACCTCTAGATCTATGCCTTAGTTATGATATATGGCCAGGGCAGGGCCTAGGCTCGTACTCAGAGATAGGTTGAACCTTTGTAGACCCCTCCCCAGGGCGTCGATCAATTACATGTATGTGCCCCCCAAACCATGGTGCCCCCCATGGCCCATGGTCTAATCGGAGCAGTGTGTGTAGAGTTTCAGCATGGACCTATAATACTGTAGGCAGGCGCGGATCCAGGATTTCTTAGGGGAGGGGGCCCAACTTTTTTTTTTTTTTGCTCCCGAAAATTTGAAAAACGCGTAAAAAAATCGTAAAAATCACGTGATTTTACATTATTTTTTTCTCAAGGGGGGGGGGGGGGGCCCGGGCCCCCCCCCCCCCCCTTGATCCGCCACTGACTGTAGGTCCAAGGTTTCAGACAGGGCTTACCTAATTCTTATACAAACAAAGCTCGACGATGTTACTAATGCATATTCATTAGGGCAAAAGCGAAGGCACTACGTCAGCATACATTAGCGTAAACCTTTGACCCCCGACACTGGCAGATTCGTGTGGACGTTCGTGTGGACGGAAATTTGGGGATTGCGCGATCAGTGGAGAGACCGCGCTGTGTGGGGGGGGGGGGGGGATAAAAAGAATGAACGGACTGAATCTGGACTACCAGCGCATTGGAAATTTGCAATTTTTGCCAGTGCGTTGTCGTGCGCCCAACTTTTGTCGAAGCTACAGCGAGCTGACACCAAATGCATAGCGTGTTGCTAGCGCGCTGAGCGCATACAGGGCGCATAGTGCTCATACAGAACGTACACATAACGCACATGATAACAACTTCCACGAATACACAGCGTGTTGCTAGCGCGCTGGTCACACATAGACGACGCACGACCCGCGCATTGGAAATCAGAAAAGGCCGTGTGCCTAACTTTTGTCATGATTTTGGAAAAGCTAGCGAGCTGACACAAAATGCAAGCAGCGTGTAGCTAGCGCACTGTGCGTATACAGGGCGTGTGCTCCGTGTATGTCTGGCGCTGGTCTAGCGCGCTCCACGCATGTATGGCGTGCCTTTGGCGTGTACATTCATGCGTCGAGCTCCGCGCACACTTTTGAGCATGCTCAAAAAATTCCGACGCACACATCGAATGACGACGAATGCATAGCGTGGGTCCAGCGTGCTCGACGAATGAGTAACGAATGAGGACGTGCGCCCAACTGTTATCGTAGCTACAGCGAGCTGACACCAAATGCATAGCGTGTTGCTAGCGCGCTGAGCGCATACAGGGCGCATACAGTGCGTATACAGGCCGTACCAGAGCGCACTTGATAACAACTTCCACGAATGCACATCGTGTTGCTGGCGCGTTTTGGTGTCAGCTCGCTGTAGCTTCGACAAAAGTTGGGCGCACGACAACGCACTGGCCAAAATTGCAAATTTCCAATGCGCTGGCCGTGCGTTCCCCATGCGTCCCCTCTGTGTGACCTGGCCTTAACTTTTGTCATGATTTTGGAAAAGCTAGCGAGCTGACACAAAATGGACAGCGTGTATCTAGCGCGCTGTGCGTATACAGGGCGTGTGCTCCGCGTATGTCTGGCGCTGGTCTAGCGCGCTCCACGCATGGCTGGCGTGCCTTTGGCGTGTACATTCATGCATCGAGCTCCGCGCACACTTTTGTGGAGCATGCTAACAAAAACCCGACGCACACAGCGAATAACGACGAATGCATAGCGCTGGTCCATCGTTGGTCCAGCGCGCTCGACGAACGAGTAACGAATGATGACGCACGCCGAGCAATTTCCAATGCGCTGGTCGTGCGTCCCCCATGCGTCCCCTCTGTGTGACCGGGCCTTAAAGCAGAAACTGGAAATCCTGGAAATAAAGTTTACCAGCTACACAGAATTAAAAGTGAAACAAAGCTAAAAATCAATTCCATACACATAACATTTCATGTATATGATATTTTTCACAAGATATTTTGGCCTACAATAGGTTCAAGTGTATTGTAAACAACATACATGTACATTATGTCATGTGTTGTTTGTTAATTTTTGTTTCTTCATATTTCTATTTTCAATCTATACAAGAAGTAAAATTACCTGTTTATTTTTCTATGAATTTGCCTACAGATCAACAGTGTCTGTATGATCCGACTTATCTAGTAAACTGTTTAGCTGATAAACCAAGGTTGCGAAGATCAGGCGGGGGTGTTGGTTATCAGAATGGTGATGTAAGAGTCCGAGAGGACTTCAAAGAGACTTGGTTTTTCGACGTCGTTTCCATGCCGTAAGTTTGACATAATTATTCATCTGCCTCTCCTTCCTAATCCCCCTTTGCTTCTGAACTATAAGTATGATAAACTGGCCCATTGTCATTGTCATGTTTACATGATGCAAGTTTGAATTATTATGAAGTAGAACACGTAGTCCCTTCCCCCAAACATCTAGCCTGTCCACCTTGTGGATGTGTGCAGCTGGTACCCGAGAGGAATGAAATAGGGCCAGTCTTGATGCTTGCCATTATGATGTGTATAAATTGTGCTTTTGCATGTACATTTGCTATGGCAACATTTGTCAAAGATATAGGGTTAGGGTTGCAACTGGGTTTTAGGTTAGGCTTATATATTGGTTTGTATGTAGCCTCTGGCTCAGGGGTGAAGATACGAATTTGGTTTACAGTATATTTTACTGACCATAAAGCACATGTAGAGTGCATTTGTATTGATTTTTTTGATTTTTTGAGTAAACATATTATTTTTTAATTTCTTTATAATTAAAGTAATTTATTGATTGATTCATTTATTACATTGTGTAAACCATGCCACAAAATGAAATGCTACCCTCATTGTTCCGTCCTTTATACGGTCAAAGGTCATACGTCTTTTATGCGCTCTATAACTACCACATTTCTTAACGGATTTCGTTCAAATTTTGTATGGATCGAGGTGTTTCTTAGTAAAAGCTGCACATCTTAAGTGTTTGGTGATGCTGCCACCCGTGTTCCGTCTGTTATAGGGTCAAAGGTCGTACTTAAGGTGATATCCTGTGTCGCTTTGCAGGTCACATTTCTGCACACATTTCTTTCAAATTTTCCATAGAGGTGCGTTATACTCTAATCTACACACATATTATTATGGTGATATGCTGTTCCTAGTCTTGACAATAGTCCGAGCCACTAGTGGCAATCTCTACGTCGTCATTTTGTTTCAGGGATAAGGATGACATAAAAATCGCTGCCAATGCCGGGGGGCGTTTTGTTTTCTTTCTGCGGCACAGATTGGGGTTAGGTGCGTGTTGAGCCTATGGGAAAGTTTAGGGTTAGGGTTAGGGTTAAAATCAAGACCTCTTTGAAAAAAAAGCCTCAATATGTGCCGCAGAAAAAAATGACGCTGCCGAGGGGTACATTCGCATTGCGCGGCAATAGAGATTGCGATATTTCTCGTTTTAACATGCTGACTACTGAATCCTCTTGTATAGCATTGATTCAGGGGACATTTGGTTCCGGCAGAAGGATATCGGTTAAGAGGCTCGTTCAGATGTGGCACGGTAATGCCTAGGTCACATATACACCGGACCCCGTACGATTTTCCCTACCCGGCGGCTTGCCGTGAATTTTAGGGACCGTACGGGACCCTTCCGATTTTCATTTCTACAGCACGTTCGGTCACATATTCTGCGGCGCCCGGGAGGTGCCCGGTGAAAATGCAAGGAGCCCGTAAGGCATCGCGCTCCGTCCGAATAGCAGGTGCACCTAATGGCTCCCGGGGCCCAGACGGGGACCTCAAGGCGCCCGGCTGGGTGCCGTGCGGTGCACTAAACTATTTGTCCTTTGACATCCGCGCCTCCATTGAAGATTACAAGAAGAAAATCGGGAGGGGCCGTCTGTGCACCGACCGAAACCCGCTCGGACCCGTTCGGTACCCCACAGGTCCTTTACGGGCTTTATACGGCCTAACACTCAGATGAAAATGCCGGGAGAATTAGGAGCAGCCAACTCATCACCACAGTGCCCGTAAGGCAAGTGAAACATGTCCCGGCGCCCGTAGGAACTGTACGGGATCCAGCCGGGCACCGGCCGAAAATTTCAAAAATGTCTGTTTTTACTCGCCGTACGGGCCGCGGAGTGAATATGTAAAAGCCCCATAATGCCTAGGTCACATATTAACCGGGCCCGGTAAGATTTTCCCTACCCGGCAGCTTGCCGAGGATATAGAGACCATACGGGAACCTTTAATTTCTACCGGATGTGTGGTCACATAATCTGCCACACCCGGGAGGTGCCCGGTAAAAATTGGTCGAGTGAAATGCAAGGCGTCCGATAAGCAGGGACATCCATGGCTCCCGGAAGGTGCCCTGTCGGCGCCCGACCGGGATCCTCAAGGCGCCCGGCCAGGTGCCGCGCGGTTCACTGAACTATGTGTCCTCTGGCATCCGCACCTCCTGTATTTTAATCTGCGTTGAACATTCTGAGATGCCGCCGTGAGGGACCCGCACGGGCAATATCAATTTCAAATGGCCCCCAGACACTAGACGCCTGTTGTTATGCATATCACAAGGGGCTCTTGAGGGGCCCGTGAGGGAGCATTAGGGTACACGTATGGAGTTCTTGAGCATCGCAAGGCGCCCGTGAAGATTTTTCATGAGAATTGGCCCCCAAAAATCGTGAGGGGCCATCCGGGCACCGTCTGGAGCCCGCGCGGGACCCATTAGGTGCCATTCGGGCCCTTTACGGGCTTTCTACGGCCTAACGGTCAGATAAAAACGCCGGGATAATTGGGAAAAGCCCACTCAGCACCACGGCACCACGGCTTTTAAATCTTTAAATTTGTAACTCTGTAATCAGGAGATTCATGTATTAATTTTTGTTTACCTGACTTTCATTGATGGCGTTAATCATAACAAGATGAGTGCGATATTTAGCATTCAGAATTGATACCAAAAACTTGAATGCTGATTATGATGATGCGATGTAAAGTAACACTGCTTTAAAATTGAAGGTTTTAAACAATTTTTAAACAACATACTTTTTTAATATCATGTATGATGAGAGTTTTCACTGTGATTCAAACTGATTTTGGAAATTAAAGTCCACAAATTATGTTACTGATATTTAACATTCAGAATTGATGCCAAAAACTTAAATGCTGATTATGATGATGCGATGTAAAGTAACATTGTTTTAAAATTGAAATTGTTAAACTACATACTTTTTAATATCATGTATGATGGGAGAACTCTGAGTTTTTACTGTGATTCAAACTGATTTGGGAAATTAAAGTCCACATATTATGTTATTTAATTTAAAATGTCGTGAATTTTATGTTATTTGCATAGTGTGTGAGTGAAGAACTTCAAATCAATGCTAAATTTAGAAATCAGGCAAAATTATGGTTTATTTTCTCTATTAAAAAAAAAAGGTTACTTAACAGCTGTTAAAAAAAGAACAATATTAATCAGCGGTTTAGTTAACCCCTTAGTCAAAAAGTTACAACCCTGGTTGAATCCACCTTTGTGTTAATCAGTATTGAGTAAAAACATGTACTAATAACATGTATTAAATAGCTTAGTACATGTTTTTACTCATTATTGATTGAGCAAAAAAATCTACTCAACTAAGCGCGTTACCCAGAAAACATGATACTCAATATTTGAGCAAAAAATTGCTCAAACAAATTGAGTCAAAATAAATTGAGTCAAAATATGTACTCGTTAATTAAGTAAGATTTGGCTCAACTCATGAGCAGTTTCTTACTCGACGTGAGTTGTGTACGTTTCTACCCAAATGCTGAGTAACAAAGGGAACCGCTCAACAAAGGAATATATATTGAGTAAAGGTTGACTCATTCAAACTGAGTAGATATTTAGTCTTTTATTGAGTACTATTTCTACTCAATAGATGAGCAGAGTTTTTACTCAACACAAGCTGAGTTTAGTTTACTCAAAAGTTGAGCGGTTCCTTTTTAACTACTTAAAAGAGTAATATTTTACTCAACATTGAACAGTTTTCATTGAGAGTGTACTACCTAGCTCTTCATATAAACATGAAGATAAACTTTTGTTTGGTAAAAGACCGGGGGCCAGATTATAGCACATGTGCTTGAATGTCGAGCCTAACTTCTACAAGTAAGTTTAGAACACGAAAAAACATTAAAAGTATTGAATTTACTATAACATTCAATATTTAAAAAAATAAGAATACTAAACAAAGTCCTACAATTTACAAAATGATAAAATAAAATTGATTTTTGTATATATTTGCCGACTAGTATTTACATGGAGTTGTCGTTTATGATTTGTTGAACAAATGACGTGTAAGGAATTCGAAATCTATTTCTAGACCTTGTTAACCTGACATAAGTAATCTATTCCAAAATTCACTTCCCACTAATAGTGACCTTGTGTCGTTTTAAATTTTGGAAGACGTGATTATCCACTTCCTTTTGTGTTGTGGAATAGCTATGCTCTATAATGTCACAGTACTCTAAAGATATGAGGCAAATTTGTATTAACTAAATCAAACATGACCCCTACTTGCCATACAGTTGCATGTAAATAAAACTTTTTAAAATGCGGATTACTGAGTCGTGTATTTATGAACAAGGATTGAGTGGAGTTGGCTATCACGTACCTCCAATTTGTCAATTGTTGACGTCTGTTTGGGTATACATGTTATTGTGGTTTAAGGAATTAACACTTTTGGTTGCTTTCTTTGTTTCTCTGCCTGGTCGGTCACTTGCCAAACATGCATCCATTGTATGCGTGCCAATTTAGAGACTTCAGTGATTATTTTCTATTAAATTACTCTTATTAATGAACGGCACAGTTTACTGCAACAGAAATGGACTCAAATTTATAGTTCTAATAGTTTATGTTTTTTCTGCTTATGTATTAGTAATTCAGAGCATTTTGGATCAAAAGATACGAATAAAACGTCACTAAACTTATCGGCTTTGGGTTAACAAAGCTCTACATGTTTCATGCTCACCATTATGCATCTGTTTTTCATTGTCCTTATATTTTCAGCCCTTTTCCAAGCCTTACCGTGCAGAGATGCCAACTGTCCCATTTTTGCCGTATTTGTTCCCTTTTTTTGCTATGAAAACGGCAGTACGTTTTTGTATGTTTTGTTACGTTTTTTTTTTTTTTTTTTTTTTTTTTTTAATATTTTTTTAAATTTATTAATTTTATTTCCTTCGATTTATGCCCTTTCACCTGGCAATGTCTCCCAGCTCAGTAATCGGTTTGTTGACTCACCAGTCGGAAACTAGAACAACACTCAAATTTGTCTGTTATCTTGGTTTGAAAGTAATCTTTCTAATAGACGGATCTCAATATGTAGTTTATAATAATAATTCCTTCCCTTTTTTTCTATTACACACGGCGTACCACAAGGTTCTATCCTAGGTACTCTACTGTATATAATTTACATTAATGATCTTTAATACACATTCTTTTAAAAACGACATTGTTAATATTATTTGTAACGAGTTCACAAGCAAAAATGGGCGCCTTCAACTGCACCTCGTAGTTAAATGAAAGTCCTTGGACTTGGCTTGCTGCCGACAAAGTCGGCGAAAAAAAAACTGATTTTTTTTTTTCGTGGCCCCCAAAACAGAGGTGCGTCTTATACGCGGAGATTTGCGGTACGTGGTACTGCCGTTAATTTTTTAAAGCTTCTCGATTGGGCAATATGTTAAGGTGAGATATTTTTTTCAAAAATACTGTTTTTTTTTGTCCCAAAATACTGGTTTTTGTTTTATGATGAAGGTTGGCATCTCTGCTTACGTTCTTCAGCATCTGCCTGGATGGAACCAGATGCTCATGTGTCTTCCCCTAGTGTCTCCTTCCAGATATCGAGCATGCAACCTGGAAGTTCATTGTTCTCAGTGAAGCCTATGGCTTTTTTATGCCTCCGCTACAAAGCAGCCGGAGGCATTATGTTTTCTGGTTGTCCGTCCGTCCGTACGTACGTACGTATGTCGTCCCGTTCTCGTGATCGCGTTATCTCAAGAACCGATTGATGGATTACCGCCAAACTTGGATCATGTATGTATCTTGCAGAGCCAATGAACTGATACATTTTTGGGTCACAAGGTCTAAAGGCCACAGGGCTTATTATGTATGCAAAAATAGCTCGGGATTGCGTTATCTCAAGAACCGATTGATGGATTAGCGTCAAACGTGGGTCGTGTATGTATCTTGCAGAGCCAATGAACTGATTAGAGTTTGGGGTCATGAGGTCAACGGTCAATTGTCATGGGGCTCATTATGTATGCAAAAATAGCTTGTGAACGCATTGTTAATACAGATGAATGGATTACTATCAAACTCGGGACATGTATGCATCTATCAGAGCCAATGAACTGATTAGATTTTAGGGTCATGAGGTCAAAGTTCAAAGGGTCATACGTGTATGTGAAAAATAGCTTTTAATCACGATATTCTGAGAACCTGTTAATGGATTACAATCAAACTTGAATTTTAAGATTGCTTCTGTTTTGGTTTGTAAAATCGCTTTATGGCGGAGGCATCATTTTCGATTGCGTGCAGTTGAACATCCATCTAGTTTTCTCATTTTTATTTTAAATTCTCATTTCCAGTGAAGATGGTAGTCCGTACTTATACCCGATCTCCACCTCAAGTAGTATCACGGATTGGCATTTGACAGCTGTCAGTTTTTCACCTACTCAAGGAATGTGTATTTCTGAAACCACGGTGAGTGTGTTCCAGGATTTCTTCATCCAGCTCCACCTTCCCTACTCAGTTGTCAGGCTCGAACAGACGCAAGTCATCGCCACTATTTTCAACTATGGTATCAGGGGTTTTGAGGTTTGTGCATTGTTTAGCACTTAATGTTCATTCCCTTATCGTTTACATGATACATTAGTACACAAATAATTCATTTTTGAGAATTATGCACGCAGGTCAAGTTACAATTAGATATTGACCAAGACTTGTCGAGTTCATTGTCTGGTTCATTGTGATTCAACCGAGTGCCGTACATATTGCTAATACATGAGCTTAAAAAGATGTACATTTATTTGTTTTATAAAACAGGTCGACAATGTGAATATAAAGTTGATAAAAAACATGTAAGAAACGAACCCAATCAACATGCCAAGAATCACACAGTCATGGGGCCGTCATTTGCATTGAATGACATATCATGATATAAAAGCGTAGGCAAACTGTTTAATGCACATCTCAGTGTGCATATTGTCATTTGCAACTTCATGCATTTTGGCATATCTTAAGCTTGTACTTGCTAGTGATATGATTATGTGCATCTCAGCTGTGCATCCTCGCTTTTAGTTTTATCCGTGGGTTATCACTTTTGAAGGTGGGAAAGAATGATGCATTTATTCATTGCCCGATCACTTGGCATTCTAATCATTTGTATTGTCTTCAAGGAACAATGCATGAGATCTTAATTATCCTGAATTTAAAAACGAAATATCATCAAGGCTATCCAACATAAAATAACTAACTGGATAGGGTGTAATGTATATATATATCTTTTACCGCAAGGGAGTTGTATTTTCTCTCGTGATCATATTTGGCCTCGGAGCGGCACACTTCGGAAAAATATAACCCACTTCAGCAGTCAAAAAAATTGTTGTATTACACATCCTACCAGTCAATATCTATATAATATCAACAAGAAGATATTAATTGCGTTGTTCATTATACAGTGCGTCTCAGAAAAAACGAAACCGAGAATTATCGATGTTTTTATCATAACTTAGTCACATTTATAATCAATAAATGACACATATTTGGAAAGCTTGGATCCTCTTTTTTCAGTTAATGCAACCCATATGATGCATATATTTCACGCATGAGTGATAACAATCAATTTGAAGAGAGGAAACCAAAAAGTCAATTGGCGGACGGTATCTGAATTTCAAAGAGAAAATCACATTTCTAGAAAGCTGAGTTTCTGCCCTTTTATATGACATCTCAATCGCGAAAAATGAGCAAGGGATGACAAAGTTCTATTTGTTTGAAGTAGTGCTTGCATTTCCATAATTTTATCAAACGAATTCGTTTTCACGGACTCCCTGCCGTAGCAACAAGCAAAATTGACAACGTTTCGTTGACAATCAGTCATGCACGAATTCTCTCGTCTAAGCTTTCCAAATATGTGTCATTTATCAATTATAATTGTGATTAAGTTATGTTAAAACATCGATAATTCACGATTTCGTTTTTTCTAGGACACACTGTATATGTAGTTTTCTGCACAATACATCTTTAGATTATATAGATCCAAGTCACGTGAAAGGTATTGATGACTGATTAACTTACTGAATTTAATATAAAAAAAAGGGGTAGGGCTATAGGCTCTTGAAAAAGAGAGGGAAAATGTCTGCCCCCCCCCCCCCGATTATAAAAGTGAAGGACAACTTAGTGAAACATTTGACAAATCTTATTGTTAATGTATAATCAAGGAAATGATTTTTTGGATGTTCGGTCAAACATGTTTCGGTCACTAATTATATTAAGGTTATCTGTTTGTAAGAATGTGTGTCTTTTAACTACCTTTTTTACTTTTCGACTCTTTTCTTGTAACATATCCATATTTCTTATGGCATATCTCAATCACCTATCACAGATCAATGTTAATTTCACTGTTGAAGACGGCTTGTGCACAGCGGAAAATCCTACCATTCGCCACGTTTTTGTTGAATCTAGACGGGCAGCCTCTGCAGCCTTCATCGTACGCCCTGTGGAAGTAGGGGAATTCCAAATCACTGTGACTGCTGGTGGAAGCGTGAATAAGCGGGACATCGTCAGGAAAACTCTTCTCGTCGTGGTACAAATTTATACTTTTAGAAATATTTACATGTATGATATTGATTGAAAAATGTGTTTCATCCTGTCACAATTGCCCCAGGTTCATTTTGTGAATAAGCGGGACATCGTCAGGAAAACTCTTCTCGTCGTGGTACAAATTTATACTTTTAGAAATATTTACATGTATGATATTGATTGAAAAATGTGTTTCATCCTGTCACAATTGCCCCAGGTTCATTTTGTCAAATAACATTGTTCAAACTATATATGAAATTGAAACGAAACTCGTAAAATGGTACAGTATCATCGTAGAGCGGCAAGACCATACAGACAAGAAAATAACATCATAATATCACAGAGAAATATTGTGTGACAATTCTAAGAGAAGGCCGACCATTTAGACCAAGGTAGGATCCTGATTCTTTATTGGGTTTTCGTCCGAAACGATACTCGAACAGGCATATCACCATACAACGTTTGGTTATACGACATTTCTTTTAAAGTGATAGTTGAGTTTTTGCTTCAGACCGCAAATGCCTTCAAAGTGCATGGTTATTGCTCTTATTCTTATTTCGGACATTTCTAGAGCCCTTTTAGGACCTGAAATGGCTTTGAAGGTAATTTTAGACCCCAAAATACGTGAAATTTAGATTAAATCTGATCATACCCATTCAGCTTTACTTTAAAAAAATTAGATGACCGTTAATTAATTAATTAGTTAATAATAACAAAACACGGGCCAGCTGGTTATTATAACCAACACGAAAAAGCCAACAAAAAGCCAAAATAGGCATCGGCTGGAATCAAACGTAAAAGATGCCATTTCGTTTTTTGAACGGCTGGTTCAAAATTATCGAATATTTGTGGCGCCCCACAAATGGTTATATTTACGGATATTTCAGCCGTCTTTGAACCGTTTGTGATCAAACATAGAGGGTTTTGTTATTTCGATTGTATGCTTTTACACTCAAGTTTTCATTATCTCACAACAAAATTATTGTGTGTAGCGCCCTCTATATCAAAACTCAGCTATCCCTTTAAGATGTCAAGACTAGGACAAATTTAAGTATTTGTCGTATAGCTATACGATAAATTATGGTGGTCTGAAATAGGGAAAAAAATAAAAGGGTTCTTAGAGATGGAGTTGCCATTGGGTTTTGCAAACTATAGGGTTAGGGTTAAGGTTACATATCCTCTAGCTTTAATAGAGTTTGGTTCCTGATTGAAGTTTGGGTTTTCACTAATATTGGAAGTTGACTTGTTGATTAATTTGTTACTGGATTATGTCTTGTAAGAGATGCGGAAACAGTGATAATGAATCGTTCAATATGTTGTTAATTTAAGGATGTTGATGCTTAGATGTATATTCCTGTCTTAAAACTTTCTGGCATTGAATGATATAAATGTACTTTGTAGGGGTGCCATCACTATTGGCTCAGGGTTTGCAGATAATCTTGCTCTTTTTCCACAGGCTCTTTATGAGGACTTTAAATTTAAAGTTTATAAACCCAATCCAAACCTTTGGAGTTTTTATTATCATAAATATTACATTTTCTCTCTTCTTTTTCCTTTTTGTTTGAGGGGAGGGAGGATGAGCACTACGACTTCATGTACCGGTACTATTCCATGTATAAATATGTTTTTGATGATTTATAAACGTACACAGTCATTGTGATATTTGGCAGATCACCATGGGTGGTAGCTCCGCACAGTTGGTAATCTTCTGGCTGAGTTTGCGGTTACAATTTTTTCGTTGTTCTTTGTGAATAGCCTCAAGGAGTTATGAAGAGGAAAGGTAGATCTGTGATCCTGAATCCTGGGAGAGTGATGTTCAGTGATGATGTCACAACACCGTCCCCTAATAACAGCTTTGCCCAAGGTAAAGTACATTTGTAAGAAATCACAGGTTTAATTTTGAATCGCTTCAAGTCATCATTTTTGCAAATAAATATCATGTCTTACAACATATTTTGTTAGCTGTATAAATATCTCATAGATTAATTGTTTCTGGACCTATTTTCCGAAGGAGAAAAGTGTACCAATCACCTACAACAATTTGTTGGGTATAGCTAGAATGTATAAGATCGACCTAAACTACTTTACCAGTCCTAATATAAGTTATGCAAGGAAATCCGATTACTTGCTAGACTTCACTGTCAGACACTATTGAGTGACTGACTGGCTTTTCTTCTTCGCTAATAGCATACATACAATGATCTGTAAAGGGTACATGAGCATTTGTCTACATCAATAACCCACTTCTTGTAATGGCCCGAATTAAACTGATTGAATCTTTGCGCAGCACAAAACGTACGACCATTCGGTACAATGGTCTGAACAATCAGACTATTACTTACTGACTTTGCAGTACTTAAGTCGATTCGACAACTAATCGTCGTTATTTTCCCACTTAAAGAATGTTCAAGCCCGCCCCCCTTTTTTTTAAAGGGAAGTTCTAAATTAGTATTATCTTTCAAATGACGTTGGAATTTAACCTTTTCATTTTTGGGGCCTGCAAATGGGACATAGTACCTTTAAGGTGTATGAAGAAAACAAAGGATAACATAAAATGGCGCATATGGAACAAAATTCCGACTTTGGTTCCGCTTGGTGCACCCTGTTCTATGTAAGCTTGTAAGCATTAATCGACTAGTGTACTCAACAAGTCATTTTACTATATATTTGCTGGTTATATATTTACCTTGATATCTATTTTGTAGAAGTGCCGCATTTTGAAGCTCATATTTTGAATACAGTATAGGGACATGGAACCCCTTACATAAAGAGCGAAACATGTTTTTGTGATTTGTACAATAAATATTTAAAGAATGCTAACCAGAACAGTTTTGTAAAGATTTTATTTCTGAAATAGAAAAAAAAAAGATTATCAGTTTTTTTTCTTATTAAACCAACTAGATACATGTACACCGGGAAAGAAATATAACAAATACAAAACTGTAACATTTACCAACTATGCCAAAAAAATTGGACTACATCGTTAATAGTGCAGTAATACTAGTAATTGAAAGGGGGAGGGAGCAAAATTCGGTTAGATTATTAAAACACTTTTTACCTATAATGTGCAGGTTGAATACAGTCCTTCTCCTTTCCTGTAGATGCGGAGTTGTGGATCACCCTTTATACTGCTCTCCTTTTCTTTGAAAATGTTTCTGTACAGGAACAACGTTATTTGGGGAGAACCAACAGTTTGAGCAGATGACCATTTCTTTGCCTGAAGATTCTATTCCAGACACTGAGTCTTGCAGTGTCAAACTTATCGGTTAGTACTATGCTAATATTTAAAATGTTCCGGAGTTCAATATTATACAAATGATGCATGCGAATGAGTTCATTCTATGATCTATCTGCACTCGGTTTGAGGCTGTATACATCTATCGGACGAAGCCTGACGACTTCTTTCGATAGGTGCATTAACAGCCTCAACAAGAGTGCATATATATACTGTTATGAACAAATAAAAACGTGCATCATTTTTTTTTTTTTTACAAACAAAGCCCTAGATCCGTATTATTTGATGTAAAGAGAATTCATTTCAAGATTGTTTTTGATTTTTTTTTATCGCTGACAAATAAACTCCAAGTTTAATAGGTTTACTTTAACGCTAACAGAGAGCTGTGCACAGTTACCTGTATACTCGTCAATGCGCAATGCTATTCATGCATTCACTCACACAGGGTGTTCATGCATTAACCTCTCCACGCACTACTGTGGATCGCCTACCTAAAAATCGATACAATAATGGAAATTATGAGATGATGAAGCAGATCCTAATCAAATGATTGGTTGAGAGCGTACAGGTGACCGTGCATTTATTTTGCCTAACACGTAATTTTACTAATGACCGCTCATTAGTATAGATATATTGACTGCTATGATAGGCATGGATGTTTATATAGGCTCAAGTGGACGTTGCATCCTGCAAATGACCCAGATCGGTGCCGAGGAGTCATGGCATGATGCAACGTCACCGACAGCCAGTATAGACTCTTCCATGCATGTCTCGAATGTTAAAGCAGTCCATATATCGTTTACATACCGAACTAACATAAACATCTACAAAGAATGCTTACCTTATCCTTTTCTTGAGCAAAGATTGGTTAAAACATCACAGAAAATCTGTGAAACTGTCTGTTAATCTTCGCTAGAAATTTGCCTGAATGTTACGATCTTTGGGGAATCGCACACAAACTGTATGGTATGGTATTTTGTGAGTACTTGTAAATGAAACTTTGACTTGGAATGATCATTTACACCACGTTAAAATGTGCATTTCCAAAAGTATTGGAATAATCTCCAAGCTAAAGTTTCTTCTACCACATGCAACCTTAGTCCTACTATATAATACGCTAGTTCTCCCTTATATAACATATTGTAATATTGTATGGGCAAATTGTGGTTCGACAAAAATTAATTCTATTTTTAAACTGCAAAAGAAAGCCATACGTATTTGTACAGGTTCGCATTTCTTAGCTCACACTGATCATTTATTCTATAAACTTAAAACACCAAACATTTTCGATTTGAACACTATTCAAGTAGAAGTCATTATGTTTAAGTACATCAATAATTAACTTCCACCATCCTTTGATAACATGTTTAGGTTTAATAGTTCTGTTCATTCGTACCCTACTCGCTCATCTGGAAACTTCCATCTTACAAATCCCAAATTATCAATAACACGCAAATCTGTTAAACATTCTGACCTGGACATTTGGAATAATTTTCCTGACAACATAAAGTCTTCTTTAACAATCTACTCCCTATAAGCTTTACTTAAACGACAAACAATACAATCATATGCTCCCCCTCTTCAAATTGGTATAATAAAACCGTTACTTATTTTATTCTTTATCAAGAAACTGCTTTCTGCACCTGCACTTGCACTGCACCCACTTGATCACTCAGTTTTCCCAAGAGAATTATGTCGCCAATTCTTTCTCTTTTTTATGAGGCCGCCATCCACCTCCAGCCTAACCGCTCACGATGGTAGTCTCCTGCGTTCTAAATTGCCTCTCTAATTTATTGAAAAATATTAACTATAAATTTCTTATCTTATTTGTATGCTTCGTACATGTTTATTGTATGATACAATTGTACATGATTTTCTGTTTAATTACTTTTGTAAACATTTTATTCATTGTATTTGTTATTGTTCGAATGTTTGTACTTTTAGTTTGAATTTTTATCTTTTTGAACGCAGAAATTAAATCAAACTAACAAACAAACACGTCAACCAATGGGGATCTCGCCAAAATGCATTTTTAAACAACTTTTGACCGGTAGGCGGTCATGAAAAGAAATCGCCGCCCCTGTTAGGAAGGGCACGCAAGCCAGAGTATATATTCCTATACCTAGCCAATTATTTGGTTAGGCATTCTCCTCTAAAAAAAGTGGTGTCAAGAAACTCCTGATTTATGCAGAAAACGTGAGTTGTGTACGTACATGTAAAGGGCGCTTGTTGGTCGATTGCAGATCTGCATAATGAAAATCCAACCTTAATAACAAACTTTTCTAGAATAAACCAGAACAATCAGAGAAGCATACAAATACAGAAAGTTCGAATAAAACCGGACAAAAAAAGAAGAAAGTTACTATTTGTGAAAGTTGCGATAACTATAGGTGTGGGCTCTTTATATAGACAAAATTGATAGTGTCTATGTGATTTAGTGGCGGACAACTTTCCCATTTGTTTCCAATACGCAAAAGGACTAACATTTAATTTTTTCATAAATGTATGTATCGGGATGGTCTGTTCTTTTTACAGGACCTGAAATAATGTACATGTAGTATGAATTAGCCCCACAAAGAACAGTGTATACGGAAAGTTAATTACGTACCTATTTACGTATACATGTATGTGTGTAATCGTGTGTTGAGGTGCTCTTACACTCTGTGTGCTTTTGGAACTACTCATAATAAACTTGGGATACATGTATTTGCCATTGGAAATGGCATGGACCAATTTTACTTATGTACATATAGCCCCATTTTAAAATGAAATAAAAAGGATCTAGGAGTTTCATTGTATGACATTTTGTTGAGGCTATCGGCACCTATTGTACGAAGGTGTAAATGTTGCATGATTCATTGGTATAGTAATGCCTGTAATTGCCACTTTCCAATGCTCATTGAACAGGTATTCCGACTGAAACTACAGCCACAGATCCCATAGGTGGGCTAGATCATCTAGTGAGGCGACCTAGAGGCGATGGCGAACAAACCATGATATTCCTGGCTCCAACACTCTTCGTCTATCAGTACCTGATAGCCGTAGGATCAGATACAGTAGAACAAGAGGCACGGATCTATGACTACATCGCTGATGGTAATGTGATGGCTATAAATGCATAGAATATTTGATGATCCAGGCTTGAAGTATATCCATCCACCAACCCTTACCCCTCTTAAATTAACAAAGAAGGAGTAGAATAATTTGAAGGTAAACCCGAATAATACTGAATTCTTTTATTCCTACACAGGGTCAACCCAATCCCAATAGGTAATGGGTTACAGTTTTTAGAGCGTACAGGGACAAATTATGTCAGCCTGCTGATTACAAAATTGTTCAAGGATTATACGGGTTAAGCATATTTGAAATGTGCTCAGGGGCAGATCCATGCATCATCATTAATATCATCTTATTACCACGACTACTACTACGAATACTATATTAAACTACTAATACTATTATGACTACTACCAATACTACTACTACTACTACTAATACTAATACTAATACTAATACTAATACTAATACTTCTCCTATAACTGCTATTAGTAGTAGTAGTAGTAGTAGCTCTAAACAGAGGAAATTTCTTTTTCTTTTTTTTTCCACATAATATAAACAATAACAGAAAATAATAAACGTAATGATATAACAGAAATATCTTTGACATTGTTTTTTGTTCATAGTAATGCAAAATGATTTAATTACAGGAAATGAAAAAAACGAACCTACTTAAAAGCAAAGCTTGTTAGATGTTACAGGAAATTAAGTCATGAATCTTCAAAACATTATTTGCGTGAAAGAGTTCATTAGTATCAGTATAAATTCAGGTAATCAAGGCCAAAACTTGGGTGATTTTGGAAGATTTTGTGTTGCACAGAACAATCATTATGGTTTGTACCGATCTGCACATGTGGCAAACAAAATGTTAACACAAGGCATAGTTAAAACCATTTCCCCTCTTTAATTACATGAATTACTTGTAGGAGTTGTCCGAGAGCTGACCTATCGGCAACCTAATGGTGCATATGCAGCATGGACGCATCGACCTGGAAGTACATGGTAAGTGACCTTACCTCCTCATTTCTCCTTCACTCCATGCCTTATATCTCACCGATTTCAACCTTTGTATGCATCTTTATCTCTCCTTTTTGTACCTCTTACACCCAATCCATCAAATTTTTACTTTTTGTTTCTTGATATTTAAATATTCACGTGCAGTCTAATATCACCCACCCCCTACTCTTTATAGACCTCTCTATCTTTTGGGGAAAAGGGTTTTAACGTTTATTGCACTTTCCCCTATTTTGAGATTTTCTAGTAATAATATCTAAAAAGATGTGATTAAACGGTAATTACCAATCTCACTAAAACCAGAAGTGTATCTTAGATGTTGTTTCATCATTCAATATTTGTTGAAAACTGAAAATAAGAGAAACAGGATGATGAAAATTTGATATAATAAGAAAGTTATGAATGTTTGAATTATGAAATCTTTACATCTGTGCGAAATCTCAAATTGAAAGACATTAATCCAATTTCGCCATTCTTCACACAAATGTTAAATGGGTACCCGCTAATATGTGAAAATCATTGTACATGTAGTTTGTTCAGCATTTTTGTCTGTAATATGACGCCTCGAGGGAGTAGAGAATACGGCATCTCAATCCAATGTCAATGAGCAGGGCAATAATATATATGTACAGTATTATGCACTATGTATTTTGTATTGAGCGCTATATACCCAAAATATTTGTATTGATTATCATTATTTATTATTATTACTATGGATAGTATATTATTATAGGTCCCCGAGTCACACATGAAAAATTTAATAATTTAGTGTGTTGGAACAAATGGGAAAGTTGTCTGCCACTATTTGTCACGGTGACATTACCGATACAGCCAATTTGATTACAACTTGGAAAACTCGTAACTTTTTCTAGTTTGTCTAGTTTCTTTTAAACTTTCAGAAATCTGCATCACTATTTTTCTGCTTTCTTTCAAAGCAATTTTCTACAAAGGTTGGATTTCCCTTTAGTCTATTATATATTTTACCTAATCCAATCGGCCCACATTGCAATCAGCTCACATGGCAAACCCAGGATTAATGTCCTTAATGTTCCCTTTATGTATGTGGTTACAGGTTGACGGCATTCGTTGTAAAGGTGTTCAGCCAGGCTAACAGGTTCACTTGGGTAGACCCAGTCCATGTGGAAGGTAGTATAAACTGGCTCATTGACAACAACCAGCTACCATCAGGGGCTTTCCAAGAAAGTCGTCAAGTATTTTACCAGGAAATGATTGTAAGTCATTCAAGTACATTGTACCTGTACTACAATCATTAACATACGTATGGCTTTCTTTTGCAGTTTAAAAATAGAATTAATTTTTGTCGAACCACAATTTGCCCATACAATATTACAATATGTTATATAAGGGAGAACTAGCGTATTATATAGTAGGACTAAGGTTGCATGTGGTAGAAGAAACTTTAGCTTGGAGATTATTCCAATACTTTTGGAAATGCACATTTGATACATCCATAACGTTCAGTATATTAATGTGTAATTGTTAAAAAAAGATAATTGTTTGGCATGGAGTTGCTTAATACCTCTGAATCTGTTCTGTTCCTGGTACTCTCATTGTTCAAGTCAAAAGGAATTGCAAATTCTTCCAAACTTGGGTCATAGTCAGGTCGTATGTGTCAAAGATGACATGCCCATCTCATGTAAATTGATAATGTTCTTGTTCAAATTTTGGTTAGATTTTTGGCGTATTGTACGTGTACTCGTGCTTGTATAGAAATTATGAATATAACACAAACATAGTCACACAAATATTTCTTGTTCTTTTGTAAGTAAATTCTATAGGGATCCCTGTCACATACTCTCGTAAACACCAGCATTTGTCATTTTGAAATATGGTTGAGGTCCAGGGAAATGATGAAAAATATTTTATGAGCTGTTTAATTATTTTTATGTTAGTGTGGAGGAGTATCATTGAAAAAGTGTTGCCTGAAAAATATGGCTCTACAAATACCCTCATATTAGAAATATGAAAAGTAAGACCTATTGTGGACCGCACTTCATGGCACATGTTTGTGTAGTATATACACATTAATGTGTTCAGTACATGTGATTTTTCGTAAGACTGCCTATTTGTTATCATTACGATGATTCCAAAACCGCAAACACCAATACTTATGTGCTACATGATCTAAATGTGTACATGTACCTTTTCCAATCGCTTCCAAGCCATCTCTTTCACAACGCAATCTCATGACTAGAACTCAACTTAATCTGTATATGTACTATTAAACAGATCTCACTATTGCAAATCCTTTGATTTGTTTATCAGGGAGCTGTACAGGGAGAAACCTCTATGACAGCATTTGTTCTCATCTCTCTCCTGGAGAGCCGGAATTTACTTGTCCCTGCAAACCAGGTAATGCAACTTCACATAACATGTGTATAGAACTGTAACCTAACATGTCAAAAAAAAGTACACATTTAATAAAGAGCATGTGAATATGGGATTATCGTATTTATATGTTTATTGTGATTTAATAATGAAATGTACAATTTGTCGAAAATTCAAATTCAAGATCATGCCATAGGATCTTCATATGGGCAACTTGGTCCAGTGGCGGATCCAGGGGGGGGGGTGGGGTAAAGGGGGGTGCAAATTTTCGAGGGCCCCCCAAACAAATGTGCTCACTACCATTACATATTGGTCAAAACATTGTACAATTTAAGTTCCATGACTATTTATTTTTCATTCCTGACTCCTGACAGAAAAATTTTAAGATTATTTTGATCCCCCCTCTCTCTCTCTCTCTTTAGGTGCCATATCTGTTGTCTCTGCCGATCATGTCGCTTTAAACTCTGTGTTTGTATCCTTCAACATTAACTCCATTCCCCAGTTTTTCACTGCTTTCTCCTCAAGCCATATATGCAGACTATCCAACCATAACACTCCTCTCTCCTCAAGCCAACTCTGCAGACTATCCAATCATAACACCCCTCTCTCCTCAATACATCTCTGCAGACTATCCAACCATAACACCTCTCTCTCTTTCTCTCCTCTAGCCATCTCTGCATACTATCCAACCATAACAATCCTCTCTCCTCAAGCCATCTCTGCAGACTATCCAACCATAACACCCCTCTCTTAAACCATCTCTGCAGACTATCCAATCATAACGCCCCTCTCTCCTCAAGCCATCTCTGCAGACTATCCAACCATTACAATCCTCTCTCCTCAAGCCATCTCTGCAGACTATCCAACCATAACACCCCTCTCTTCTCAAGCCATCTCTGCAGACTATCCAAAAATAACACCCCTCTCTTCTCAAGCCATCTCTGCAGACTATCCAACCATATCACTCCTCTCTCCTCAAGCCAACTCTGCAGACTATCCAATCATAACACCCCTCTCTCCTCAATACATCTCTGCAGACTATCCAACCATAACACCTGTCTCTCTCTCTCTTCTCTATCCATCTCTGCATACTATCCAACCATAACAATCCTCTCTCCTCAAGCCATCTCTGCAGACTATCCAACCATAACACCCCTCTCTTAAACCATCTCTTCAGAATATCCAATCATAACGTCCCTCTCTCTTCAGGCCATCTCTGCAGACTATCCCACCATGACACCCCTCTCTCCTCAAGCCATCTCTGCATACTATCCAACCATAACAGCCCTCTCTTAAACCATCTATGCAGACTATCCAATCATAACGCCCCTCTCTCCTCAAGCCATCTCTGCAGACTATCCAACCATTACAATCCGCTCTCCTCAAGCCATCTCTGCAGACTATCCAACCATAACACCCCTCTCTTAAACCATCTCTGCAGACTATCCAATCATAACGACCCTCTCTCCTCAAGCCATCTCTGCAGACTATCCCACCATAACATCCCTCTCTCATCAAACTATCTCTGCAGACTATCCAATCATAACGCCCCTCTCTCCTCAAGCCATCTCCGCAGACTATCCAACTATAACACCCCTCTCTCCTCAAGCCATCTTTGCAGACTATCCAACCATAACAGTCCTCTTTTATCAGGCCATCTCTGCAGACTATCCAAACATATCACTCCTCTCCCCTCAAGCCATCTCTGCAGACTATCCAAAAATGGCACTCGATTCTCTCTCCCGAAGCCATCTCTGCAGATTATCTAACCATAACAATCCTCCCCGCTCAAGCCATCTATGCAGACTATCCAACCATAACACTCTTCTCTTCTCAAGCCACTTCTGCAGACTATCCAACCATAACACTCCTCTCTTCTCAAGCCATCTCTGCAGACTATCTAACCATACCACCCCTCTCTCCTTGAGCCATCTCTGCAGTTTATCCACCCATAACACTCCTCTCTTCTCAAGCCATCTCTGCAGACTATCCAACCATAACACTCCTCTCTACTCAAGCCATCTTTGCAGACTATCCAACCATAACACTCCTCTCCCCTCAAGCCATCTCTGCAGACTATCCAACCATAACACCACTCTCTTCTCAAGCCATCTTTGCGGACTATCCAACCATAGCAGTCCTCTCTTCTCAAGGCATCTCTGCAGACTATCCAACGATAACACCCCTCTCTCCTCAAGCCACCACTGCAGTTTATCCAACCATAACACTCCTCTCTTCTGAATCCATCTCTGCAGACTATCCAACCATAACACTCCTCTCTTCTCAAGCCATCTTTGCAGACTATCCAACCATAACGATCCTCTCCCCTCAAGTCATCTCTGCAGACTATCCAACCATAACACCACATTCTTCTCAAGCCATCTCTGCAGACTATCCAACCATAGCAGTCCTCTCTTCTCAAGGCATCTCTGCAGACTATCCAACCATAACACCCCTCTCTCCTCAAGCCACCACTGCAGACTATCCAACCATAACACCCCTCTCTCTCTCTTCTAAAGCCATCTGTGCAGACTATCCAACCATAAAACCCCTCTCTCTCTCTCCACAAGCCATCTCTGCAGACTATCTAACCATAACACTCCTCTCTTCTCAAGCCATCTCTGCGGGCTATCCAATCATAACACTACTTTCTCCTCATGACGTCTCTGCAGACTATCCAACCATAACACTCCTCTCTTCTCAAGCCATCTTTGCAGACTATCCAAAATAGCACTCGATTCTCTCTCCCGAAGCAATCTCTGCAGATTATCCAACCATAACAATCCTCTCCCCTCAAGCCATCTATGCAGACTATCCAACCATAACACTCCTCTCTTCTCAAGCCACCTCTGCAGACTATCCAACCATAACACTCCTCTCTTCTCAAGCCATCTCTGCAGACTATCTAACCATACCACCCCTCTCTCCTTCAGCCATCGCTGCAGTTTATCCAACCATAACACTCCTCTCTTCTCAAGCCATCTCTGCGGGCTATCCAATCATAACACTACTTTCTCCTCATGATGTCTCTGCAGAATATCCAACCATAACACTCCTCTCTTCTCAAGCCATCTTTGCAGACTATCCAACCATAACAATCCTCTCCCCTCAAGCCATCTCTGCAGACTTTCCAACCATAACATTCCTCTCTTCTCAAGCCATCTTTGCAGACTATCCAACCATAACAATCCTCTCCCCTCAAGCCATCTCTGCAGACTATCCAACCATAACACCACTCTCTTCTCTAGCCATCTTTGTACACTATCCAACTATTACACCCCTCTCTCCTCAAGCCACCTCTGCAGACTATCCAACCATAACACTCCTCTCTCCTCAAGCCACCTCATCAGACTATCCAACCATAACACTGCTCTCTTCTCAAGCCATCTCTGCAGACTATCCAACCATAACACCCTTCTCTTCTCAAGCCATCTCTGCAAACTATCCAAACATATCACTCCTCTCCCCTCAAGCCATCTCTGCAGACTATCCAAAAATGGCACTCGAATCTCTCTCCCGAAGCCATCTCTGCAGATTATCTAACCATAACAATCTTCTCCCCTCAAGCCATCTCTGCAGACTATCCAACCATAACACTCCTCTCTTCTCAAGCCATCTCTGCAGACTATCCAAAAATGGCACCCGATTCTCTCTCCCGAAACCATCTCTGCAGATTATCCAACCATAACAATCCTCTCCCCTCAAGCCACCTCTGCAGACTATCCAACCATAACACCCCTCTCTCTCTCTCTCTCCTAAAGCCATCTGTGCAGACTATCCAACCATAAAACCCCTCTCTCTCTCTCCACAAGCCATCTCTGCAGACTATCTAACCATAACACCCCTCTCTTCTCAAGCCACCTCTGCAGACTATCCAACCATAACACTCCTCTCTTCTCAAGCCATCTCTGCAGACTATCTAACCATACCACCCCTCTCTCCTTGAGCCATCTCTACGGTTTATCAAACCATAACACTCCTCTCTTCTCAAGCCATCTCTGCGGGCTATCCAATCATAACACTACTTTCTCCTCATGACATCTCTGCAGACTATACAACCATAACACCCCTCTCTTCTCAAGCCATCTTTGCAGACTTTCCAACCATAACAATCCTCTCCCCTCAAGCCATCTCTGCAGACTATCCAACCATAACACCACTCTCTCCTCAAGCCATCTCTGCAGACTATCTAACCATAACACTCCTCTCTTCTCAAGCCATCTTTGCAGAATATCCAACCATAACAATCCTCTCCCCTCAAGCCATCTCTGCAGACTATCCAACCATAACACCACTCTCTTCTCTAGCCATCTTTGCACACTATCCAACTATTACACCCCTCTCTCCTCAAGCCACCTCTGCAGACTATCCAACCATAACACTCCTCTCTCCTCAAGCCACCTCATCAGACTATCCAACCATAACACTCCTCTCTTTTCAAGCCATCTTTGCAGACTATCCAACCATAACACTACTCTCTTCTCAAGCCATCTCTGCAAACTATCCAAACATATCACTTCTCTCCCCTCTAGCCATCTCTGCAGACTATCCAAAAATGGCACTCGATTCTCTCTCCCGAAACCATCTCTGCAGATTATCCAACCATAACAATCCTCTCCCCTCAAGCCACCTCTGCAGACTATCCAACCATAACACTCCTCTCTTCTCAAGCCACCTTTGCAGACTATCCAACCATAACACTCCTCTCTTCTCAAGCCATCTCTGCAGACTATCTAACCATACCACCCCTATCTCCTTGAGCCATCTCTGCAGTTTATCCAACCATAACACTCCTCTCTTCCCAAGCCATCTCTGCAGACTATCCAACCATAACACCCCTCTCACCTCAAGCCATCTCTGCAGACTATCCAACCATAACACTCCTCTCTTCTCAAGCCATCTCTGCTGACTATCCAACCATAACACCACTCTCTTCTCTAGCCACCTCTGCACACTATCCAACTATAACACCCCTCTCTCCTCAAGCCACCTCTGCAGACTATCCAACCATAACACTCCTCTCTCCTCAAGCCACCTCTGCAGACTATCCAACCATAACATTCCTCTCTTCTCAAGCCATCTCTGCAGACTATCCAACCATAACACCCCTCTCACCTCAAGCCATCTCTGCAGACTATCCAACCAAAACACTCCTCTCTTCTCAAGCCATCTCTGCAGACTATCCAACCATAACACTCCTCTCTTCTCAAGCCACCTATGCAGACTATCCAACCATAACACCCCTCTCTCCTCAAGCCACCTCTGCAGACTATCCAACCATAACACCCCTCTTTCCTCAAGCCACGTCTGCAGACTATCCAACCATAACACCCCTCTCTTCTCAAGCCATCTCTGCAGACTATCCAACCATAACACCCCTCTCTTCTCAAGCCATCTCTGCAGACTATCTAACCATAACACCCCTCTCTTCTCAAGCAATCTCTGCAGACTATCTAACCATAACACTCTTCTCTTCTCAAGCCACCTCTGCAGGCTATCCAACCATAACACTCCTCTCTTCTCAAGCCATCTCTGCAGACTATCTAACCATACCACCCCTCTCTCCTTGAGCCATCTCTGCAGTTTATCCAACCATAACACTCCTCTCTTCTCAAGCCATCTCTGCAGACTATCCAACCATAACAATCATCTCTTCTCAAGCCATCTATGCAGACTATCTAATCATAACACCCCTCTCTTCTCAAGCCACCTCTGCAGACTATTCAACCATAACAATCCTCTCTCCTCAAGCCATCTCTGCAAACTATCTAACCATAACACCCCTCTCTTCTCAAGCCATCTCTGCAGACCATCTAACCATAACACCCCTCTCTTCTCAAGCCATCTCTGCTGACTATCTAACCATAACACCCCTCTCTTCTCAAGCCATCTCTGCAAACCATCTAACCATAACACCCCTCTCTTCTCAAGCCATCTCTGCTGACTATCTAACCATAACACCCCTCTCTTCTCAAGCCATCTCTGCAGACCATCAAACCATAACACCCCTCTCTTCTCAAGCCATCTCTGCTGACTATCCAACCATAACACCCCTCTCTTCACAAGCCATCTATGCAGACTATCCAACCATAACACCACTCTCTTCTCAAGCCATCTCTGCAGACTATCTAACCATAACACCCCTCTCTTCTCAAGCCATCTCTGCAGACTATCTAACCATAACACTCTTCTCTTCTCAAGCCACCTCTGCAGACTATCCAACCATAACACTCCTCTCTTCTCAAGCCATCTCTGCAGACTATCTAACCATACCACCCCTCTCTCCTTGACCCATCTCTGCAGTTTATCCAACCATAACACTCCTCTCTTCTCAAGCCATCTCTGCAGACTATCTAACCATAACACCCCTCTCTTCTCAAGCTATCTGTACAGACTATCCAACCATAACAATCCTCTCTCCTCAAGCCATCTCTGCAGACTATCTAACCATAACACCCCTCTCTCCTCAAGCCATCTCTGCAGACTATCCAACCATAACACCCCTCTCTTCTCAAGCCATCTCTGCAGACCATCTAACCATAACACCCCTTTCTTCGCAAGCCATCTCTGCTGACTATCTAACCATAACACCCCTCTCTTCTCAAGCCATCTCTGCTGACTATCTAACCATAACACCCCTCTCTTCTCAAGCCATCTCTGCAGACCATCAAACCATAACACCCCTCTCTTCTCAAGCCATCTCTGCTGACTATCTAACCATAACACCCCTCTCTTCTCAAGCCATCTCTGCAGACTATCCAAACATAGCACTCTTCTCTTCTCAAGCCATCTCTGCAGACTATCCAAACATAGCACTCTTCTCTTCTCAGGCCATCTCTGCAGAATATCCTACCATAGTACTCCTCTCTTCTTTAAATAGCTTTTAATACCTTACTTTATCACACACAACCTTGAGTAGTGTGTGAAACACATGATCACATCCTACATTTCGACAAAAGTTTGTTTTTTCTCATAGGATGAGCATTTTAGAAGGAAGTTGGGAAAGCTAGCAAGGACACCCTCGCACCTCCCTAGCTATCAGTATTTCTTGATGAGGACCTGAAGAACTCAGCTGACTTTATAGACCGCCTTTGGCATCTGACAAACTTGTGACAAAAGAGGAGTAGAATGAGCTAAAATAAAATTGTCGAGACGGCAAAAGCAAGATCGACATACATGTCAACAACAACACAAAAACTGCCACACACACATACACACATAATACACATATGGATCAAATTATTCACAGAGACCAATTGAGTGGTCCATGCATACTTCTAATCACAGAAACTTACTGCAGAAATGATTGCATGGTACAGAAAAATTAATAAGTAGCAGTAAAGAAAGATATACTATGCTGTTTTTCCATTTTGCCACTGGCATTTATCAACTTTGCAGTACCATGGCTCACTCTCTATCAGTTTTAGTTGTGTATGGCTAATTGCAGGTTTCTACCTTTCTTGCAGAAAATTGATGATGCAATTGGGAATGCGACCGAATACCTGGTTACCCACGTTGAAGATATAGACAGAGTCTATGACAAGGCTATTGTCACTTATGCCTTGGCGCTGGCTGAGAGCCCAAGTATGAGGATTGCAAATGACTATCTGTGGGGTGATCGAAATGAAGATGGTGCGTAGAATAGTAGCCTGTTGAGTGATATAGGTGATCTATTAAGAGCCCTGAATTATAAAACTGGCTTTAATTATCTTCGTGTGCCACTGTACATGTATATCACAGGAGATTTACAATTTACATATCTTTATTTGTCAGTAAATTCCAGTTAATGTATACATTTCCTGTATAAATGCATTCAGGTACAGATGAAGGGGTTGATATGTAGCAATTTAAGACCTGATCTGAAATGGGTAGCAAACGGTCTAATTGGAAGAATAATATCTACAAATTAAAAAAAATATCATCTTATATACTGTACCTCCTTTGTTCGGTATTTAATAGTTAAATACATACATGTACGAACTTACGGATGGAGGTACATATACAAAATAAAGAGAGATTTGGTAAGGTATCCCGTCTTTGAGGTTATGTAGTTTGAAAACTATCCAATAAGACTTGCAACACAAGATGAACAATTCAAAGAATGAACGATGGACAATCAAAATGAGTTCAAGAGAGTACTTGAAAAATATGAGAGATAGACTGATACCATTGAATCTTGGGAATCGATTATCGATTGGTCGTTTGAATCCACTTTCTGTTTTTTTGTTAACATTTTTTATAATCAAAATTGCTGACAAATTATATTTTGTTGGAATCAGCTTGAAATTGTTGTTATATTGTTTTATCGTTATCATCTTTATAACGATTATTATTAAAATGATTAACAAGATTATTGTTATCGTTATTACCATTACTGTGATCTTCATTTCATCATTATTTTTTGGTATTTTAGATACTGGGGCTGTTAGTTTTACTCCGGATGTAGCCAATTATAGAGATGGCAGCCAGCCATATTGGCTGCAGAGAAGACCTTCTGCTGTTGAAATAGAAACCTCCGGCTATGCTCTCCTGGCACAAATTGCATTACATGATTATCAAAAGGCAGGCAAAGTTGCTCTCTGGCTCAGCAATCAACAGAACTATGGTGGAGGATTTGTATCAACTCAGGTGATTAAAATATTTACTAGTTAGAACTGACAGAGCTTAAGAGGAAAATCTACTGAGAGTCATGATAGCTGGTTAACATTGTTGACCATTTAATCTATGGGTGTGCTCAGGGTGTAATACATTTCTTGCGTTCTTGTTATTTTTTATTTGTTTGCTTCTTTATTTGAATTTTTTAGTAGACTCCACATTGAATTATGTGAATTAATGGATTATTGTATTGTGTATAATTAATAACTTTTGAACTATGCTATTTACATGTACTTTCATAATGTTGTTTAACGTGTTTATCTTAATGTTCAGTTACATGTAATTTGTTTCTACACATGTATCTTGATCATTTGAAAGTGGGAGCTAAAGTTCAAGTTCAAGAAAGAAAAAAAGTTTTATCAAACAGAATCACATGTATGGTTGAATTGATTTTATTTTAAAAATTCAGTATTTCATGCAGCTCAAGGCTGGTATTATATGTTTTACAAAACAATTAGATATTTACAATATGATAAAACAGTGTCAAAATACAAAAGCAATATAACAAAATAACAATGGTAACATCACACAGCAATATCATAAAAGATTTAGAAACATGTATCGGAGATGTGGATCAGTAATTATATCGTGTATGTGTATGTTAATAATTTGCTTTACCAATTTGGCTACATATGAGAACTTTTTCATCTTCAACAAATTTTGTCCCATATTCAGCTCCTGAGATAAAGCATTTTGAGGCCCTTAATAAATTGTCAGCATTTGTTTTTGATACACTTAAAGTGTTCCAAACACTAATTATATTTTGCTCTGTATACTTTGATGTCCATATTGCTTTATTTTATTCAATACATTAGCTTCAGATATTACTTCCGGAAAGAGATACTACAAGATTAATTAGCTATAATTTATGCTCTCAATAGACAATTGTTCGTAATGTATTCTAACTTTAATTAAAACACAAATCTCTACTTAATACCATGTTACAAATTATTTCGTTCACATGTTACGAATAATTGTATTTCAATAGTAAGAATGCGAATTACATACATTAATAGTTGCTAGAACCCTGTATATGTATAACATGTTTTATTTGACCTCTTATTATTATTATACATGTACCTTGACGGTATGAAGGATACCGTAGTAGCACTACAGGCACTTGCCAAGTATACTGAGCGTCCTGAGTTCAATACTATCAATATGGATTGTGAATTGGCAACTGAGCAAATCACTGTTCATAGGTATCACATTGGAGATGACTATGTACAAGAAGAAGTTGATGTAAGTATTTTTTTATTTCATGTAACTATAACGCCTAATGATGCTGTAAACCACCGTAAAAAATCCCGCCCCCCCCACTCCGGGGTCGGAATAACCGCATGCGTGTTACCAACATGTCCGGTAATACCCCCTTCACATACACGGATTTTTCTTACGAGTACTTACGGATCGCCAACTCGTAGTCAATCGCAAGCATCCGTAAATAACTCGCTGGTATCCGTAAATAACTCGTCACAACTCGCAACAACTTGTAGACACTCTTAAGGATCTGTGAAAGGAGAGGCAATTTTTTTGACAGGTCAAAAATCTTCTTACGTTTGTCCACGGATTGATTTGTCCGTAAATAGCTCGTAAATAGCTCGTTACCATCCGTCAACCGCTCGCAACAACACGCCACCATCCGTAAACTGCTCGCAAGAATCTGTAAATGACTCGTAACAGATTTTTGTAACGATTCGTTATGATAAGTTTACGATCAGTTTACGGATTATTTACGGATTATTGCGAGCAGTTTAAGGATGGTTACGTGTGCTTACGTGGTGTCTACGATTTTTTTCGGGTCATTTTACGATGGCTTTACGGATTGATACGGGTTATTACGAGCATTTTAGGTGTACTTACGAGTACTTTACGAATAGATACGTATACTTTACGTATGCTTACGAACTGTTTACGATTTGGGTAAGGTATAAAAGCTGCAAATTCGAACACTTCATTTTCAGTTATTTTTTGGTTAAAAATCGTGAGGACTCGTAAATACTCGTAACATACTCGTAACTATTCGTAACAACACGTAAACAGGTCGTTACTAACACGTTAGTTGCTCGTAGTTATCCGTGACAACTCGTAACAATTCTTGGACTGTTACCGTAAATACATCGTAATAACTCGTAATGATCCGTAATAAACCGCAAACAGCTCGTAATAACTCTTAACCCGGTCGTAAAAGTTGCCAAATCGTAAGGATCCGTGAAAGATCCGTGAATTTGTGCGATCCGTAAGGACTCGTAAGAAAAATCCGTGTATGTGAAGGGGGTATTATACTTTTCACGCACCAAAATCCGGCTCGTTCATACACAAACTTGACTTTACCCACCGGACTTAGGGGGTGTTTTCAAAAAGAGGGAATTATATGCGTACCCTAAATAACACTGAGTGTGGGGGCCGGGAAAAAAAGCTTTTAAACCTGTAAATAAATGGGAGCTGTACGCAACAAAGGTCTTATCAGGTTTACCGTAGTATATTTTAACAAGGCTTACTGTACTTGTGTCTTTTCAATCAGAAATTTCAATCAAATTTGTGGTTATAATATTCATAAGGGCCAGATAAAGAAAATTGTCCATATATAAGATGTTTCATTGTAACTCACACAAATATCGTATTCTATACAACTTACTCATTGATACTAATCAAATTATTTGTCAAACATTGTCACATGTGATTCATTTTATATTGAGACTTTCATACGTATTTTCATAAGAAAGCGTGCAGTGTTTCCAATATTTTACTTCATAATACTCGTTCGAGAATATATGAGAACCCGCCCGCACATGCACAGATCATTATCATTCCGAAATGTTTCTTAGTGCGAAACACTAGGATTTCGTCGCACAGAATCTATCGAAATCTCCGCAATCGGAGGTTATTCGATTATATTTTGGACATAAATTGTTGATGGACCTCGGTCTTCAATACTGCACGTCGATTTTGTACTTTTGTGAATCATCTTGGTGATTTTTTATCGTATTTCTACGAGGAAGCACATACCTGCCGATCAAATAATTGTCTTAATTAAGACAATTATTTGATCGGCATGTATGTGGTTTTCATAAACAGTCATAAGTAGCGCACACATCTATCAGATAGAGTCTCTTTGGGCAAGTAAAATACTAAGTTGTGATCTGAATAAGACTTGAGCTATTCTACTTAGCCAAGCTAAATGCTAAATAAAATACTGACATAATTCAAGTATTAAAGGCATTGTTTAACAATGTTTCCAGTTTTACAAATCTGAGATGCATGGCGCTTTGTGTTCAGTGTCTGTGATATGGTGTAATATTGAAGCCCTACAAAGTTGCGCTTCAAAATAATCAGGTAGGAAGTTGTCTTAAATTTTAAGGGTAAAATTCTTGGCCAAATGCTACCTCGGAATACCAAAGTTTGCTAAGAATTTCACCTACATGTTAACTGAAAACTAAGTGCATTCTTTTTTTTATTTTTTCTTCTTTGACAGGTGTCACAGTCAATTGGACGCAGCTTAACAATTGGTTGTAGAGGAACTGGAATTGCCAAAGCATATGTAGGTCAAGACTATATCTTGAGTTCTTTGTTAAATATAAGCATGTAAGAACGGGAATACTATTGCGAATATAATAATAGCTGTTCAAGTATTGATATTATTTGTAGGAAAACCAACATTCCATCTAGTTTACAATATGGATTCTGAATGTGTCATTCAACTACGCTTTAAAGAACTGAATTATTAGTTCAGGTGATGAATGCTCTTGATTAAAAAAATATTATGTTATTGGCCGGTACTTGGATATTTCAAAAGCTTTTGATTGCATTAATCATCAATTGTTACTTGACAAACTCAGGTATTTAAAATTGTAATTATAATACATATGTTTGAATCAGGAACTACTAATGTTCATGTTCCGTTCCAGTGGCGGATCCAGGGGGCACAAGGACACGTGCCCCCCCCCCCCCCAGCCAGAAAAAAAACTGTTGAAATCAGCCCCAAATTCATCAAAAATGTACCGGCAAACAGGGGCGTGCCCCCCCCCCCCCCCCCCCCCCCCCCCCCCCAGTGTGCCACCCGGGAAAAATTCGTGGATCCGCCTCTGCGTTCTTGTAAAAAAATGAAGCAAAGTATAGTATCTACAGTATAAGTACAACTTATTTTATTCTGAATTTGACAATCAAATACTAGATTAAAACTGGAAAATGAAAGTAAGTGTTGATAACTGTTTGTAAATGCAGTTTTATATTTGTTTACCTGATTGCCAAGAAAATATATGTACATGTATGTTTGGAAGAAGCGACCAGGGGACCGACATCTCTAAGTTCTCTCCAAGGGACTTGGTAATGAGGGTTAATGCCTTTAATAGTAAAGGGAACTTAATCTAGCGCATCAACCTGCTGGTTTTAATACAAGACCACTACTCTACCACTGAGTCATCACGCCTCATAGTGGCAAGGTAAGGGTTGAGGTGTCTTACTCAAATTGTTTCAATTTTTCCCCCAAGGTGGAGCTTCGTTACAACACAGAACAATCTGATATTGACACCTGTCCCTTCCATCTTAACACCAGTGCTGTAGAAATCGATTCAAATGCACTCAGGAGTCAGAATGTAAAGGGGCTGAGGATAACAGTCTGCACAAGGTAAATACTTTAAATGCCTTACCAGGCTAAAACGATTATGAAAGGTGCTTTTCCTGGGCTCTGTAAAGGCCCGGTCACACAGAGGGGACGCATGGGGAACGCACGGCCAGCGCATTGGAAATTTGCAATTTTGGCCAGTGCGTTGTCGTGCGCCCAACTTTTGTCGAAGCTACAGCGAGCTGACACCAAATGCATAGCGTGTTGCTAGCGCGCTGAGCGCATACAGGGCGCATACAGGGCGCATACAGTGCGCATACAGACCGTACACAGAGCGCACATGATAACAACTTCCACGAATGCACAGCGTGTTGCTAGCGCGCTGGACGAATGGTCCACGCATGCACCGCGTTCTACGACGCACGGCCAGCGCATTGGAAATCGGAAAAGAACGTGTGCCTAACTTTTGTCATAATTTTGGAAAAGCTAGCGAGCTGACACAAAATGCACGGCGTGTAGCTAGCGCGCTGTGCGTATACAGGGCGTGTGCTCCGCGTATGTCTGGCGCTGGTCTAGCGCGCTCCACGCATGTCTGGCGCTGGTCTAGCGCGCTCCGGCGCATGTCTGGCGTGCCTTTGGCGTGTATATTCATGCGTCGAGCTCGGCGCACGTTTTTGAGCATGCTCAAAAAATCCCGACGCACACAGCGAATGACGACGCATGCATAGCGCTGGTCCAGCGTTGGTCCAGCGCGCTCGACGAACGAGTAACGAATGATGACGCACGCCTAGCGAACGACAACGCACTGGCCCAAATTGCAAATGTCCAATGCGCTGGCCGTGCGTTCCCCATGCGTCCTCCCTGTGTGTCCGGGCCTTAACGTAAAAGTTACAATCAGTTGCAAAATGGCAATGGCCAATCAAGATCATTGTTGCATGCACATATTGTTGAATAGGTTGAATATTTATCCAATCAGAATCATTGTTACGAATTTGCAATTGATTACAAACCTTTGTGTCAAGGGGCAACGACGTTTGGCCTACGGGAGCACTGTAAACTTTCCAGTCTTGATATGAGAGATACAAATTTTGGAAACTTCCAGGATGGTAGAAACCAGTCTATATGTTTTTCATTGTGTCCTTTGGCAAGATATTAATCTAAATCTGCCACTCTCCACCCAGGTGAAGTAAAGGGTACCAAGCAGGAAGAAATTCATGGAATGCTTGAGCATGTAACTATGGTAGTTGGGTAATGATAAGATTGCAGGGACCTCGGCAAGAACAGAGTCTTTTATAATTATATACTAACCTAGGTAAATTATTTTATAGCCAATCAATTTTGTAATAATCAAAATACATACATGTAGGTCTCTGAACAGACATTCATTTACTATGAAAGCCTGTTTCCTACTTACGCAGTAGACGTCTCGCAAAAACCCGCGCAGCAAAATTAAATTCCCAATAATGAATAACAGTATTCATGTAATGTATGTCTATGTATGCAAAGAGCTATAGTAGACATGGAAAAGAAATATTACAGAGAAATAGATATAAGTTTAGATTTTCGAAAATCTACAATCTTCGTATTCTTTCTCCACATCTGAAATTTATATTATTCAATGCATATGCTTCTCTGATTTTTCTGTATCCTCCTTACCCGTCTCTGTCAAGGTCAATCCTCTAAAGATGTACCATTCATGAGCAATATTTTATTAATCTTGGGCCTCCTCTACTTTAAGAAGTCTGTTGGCTCTTTTTCTGAATGTTTTTGCTTCAAACTGTGCCTCTTTGCTTTAATACTTATGAATCCATAATACTAACCCTCTTGCCATTCTGAACTTATTATTATTTCGTGTATCAATCATAGCTCAATAAAACTGATAATTGTTTAAATATGACACCAGATGTGGGTTGTCAATATCTGTGACGGGACATGGGGTCCTGCATTCAGAATATAATTAACAGTCTGAATTCGACCATATGGACAGAGGTCGGAGTCTCCAAGACCCTAGCCTTTGACAAGGCCTCGTGACTCTGGCTATTTTCCTCCCCAATCAGTGGCTGAGATGAATCTAGAGACCCGGGTTGAACGCGCGATCAAGTGCATGGCGGTAGCCGCGAGGCCTTTTGCAATCTAGTTTTTGCTGCTCTGCATGAATTATTAATTTCTTTGGATTTATTGACCAATCAAAACGGCCATCTCCCAGTTGGCTTCGTTCGTGATTCGTTCATTATCAAAACATGTAAACATTGCTTATGAGATGAACATATCAATGATAGATACAAAATATCACATCCAAATCTATTTTACATGCAAAATTACAATAAAACAGGAAGCATTTGATGACTTATGCTAACAATCATAAGTGAGATAATTGGACTTTCCCTGTATATGAAATGAACCAGTCCAACTCGTTTTCATTCCATGTAGAGGTCAGTGGTCTTAGCCCGTACGTCATTCTTAGCTCATAGTAGGTCCATGTTCGATATACTACGTAGAGTTTACTGTGTGTGTGTATGTGCGTGTGTGTGTGTGTGCTGGATACTAAATGCTGACGTCATGTGTGTGTGTGTGTGTGTGTGTGTGTGTACATGTTCAAAGATTATGGCAAAATGTTATTGCTAAGTTTAAGCTAAGGGAATTAGGGTCTTTCGACTGGATAGATGTTCATTCAGGGTTGTCCGGTAATTCCCCAAGAATAAAGATGTTTATAAATACAATTATTTTTGCAATGGAATATTGGATATAAAGATGCAGGGGAAAGTCCGTAATATTGTCTTGGGGGGAGTTTCAAAAAGAACTGTTGGAATTTAGGGAAGAAGAAAAGAATATTGCAAGGAGGGCAGATAAATTGGCCTTACATTTACAGAAGTGGGAACAAGTAAAGTTTTCATGAACTTTTAACACTGGGCTATTGTGGCTATTGAAGCATCGTTTAAATGATTTTTTTTAATGGTTTAAATAGATTGTTTCTGTTTGTCTGTCGCTCCAATTTGGGGTATTCTGAGGGGGCTAGGAACAGTGTGTGGTGGTAGTGTGGTCGGGTGGTGTGTGTCGCATGGTGGGGAGGGAGGGGGGGTAGTAGTGTGTTTGGTTGGACAGGTTTATTTGTTTTATGTTACAACTGATTTCATTTTTGTTTTCATCAATTGTAAAATCTATGTAATGAAAATGTTTTTAATTCATGTCAGGAAAAGCAACTGTATTTTTTATTTTTTTATTAATTTGTATTGTTTAATTTAAAAAAAACTATTGAAAAAAAAAGTCATGCGAGGATACGTTCGCTGATTGGACGCTACTATTTCGGTAGAGAATTCCATTCGGAAACAAAAGTTAACATAAGAAATCCAATACAGATTACTAAAGGCTACTTGGCTGCGCTACTCGCTCTGTCGTTCACTCGGGTTTTCGCGATTAGTCTCTTTTTAGTCACTCGGCGTCTATCAGATATGTGGGCTTGTTTAAAGGCTATCAAGACCCCAGAGCTTCATATTTGCTGAAGGCGGATGCGCCTTATCGTAGACGGTTCAGCTAAACCAAGGGCTTCCTGGGAAGTTTGGGGACAGGAGGATGCCTCTCAAGGATAGCTGGTTCTGTAGCACCTGCTACCTCAAGGTTCTCAAAAAATGGGCATAGAAGCCTCCTTTGATAGGACAGTCTGCGCGGTGCTCTTTTCAAAAGAGGAAGTCACACAGCAAGTGGTTTAGCCAAGCAGCTTTGCTGTAAATCATGATTTAATTGAACCCACATGTTATCTGCGTTTCATTGATGGTAACGCTCTCCTACGCTCAAATTTATCTACATTTAAAGGACAACAAAAACCTACTGTTCACCTGAGAGCTACACCTAGCTGTTTATGTTAGCCCCATTTTTATATATGCAAGCATTGTCTAAAACTCAAAATAATGACCATTATTATTATCTTAATTGATTTGTTTGTGCATGAAGCTACAATGGTGATGGAACAACCCATATGAGCATTCTTGATGTAGGATTGTACTCTGGATTTAATGCTGTTGAACAAACAGAACCAGAAATAGAAGGGCTCGAAGAGGTAAGGCTTAAAGTCCTTTACTAGTATATAGAACAAAAAGTATAACAAACAATGATATTGATAATAAGACTGATGATGATGATGATAATGATGATGCCGACGATAATTTTGTTTACCCAGGGAAGCCTCATCTGCTTCAATGCTGTTCTTTTTGAGGGGCCTGAAATCACTATTACCCCAGCCAATGGCGGATCCAGGGGTCCCCCCCCCCTGGGAAAAAAAAACGTGTAAAAACACGCCATTTGTACCTTTTTGGGGGAGATGTCCCCCCCCCCCCCTGGCACTCAAGGGGGGGTGCAAATTTTCACATTTTTGAGGGCAAAACAAAAAAATGTGCTCACTACCAATGTGAATCGATGTTAGAGCAAGGCAGGGATTCGTACTGTCAATCGAAGGATGGAGATCGAGTCAAGTGAATGAATCACTATACCACGATGCCTCCACCAAAGTTGATAATGTTGGTGATTTAAAAATGACAGTTCCGATTCTACCATCCAAATCTGTTGAAAGCTCTAAGCACCAAATTGTGATTTTATAATAGCCTAAAATCTCCCCCTACGGCAACTACATGTACTTTTGGGGGTAATATTGATGAATTTTGTTGACGATCACCCATGCACAAAGAAGACGAAAGATTTTACGCATGCCTGATCGTCAACGAAATGGAGTTAAAGCTACGGTCACAAATCAGAGCAGCGACCGACCGATTAGTAGCCTGCTCGGTCGCCGCTGGAATTTAGGCATCGCCCAACGATTTTGTTTTTCTTCTGAGAAGTCGAGCAGGCTGTAGAGCCCCAGCGATGCCTAAGCGGTGCCCTGTCGATTTCCCGTCGGTCACCGGTCAATTTTAGGTCAAAACTGGGCGAAATCGGAAAACTTCTCCGGGCGCCGTCCCGGCAGTGACCGACCGATGGCCCATCGATACCCAAGCGGTCTCCCACCGGCCACCGGATAATTTTAAGGAAATTGCCCGGCAGCCGGCTGGTGATCAGCGGGGCACCAAAATACGCTCGGTGCCCAGGCGTTCGCCGCTAGGACACCGACCTTATCGAGCGTTCGCCGTCGAGCAAATTCAGGTCAAAAATCTAAGCCGCTAGGTCAAAGGTTGCTGACCGATTTTGAACTCGCCGCCCAGTGACCGACTGAACTCCCAACGGCGACCGGGCGGCGAACGCTCAGCAGCCTTTGACCTAGCGGCTTCGATTTTTAACCTCAACCGCTCGACGGCGAACGCTCGATTAGGTCAGTGCCGGGACGGCGATTGCCCGGGCACCGAGCGTATTTTGGTGCCCCGCTGATCACCAGCCGGCTGCCGGGCAATTTCCTTAAAATTATCCGGTGGCCGGTGGGAGACCGCTTGGGTATCGATGGGTCATCGGTCGGTCACTGCCGGGCACCGAGCTAACTTTGGGCGGTGAGTGAAAGTGAGCAGGCGCCGCCGAATTTTAACTCCGCTTAAACTTCAGCAGCCACCGAGCGATGCCCAAAAAACAAGCGGTGTCCGGGCGGCCGCCGCTCGATGCCTGGGCGAAATCGGCTTATAACCCGCCGCCCGGCCGCCGAGCAGGCTACTTTTAGGTGATGTGACCATAGCTTAAGTCTTTTGTCAACTCTGTTTGTTGCTATGGCAGGCAGCCAGTAAAAACGATTTTGTTTAATAAAATTATGGAAATGCAAGCATTACTTTAAACAAACAGAACTTTGTTATTCCTTGCTCATTTTTCCTGATTGAGGTGTCATGTATGAAAGGGCAGGAAATGAACTTTCTGGAAATGTGGTTTTCTCTTTGAAATCCAGATACCGCCAGCCAAATGACTTTTTGGTTTCCTTCCTTCAAATTGCTTTTAATCACTCATGCGTGAAATATGCATCATATGAGTAGCATCAGTAGAGGAGGATCTAAGCTTTACAAATATGTGTCATTTATTAATTATAGTTGTGATTAAGTTATGATAAAACATCGAAACTTCTCGGTTTCGTTTTTTCTGGCACGCACTGTATTAAAGAAGAACAATAAGAATGTGGTACATTTAACACGTTTCATGACTTTTTGTTTTATGCTACCATATTTCTATGTGAGGTTTAATGCACTATTGATATGAACATCTTTTTTCAGATGGTGAATGGCAGCGAAATAATTTCTTCGTATGAAGCCAGCTCACGCTCTGTCATCTTTTATTTAAATCAGGTAAACACATGCCGCATTCTGTCTTTTCAGTTGTGTAAAACTGTATAATATTTCTTTGTAATATTTGTCTTTTGAATTCATAATGGTGAAGATCTTTGTAGTCAGTTTCCAGCCAAATTTTGCCTGAAATGTAGGAACATTTTTCAATAGTTTCATCACTTTCTTTCTTTCAAAATCTGTCTCTTAGAATTTTGAATGAAAAAGATCAGATGTTTTACTTTTCTGCCAAATCTTGCATGATATTTAGTGACATCTTTTCAGCATTTTGTTTCTTTGTAATATGTGTTTCCTAGATTCCGGATGATGAAGATCTGTGCTTTACTTTTTCGGCCAAATCATACGTGGTTGTAGGAAATGTGCAAGCAGCTGCTGTTCATTTGTACGACTATTATGACCCAGGTAATTCTTTTTTAATACTTTCTTAAATTTTCTCGAAATTCACAAATAAATAAAGATTTTATATTGGTTGAAAAACATTAATTCTTTTTAATTTAAATGTTTTATTGAATATAAACAGAATCAAAATATATACAAATAATTGGAGAGTCATTAATAATTAAGAGTAAAAGGATTCATTAAAAATAAGACAAAGTGATATCAAAACATTAATCGTAACAAATTAATAAGAAATCAATATAGCAGGAATGTAGGCAGCCAAAGAAGAAATTATATTTAAAACCTCCATTTAAGAAAATGAGTTGCATGTTTATTATTTTTTTTCACCATGCAGTATTTAAGATCTTAAGAGACATCATCTTTAAAACCTTGAAAATCAGGGATTTGTTTTGAAATTTGCATATACAAATAAAGTATTTAAGGAGAAGACAAAAATATGTTCGGGATTTATCTTGGTCATAACTAAACATTTTTTCGAATAGCGAAACAAATATGACTTTATTATTTTGTGATTAATAACCTATAGTCTCTCCCCAAATAGGTATTACAACATGGCGATCAGTTTATGTAGATTTCAGGGGGCAGTTTTACAAAAGGAACAATCAGGAGAGTCTATTGTCTGAATTGTATACCTCCCCCCCCCCCCTCCACAAAAAAGTAATTTAAAGTTGTTGCTTTATTAAATAACTTAAAATGGAACTAACTAAGACGTGTACTAACGGAGCATTTAATATATTCACGTGAATTTTGTCCCAATTGACCTGGCCAGTCAGGGTCATGAAGTTCATTCCAACATGCCACTTGCTTTTCAGAAAGATTTGATTTCAACAGGACGCTGTTAGCATATTTTGGAATGTTTGTTTAGTTTTAATAAATTTGGTTCCGATTTTATCAAGCGCTATATCTTGGGTAGTCATTCGTGAACCACCGAAAGGAAAATCAATACCCATGAATTGTCTTTTGACTCTATCATTGCCATCACTTTAAATGAACTTTTGAAACGTTGTATTTAACTGTCTTAAAAAATCTCTGGTATCTTAAAGGAGAATTAACCTCAAAGAATAAGCGTATAGGTAATCTGAAAAACGAGATGAATTCCTGCCTTTTGATGTACAATAAATCTTACGAACGTGTACAAGAGATATATAAATGAAGATTTCTTGGCATCATGTCATCCCTTTTGGCATGACATGGGCGCAGCCATTTTCTTGAAAATGTGACGTACCATGCGGAGATGTACATGTATCATGCACCAAGCTTTCATTGGAAAGACATTTTATTTCAATAACAAATCCTTTACTTTTCAAAGGGGGAAATCATAGCCGAGAATGTAAAAATTACATTTGGTGAAAAATATATGATAGGGTAACAATTTTAACCCATTTATTTCAAAATACTAAAAATGTAGTGGTTGAAAAATCTATTTCATTTATGGGAAATCTTCATCCCTGAATAGCACCAACTTACGTATTCAATTTGCATTCTGGCAATTGGAGTACAAACGAAAATAGCAGCTGAATGAAATGCTTCAACACCACAAACACCCGGAAAGGAAGCATCCATAAATTTGAATAATTGAGAAACATTGGCTTATAGGAGCCAATCCATATTGCTTTTGATTTACTTATATATGTCTCAATCTTATCAAATAATTATTTTAAAGAGTTAATTATTTCAGCGATCGGCAAAACATGTGGAATCGTCTGCTAACAAAGAAATTTCAATTCATTCCCTTCTCCTGGGATACCTTTAATAAAACCGTTTTGTCGAATAGCAAGTGCCATAGCTTCACAAGTACTACTAGTCCGGCTGCCATCTCGATATACCTTGTTTTAGGGTCTATAGTTTTTTTTTCTTCGGATTATAGTTCCTTAGACCATCAATTTGAAGAATTCGATTGCTGACACTCTGTCAGCATTGAGCAATTTGAGATATGTGACGTCATACAAAATGGCCGCCAAAATCCCCATTTTAACCAAAATTAATGATATAAAAAGTTTTAACAGCATTTTACTACATTAAATGGCAGTCAAATATTTTGATTTTTTTCTAGAATCATCACTAAATAAAAATTGCGATGCTGTATGATCACAAATGATATGCAAATTTGCATCATTCGGAATGGCGCCCTCTATAGACACATTAACTTGCAAAGTTCAAAATGATGGCCAAATACCAATTTCTAACATGAGATTATCATGTGTCATGAGTCAGATGCACTAGATACAGTGAGTAAAAATTGTGCTGCACATTTATTTTTATTTTGTAATTTGATACTCGAAGAAAACACGGTTGAATTTTATGCTCTCTGTCCCATAGATATGAGGTGGCATATGGTAATAAATGCCCATTTTCAGTGACAGCGTTAAGAAACTACAATTGTATTCTAAAGTACTAGATTCTTTTAAATTAACCTAAAAATTACGAACTACCAATACGATACAGGACTATATCCGTTTATAAGTTTGCTTCAAAATCTTGAAATTTGTTTAAAAGCCCTGGCTCTAAAGTGTTTGGAACCCTAAAATATTCCATGCGGAAGAGGGTGTCATTTAACACTTAATTCTGCAAAGTGAGGTCGTGACTATAATGCGTGATTCCACACGCATGTTTGCAAATGAGCTCTCTTAACATTTTCTACAAACGCTTCAGTAGTTTAAGGTAGTGAGGCAAGGTTTGGGGGTATTTGGAGCTCCTAGTCTTCGGACCCTTAATAGCCACACGTTGATACGAGCCTCTGACATTCAGTTGGTTGTTGACTGTCCATAACATGAAGCAAAGTATTGAGTAGGTTGAGTGATGACATATGACCATGCTGCATCAACATTGCCAACTGAGTCCTAAGGGAGTCGAAACTTCTGCTTTATCACTTTCAGCATTGTACCCTATCCAATGCCAAATTATGCCCCAAGAGTGTCGCATCCCGTCAACGCATGTCCTGCCAGCATCGATGGAATGCTATCTCCTAACTTGTCTACATTGGCAGGAAGATCAATAACAGTTCGATTTGTGAAGGGGCGTCTCCATGGTCATTGGCGTTTTATAAGTCCGTCATGTAGATAATGATGCAAAAGCAGTACGTAGACGTCTGTGTCATCCACTAGGACCCTAATATACATCTTCTCATTAGCATCAATTCAAATCGGTTGCTGTACTATGATGTTGCCTGCTTCATCATAACTATGTTGTAGACAGACCTTTCCTTGGCATGACATCACTGCCTGGAATCACTTCAACAGGAACCTCATCTTGACGGTAAAGGCCTGCTTGTGCTTTTGCCTATTTCTGAGCAAACAATCATCCTGCAGACTCGCGCATATAATTATGATGTCGATCAACTGTAGTTTGTTGTCATGAAAAGATAGTGAAGTTAGCAACACTAGAGACACGTTTCAACAACTTCTCTCCCTAGCTTTATTGATCTTTCCAAAGCTTTTGACTGCGTACAACATCAACGCCTATGGAAGATTATGAGCTAGATGGGCTTTCCAGCACATATAATTCAACTCATTCAGTCGCTCTACCAATACCAAAAGCAACAGTAAGAACAGAGAATGGCTACACCGAAAGTTTCACTATTGGTCAAGTTGTCCGTCAAGGCTGTATCCTATCACCATAACTTTTCAACATCTATGCTGAATTCATTATGAGAAAGACATTTTATGGTCAAGTTTCTGTTGGTGGACGAACGATCACCAACCTAAGATACGCCGACAATACAACACTCTCTGGCGTATTGATGGGAAGGGTTGGGGGGGGGGACAGTTGGACCCCCAAACAAAATTCAAACTGTTTTTTCTATATATTCGATACCAGTAATTTACAAATGTTGCTGAAATGACATGATTTTCCTGGGTTTTTTCTCACTTTTTAGTAAATTATTATTTATTAAGCGTATGTTGGAAAATGACAAATCCTAAATTCACAGTCAAGCAAAAAATATGCTTATTTAAAAGCCTACATGTCAGGGTCCGCAGAACAGCGGGGCTCAGGGGACTCGAGCCCCCCTCACTTTTTGTATAAAGTATGTTAAAGAGAACTAGAAAGAAAGAAAGTGACCCGAGGTGAAATGAGGTATCAAAATATGTTCATCTTAGAGTTAATAAATGCCTGAAACCCTTGAGCTTCCAGGGGCTGTGCCCCTTGAACACCACGCCAATTTGCGCTCCTCTCTTCCTGATCGTAAATACTTAACCCCCCCCCCCCCACCCCGCTTTAAAAAAAAGTTCCGCGGGGCCTGCATGTAACATGTATGAGTGGTGGTGATGCAGATTGTTTTTCTGCCCCTCTACTCAGTATGCCACTGACAACACTTATAACAAGAACATCAGAAGAACTACTAAAACTCCTTAAAAAAGAGTGAAGGATGCAAATGAATAATTTGGACCCTACCTCAATGTGAAAAAGACCAAGATCATGATTGGTGGAAATAACTACATGCAACAGAGCATGGTGGTTGATGGAGAAGAAGTTGATCAGGTGAACAAGTTTATATAATGTTCTTGGGTCAAATGATTGTCAAGGAGGGTGGAAGCTCGGCAATATCTGCCTTTGAAATGTGGTGTTGGAGGAAGCTACTTGGGATATCATGAAGAGATTACAACACCAATGGACACAATTAATGTCCATCATCGGAGATCAACCGCCACTTGCTACCTGGATTGACAAGTACAAGCTACAATAACTTGGTCACGTTAGCATAAGATCAGGAGACAACCTTGACAAATTATTATTCAAGGTACCTTTGAAGGAACACGTAACAAAGGAAGACTCAAGCTCAGATGGACTGACGACCTTAGGGAAATCACTAGCCACCCTCTAAATACTAAAGACACTCTACCGGATTGCAGGAGACAGATGCCGATCAAAAGGTCTCATCAAACGGGTCACAAGGGTGATCCATGATCTATATGACAACGACGACGAACAGTAAGAGATAGTTTCTCGGAGGGCAGCAGTGACGCGGGACTCAGTTGGAAGACTCTCAACCCGTCATGACCTCT